CCTTCTTGATGGAGAACTTGAACCGCTGTGGTGACGGGCCTTTGACCTGGCAGTGATGGCAAAACTTGTTGATCATTGCAATGGCATCTCGATCAGCTTCGTTGCCAGATTTCTCCAAGAGCTTGTAAAGCTTGCCAATAGAAGGGTGTCCAAATCGGGTATGAACGCGTCGTAATTCAGCTTCTGTCAGGAAAACACCGGTTGATGCAGTTGTCATTGCTGAGGGGAAGAACCAGGGGTGGCCCATTTGCGGGTGATTGGGATAGACTTGCCATCTCGCAGTCGGATCATCTTATTGGCAATATTGTCAAACATTACGCCAAGATTGTCGAAGTCTTTCAGGCAGAGGAGGAAGGGAGTTTGGGTGTCAACGACATGGAACGTCACGTCTCCAATGGGGGTGTCAACATGGATCGTGCCAAGGGAATCTAGGGGCTGTCCTTCACCGAATTTAACCGTAGCTTCTCCAGCGCGTGATTTATCGAGTAAAACTGAGGGTAGCTCGCGCTGTAAGGCTAAGAATTGACCCTTGCCAGCTGTTGAAACGGAAGCAGCGCCAGAATCAGGCATAATTCCTTGGAATGTAGAACTGGTATATCTATCCAGTATGAAGCTGTCAGACTCGAACCCAACCTGGGAGTTGTCCGTGGCAGTAATTGAATATTGAAACGCTTGGTCACTAAGTAAGGTGGCTGTGAGGTACTGTATAGCATCGTTGCTACTGTCGCTTCCAGAATCCATGACGTGTTGATCATGCGTGTTATCGGGGTCGGAGTCAAGATCTGGCTCGTAGTCGGCCAGGAAGTGAATATAGGCAGGGCCTGTGGTCGGTCGTCCACGGAACTGTTGATCGTGCCGCCATTTCTCTTTGGATTTTCGTTGTTCCTCTGGAGAATGCTTCCACGATCGACAGTCAGGGTCACTACAGATGTAACAACGTCTGGTAACATTGCCATCTCGTTTATTGTATTACTTGTCTTTCTGCCGGTAGAACTTGCGATCAGTAAAGTACTAATTAGCAGCATGCTGGGCGCTGTTAGTTGAGTCTTCAGAGGTCTGGAGTGATTGTCGGAGCTTGGATGCAAGAGCCTCGAATGTATGAGACGGGGTGAACAATGCGTATTCGAGTTCCTTGACGCTACGGCAGGCGCGTTCCACAGCTGCAATTAGCTGTGTCTCGCTGAGATATGATGGGCCGAGGGCGCGTTGACAAAGCTGCAGCTTGTCAAGTAATGCCTCGAGGACGTCCATATTGGACTTATTGGCATTCTCGAGTCGTGCCTTCAAATTGCCGTAGGTAATTGCAGACTAATCACGATGATACTGCGTCCTGTTAACCTCTTTGTCAAAATGTATCTTGAGACGATTATACATGTCAGAAAACATGAAATAACGGCTAACATGGTGCATGAAATATATTCGGGCTGCGCCAGTAAGCACTTGAGGGAATACCGCGTGGAATTGACCAGGTTTGATGCCAATGGTAGAACACGTGTTCAGGAAATAACGTATCTTGTCGTCCAGAATATCATATGGTCTTCCGGAGTAACAGTCTTCCTTTGTCCATATCTTAGCGAACGTAGCGATGGTTGCAGAAGCAAGATCTTCGTTTGCTACTGGGGCAGGGGGAATCTGTGTATATGGGTCAGGTGGCTGGTTCTGAAGCCATTGATTGTGCTGTTGGTAGGTCTTGAAACCGGGGTCCGGTGTAACAGTAACATGTCGAGGACCGGGGACGAAGCTGTCAATTGCGTATGCCATCGGGGTTTGTCCGGGTATGAATCCGGCTTGCGGAGTCTGTGAGGGATTCCGATATTGGGGACGTATCGGAGCAGGTGTTCGTAAAGTATCTCTCAACTGGTTGCTGTCAATGCTCTGGAACGCGATATGGCTCTGTGAAACATGCTGCTCAGTAGGTTCGAGGTTAGCAGTATTAGCAGGAGGGGGGTCATTTTCGTCTTGAAGATCGAAACCAGGTGTGTTGGTATTGGATGAATCAGCGTCATCGCCGTTTTTTCGTGCTTGGATAGCCATGTAGCCTTCAACCATTTTCCACAGGTCAGGGTTTGGATATAACAGTTTCGTCCTGTCAAGCGTGATCTTGTCCCAGACAGGAAGGTCTTCTGCGGTTACGAGGTTGGCAAGTGCGTCCGCGATAAAGTGGTTTGCCTTGCCTAGATAGATTCCTTAGGAAATAAGGCATTTTCGGAAGATGCCTCGGATGGTTTGTTCAATCTTCTCGAAGTTGTCTCTTGTCCATTCTTCAAAGTCCATTCGGAAGCTCTCAAAGATGTCGTAAGGGACAGGCTTCTCATTGCTATTATAGCGATCAATGCAGGCTAGGGTGTACGAGTTGATGTGAATAGTGTCGTCATCTCTCAGATCGACTGGATGGATCATATCGAGGTCGATGGAGTCGACAAGGTTGGCATGTAGATTGTGCTTGCCAAGGTATCGTAGCTTCTTATCTCTCAGAATGTCAGCAGGGTCTTGAGCGACTTGGATTTTGCTGTTGCCACTGCTGGAGGCCATCTTGTCGGATGTACTCGTGTCGGATGTACTTGTGTTGGATATGGGCGTGTCGGATGGACGTGTCGGATGGACGTGTCAGATGGGCACGTGTCGGATGGGCGTGTGGGATAGGCGTGTGGGATGGGCGTGTGGGATGGGCGTGTGTCGGACGGATGTGTGTCAGGTGGTTCTGTCAACAATCTGGCATGTGTCGGATGGGCGTGTGTCGGATGGGCGTGTGTCGGACGGGCGTGTGTCGGACGAGCGCGTCAGATGGATGTGTGTCAGGTGGTTCTGTCAACAATCTGGCATGTGTCGGATGGGCGTGTGTCGGACGGGCGCGTCGGATAGATGTGTGGGGGAGGGTTCTGTCAGCAGTCTGTGCTGCCGCGCGGGGATGTGAATATTGCTGTGATTACAGCGTAATCTATTGCCTCGAGTCGCCTCCTCTGGAGGAACATTTGCAGTAGAAAACCTCGGATCTCGTGCTGTGCCTCGAATCGCCTCCTCTGGAAGAACGTTTGCGACAGAAGATCCAGATCTTTGGCTGTATCCCGAGTCTTGTGTCAGGAACGTTGATACAGTAGATCTCTTCTTTTCCTTGCTTATCTGTGTTGCCTTGGGAGACAACACTGATCAGTGTTGGAACAGGCTTGAACGATCAATCATAATACTCGAGTATGGGGTCAAGGTCATGATGTTACTGATGGTTGGATTGAGAGGAATCTAGCTGGACTCGAAGGTCTGGCCAAGTGCCCTCTCAATCCACTATCTTATCTTATCTAATCATACATATGGGTCCTGGTATAGATGGTTTGCAGTCTGGAATCGCATGGATCCAACAATGTTAATATTATAAACCGTAACGCCGTTAATATAAGTGTGGATCCCAGCCACTGGATCCAGCCACCAGTACATTATCGGGTCTCCTGTCATCCAAGGGGTTCTACGATAAGGTTACCTGGGATGGCTGCCCCAGGTGACAGGTACCAACCCACTGTAATTTAGGTATTTAGATACTTCTTGGATGGGATCCCTTCCCATCCGAACGTAACCAAGCACCGACCAAAATACAAATCATCCCAACCAGGACTTGTGATAGATCTCCGTTCTGGTTCCGCTACCGTAAAGGCAAATAAGTGTAGTCGACAATTTTACACCTTCTTATTTTAATTTATAAGTTTTAAAGGTAAAACTTAAATATTTTATTTTTACCGCGTTTTTTGTCTTTATTATTACTATTCAGAAGCCTTTTTATTACAATTTTAACCTTAAAAAGAGCTGGTGCGTATTTTAAAATCTTCTCTTTAATAACTTAGTTAATTAGTTTTAATTTCAAACATAAAAAAAAAGCTTACCGGCTTTAATATGTCTTTTTATAAATAAGCACGCCGTCGATAAAATATTAAAAGTAATAACGGTCGACGTGCTAGTCGATAAACGCTTAATAAACTAACGCCTTAATTTAAATATTACAGAGCGTAGCTTATGTTGAATAGGAGCCGGAAATAGACACCGGAAGATCTCCAGTGAGGCAATCTGACCCACCAAGAAGACAAATGATCAATTTCTGTACGCTGAAGAACAACAACACAAGATACTGGTCAACCTGAATAATCTGAACTCGCTTGCATCCGTGTATTCAATAGCTTACGCCTCTAATTAACAATTAAAAATAACAGTGCAAAAATTAGTAAAAAAAGGAAGAAGAAAAATTACGATTTTAGAAAGAAAAAGACAGTGTTGTTGTAGTTTTATTAAACGCAAAACAATTAACGTAGTTAGGAAATGTCGCGTTTATAAGGCCGTCGGGTATAGCTCGTAAGAGGGGGGGCGCGGCGGTGGATCGTAAAGGGGTGTTTGATATTAAAGGGTACAAGGGACGCTATAATGAGTAGGCACCACAGACATATTCACAGACATATTCACAGACATATTCACAGACATATTCATAGACATATTCACAGAAATATTCACAGAAATATTTACAGACACATTCACAGCGCTTGAAGCTAGTCGCTTCGGCAAAGTCAGGTTATGCTCAAAGTCACGTTGTGCCATCCCAGAACTGCCAAATTTCGTATTGACAGCAAGCCCCAAGGACTGCTTTCGCCCACCCCTTTTCTCAGCCTAACTAAACGCGGAACGAAAGTCAGTGGTAAGTTCCAAACATACATGTAGGTTGTGGCTGAGAGTTCTTACTACGCTAGCCCCCAAGCTCTAAATTCGTGACTCCTGGGCGGGCGCGCCAGGGCCAGGATCCTGGAGAAGCAGACATCTTCGGGAGAATAGTCGTACCACTCGCTGTGTGTCAATTCCTTGGGACACTCGGCGCATCGTCGGTCTCGTTTTCGGCCCCTTCCGACTTGTCCTCCGGCCTGTCCTCCGTTATAGACGGCCATCTGCATCTGTTCTTCGGGGTATGACGGCAGCGGGTGTCTGCCGTTTCCGAGCGGAGTTGGTAGTAGCCTCTTCCTCAGCTGCTCGGTCTAGGTCGCAGCAGCAATGGCCGCAGCGGCAGCAGAGGCGTCGACGTCTAGCATCTGCTTCTTGATCGTGCGCAAGCAGCGCGGGCTCAGGGTCCTGGCGTCAGCATCGGAGCGGGACGTCCTCACCGGAGAGAGACTTATCAAGGTCAGTTATTGATCTTGCTATGCTTGGGATATGGAGTATTTACGGCAGAACGGCAGCAGCGGGATGGCTAGTCGGCCAGACCTTGGCGAGGATCTCAACCTCGCAGGCGTTCAGCATAAGCTCGGTACCCTGAGTGCCCTCAGGCTGGGTGCGAGGAGTGGTAGCCATTGTCGATAGTGGATGAGTGGCTGTATGGCAGATCGCAGTAGCAAACGATGTCGTCAGGGTACACCGGCCGGGATGACGGACGGGTCGCCGCCCAGAGCAGGAGGAGGGACGGTGGCGTTGCCAGCCAGACCGGTGACTGCATCGTCGGGGTCGGCGCGAACGGAGAGGCGAGCGGTGGCGGCGGCACCATCAGCGGTAGGAACACCAGCGTGAAGAACAGGACAAGCAGTCCTTAGTACAGGCTGTGTCCCCACCAACACCCGGCCACGGAAGCAGGGTAGACGGTGGCCAGATTAGCTGCCCAAGCAGGGCTGATGGACGGTGTGGGAGAGGGAAAGGAATGGGGTGCTGGTGGATAAGGTGGTATCTTCGCTTGATTTCGGGTGTCATCTGGAAGTCTGTTTGTAGCCAGGCAAGAAACATTCGCGCCCTCTTTAGGCGTTGTCCACACTCCACGTCGTCGTCGGTAGGAAGGCGGCCTTTGCAATGTCTCATGCATCGCTGAAACAAGGTCTTAAGGCTCTCCTTTTCTCTCTCTACGAGCCTGAGCTTGGCTTGCGGGTTGTCGCCGACAAGGAACACCTCGACAGTGTTTTCGCCAGTCACGCGAAGACCCGCCTTGGCGAAGCCTCCCGGGCCTTCGCCCATGCCGCAGCCGGGGAAGAAGCAGTTGATTTATTTTTCATTTACTTTTAAGCTCTTCGACCGGAAGGGAGGAGCCAAACCCGAATACCCCAAAAGACAACAAAAAGCAGAGCCCCGTGAAGCAGTCTCCTCCCGGGTGCAAGTTGACCACATGCTCCACCAGGCCCTTGTCGGTGCCACCTTGGTACCGGACGCACAGCTGGCAGTTGTACTTGCGGTCGGCAGGGAGAAAAGAAGAGGGCTCGGGCGTGCATAAGCACCAGCGTCCGCTTTGATGCGGTAGTCGCCTACGTCCTCGCTGACCCGAATTGATAGCATGCCATCCTCGTCCATCCACCACTTTGCCCACCACTTTGCCAAGGTGAGATCGTCGCACTTTTCGCCCTTCGAGAATAGGGTTCCTTCATCGTCTCGAAGATCCAGGTATTCGTGGTAGTTCATTATGCAAGCGTCCATGACACCTAATGGATAAAAACATGTCGTGTCAGTACTTGAGCCCTGCATCGCCGCACAGTTGGCACTTGTACATACCAGTCCGCTGGTTGGTGATTTCGGCGTTGGCTAGGGCTTCGACGTGCATAAGAACCAGCGTCTGCTTTGATACGCCATACCGCGTACTCAAGGTATGCCCGTTTGTCGACAAAGGCGCCCCAGTATTCTTTAGTAGACCCGCAGGTCTACCGAGCACACCAAGCTTCAACCCAGTTTCGTCAGCAGGGTGAAGATGCATGAGGATGGACAAGGTCATGGAGCGAGGTTCACGATGGGCACGCAAGTGATGAAGCAGAAGAAGAACGCCACTTACATGATGATGTTTGCTATGTTGCTTGCTGGCAGAGAGACTCTGGAGAGAGGGGTCAATGGTGTGTAGCTTTCCCTGAGTTGCTTGGAAGTTGATCGCTTACTGGAGAGGGTTGAGAAGGTAGGATCCAGGGCCATCGTGACGAGCATCTTGTGCTGGTTTGCAAGCTCGAGCTCTCCATCGTCCGAAGCCTTGAACTGCAGGATCTTTGCCTTCAACTCTTCGCCGTCAATGGCCATCTGGAAGATGGCGTTTTGAAGCTCGGCAGGCATGATTTTGTTAAGTTCTCGAAGGATGTAGGCCATTATAGCTCTCGATGCCGTGACCTAGCGCCCATGGCCGCCTCTGCACTGGTTAGTTGCTGTCTACTCCATACTGCCTTGTCGAATTTGCGGAAGATCGTGGGAGGAGGTAGCGGGTTGGGCAAGTCGGCCGACGGTGACAGTGCACTTGGGAGCGAGAGGCAAGTGGTTATCGCATTGTGTGAGATTTCAAAGTGTTGTGAACTGAAAGAAGAAGAAGAAGTCTGCGGGGTATTTTCGGTTAGTATGGACCTTCGTGTGAAGGAGATGGACAAGGAACCGAGCACCTATGTGGACATATGCACCCCGCTAGCATGCGCAGACAAGGATGATGAAAGGACGGGTGATCTTACCTGGTTCATCATGACCGATGCCATCGTGGCGATGAATGGGCAGTATCCCAACAACTGGTGGTTAATAGGTTGTTGCTGGAAGGGGGAAGAAAAAAGGTGGAAGGATTTTGTAGATGGTATTGATTTGTGCGATTTTATTATGGGGTCGAAGAGCTTAATTAAAATTGAATCTATCGGAGCGGCCCGAGGCATTGCAATAGCGGTACAGTGGGCACGTGGCGGTAGGTATCTGGGGAGGTTGGCCGTTGCTGTGAGACGAGCTCAGTCAAGCGCTGTGCCAACTTCCACTGCACCAACAGTTCAGTGCACTGCGAAGTAAGGGGACGAAAGTATTTCAGCCGAGCCCTCATTAACTCAATTGCCCGGGAAGGAGATGCACACTTGAGTCAAGTTCCTATTGCACCATATCAAACTCATGATTCCAATGCTGGAATTTGCCCAGGGGGTCAGGCCCCAGAACACAGCCTGCTGCAGCCCTGGGCTGTATTGGTAAGCTATCCCATCGTAGATGTTCATACTTGTTCAGTTCAGTAGTGAGTAATGAGAATGCATCAGCCTCTTTCTCTATAGTATCAATACTGTTCTAATACTCCTTTCAAGTACTCAAGCCTTATGGATTGTAGGTAGCCTGGATCGGACCTTTTCCTAGAAAACATGCCCCTTTCCTTGGCCATATCCCGAGAGACGTTATCACATGTGAATATCTAGGCCTCACTGTTTCGCGTCTCGGTGTCAAATAGGGCTGCTCGGGATCTATCAAGGACCAAAATAACCCAACCCAGGTCTTCTGTTCTTCAAGAGCGATTGGCCTGGTATACCAGCTGCTCTCATATTTTGCTACTGGTTTATGTTACGGTATTACATAATACCTCCACATATTTATGTACATATATACCCCTAGCTTCCCCGTTCTCTTCCGACCTTGCCTCTTCTTCCTTAGATATCGTTGAATCTAGATATTTCAACCCATCAGCCCTGACCAGCGCAGCTGCAGGCCTGATTGTCACAATTTAGACCGGGATACTGCTTTGCAGACTGGATCGGCTTGACCATGTTCAACATGCCACTCCGGCCGTCATCGCGAGGAAGAAGTTCGAACAGACTCCGAAGCTCCCTGGAAAACACCGACGAAGCAGTCTAGATAGAAGTCCCACACAAAATCCGGAATAGGGAAAGCAGTTCGCATGGAACGCCTGCGGCTACCCGATGCCTCAGTATAGATAACCAACCAGCAGCTTTAACAGCAAACGGTAGGAGCCGCGGTTCATGCAAGGAGTCGACGCTAGGCAGCTTCTGGGTGTCTGTCATATACCGTTTGAACGGCCCGGGTGGCGAGCTGCGGGATGCGGGATGCGCGGCACCCTTACGGCCGGGAGGTACTTGGCAACAAAGACGATGGCGCAAGGGGGTGGGGGGCAGGTTTCATTGGTGATACCGCGACGCGTTGCGACTCCAAACGTGGTATTGCCCATGTCTGAAGGAGCATCATGTCACACCGCTTTCTTTCTTGTCTTTCTTGGACGATGGGTGACAGCAGCAGTGACTGGTCAAATTGACTGGTCAGATTGAGAGAATGGCTGTCAGGGTACTAGGCATGCTAATGTCTGTTTGCGGTGCACCCCTGGGGCCTGTACGGTGCTGGTATTTAACCTGGCTCCCCCAGCATCGCCCGAGCTGGCACTCGGTTATATTCAGGCTCTCTGCCCGGCCGGGACGATGGGAGAGGAGAAAACACATGATATTTGACTCCATCACTGTCTAGCATTGATCCCGACTTCAAGATGGACGAAAGCAGCCTGGCTAAGCTTAGAAATACGAGTTTCCTATACGGACTGGGCGTGTCCTTTGTTGTCTACCTGTTCGTTTCATACACTGTAACGTGGCTCAGGCTCCGTCACATCAACGGGCCCCTCCTGGCCAAGTTCTCATACTTTTGGCTCTTCAGCGTATCGTTGAAAGGCAAGCAAGCGCTCTACTCGCGGCAAGTCATCGACAAGCATGGCCCACTGGTTCGCATAGGTCCGAATGACCTTCTCACCGACGACGTGGAGGTCATTCGCCGCATGAATGGGGCTCGATCGAAGTACGGTCGGTCCAATTGGTATCATGCTATGCGCATGGTGTGTATAACTCTAGATCCCTATACCGACTCCAACGCAAAGAGCCAGCGACACCACTGACGCGGCGCAGGACCCCTATCAAGACAGCTTGTTCAGCATCATGGACACACCAACACACGACAAGCTCAAAGCCCAGCTATCATTCGGCTACGGAGGAAAAGAGAACCCCGAAATCGAAGACGGCGTCAACCTCCAGATCCAGCACTGGCTTGACCTCATCCGACGGAAGTACACCTCGAACGAGACGGACTTCAGACCCATGGACTTTGCGAGGGTCACGGGGTACTTCACGCTGGACGCCATCACGAAGATAGCGTATGGGAAGGAATTCGGCTACCTCGCCACCGAGTCGGACGTCTACGACTACATGGAGACGATGGAGGGCAACGTGCCCAAACTCGCCTTGTTCTCCGAGATACCTGCCATGGGGAAATTGCTCTTCAGTCACACGGCTCTGAAACTCATTGGGCCGAAGTTGACGGACAAGACTGGTATTGGCAAGCTCATGGCGTAAGTACTTACCAACGCCGCCGTCTGGGCGTGGGATGTTGGTTGACTAAAGTAACATGCAGCGTGGCCCACGACGTTGTCGGGGAGAGATTCGGCGCCAATCCAAAGATACGTCAGGATATGCTGGTATAGCCCCTTTACGCGCCCTCCTGTACGACCAACGCTGACCACGCGCAGGGCTCGTTCCTCCGCCACGGCATCTCCCAGCGACAGGCCGAGTCAGAAGTGATGTTCCAGATCGTCGCAGGGTCCGACACGACCGCAACCGCCCTCAGAGGCACAATGCTTCTCATACTCCTGACACCGCGCGTCTACCGCTGTTTGCAACAGGAGATAGATACTGCCGTAACCGAGGGTCGGCTGTCAACGCCCATGAAGGCGGACGAAGCCAAGCAGCTCAGATACCTGCAGGTGAGACTCCCTCCAAACCCCTTGAGCATTAGGTATGACGACACGCACTAAGCGCCCCACGCACGAACACAGGCCGTCATCAACGAGGGCCTCCGCCTCAGCAACCCCTTCACGGCGCTGTCGATGAAAGAGGTGCCGCCCGAGGGCGACACCATCCACGGGCACTTCATCCCGGGCGGGACGCGCATCGGGCTCAGCATCTCGTCGATCCACCGATCCAAAGCAATCTTCGGCGCCGACGCCGAGGTGTTCCGACCCGAGCGGTGGCTTTTGCAGGAGGTGGAGGGCAAAGGCAGGGAGGAACAGGACTACCGCTACCGCGAGATGGCGCAGGCGGTGGATCTGACGTTCGGGTACGGGCGGTGGGCGTGCAGCGGGAAGGCTGTGGCGTTCATGGAGCTGAACAAGGTCTTCGTTGAGGTGAGTTTGTTTTTTTGGAGTAGCTATCTCCTGCAATTGAGTTGAGGTGGTGTGGGTGTGGCCTTGCTGACGCAGGACAGCTTCTGCGCAACTTCGATTTCCAGTTGGTCGACCCTGTCAACCCGATTAAAATCTGGAACCATAACCTGAGCTTCCAGAACGGCATGTGGGTGCGCATCACGGAGCGCCGTGCGCCCACGACCTAGTGGTGTTGCGAAAGCAGTGTTGTGATGAGTGAAGCCTGCATGAGCATGCTTGTGGACAGATCAGGTTGACGTTCGCGATGAGCCGGTCATGCATGCTAAAGTGAGAGAGAGAAAGAAGGGGGTATATGATATATTACATATTACGTTCATTATGCGACCGCGATAACATGCCTATACCGCCATGAAAGCCTAAAAAGCCCAATGTCACCAACGTGACGAGGCCCGTAAAGCCTCGCACGACTCCCGTCGCGTCTCCACCTCTCGACCTGGCGGCGCCGGACGTAGCTGTGGGCATGGTGTTGCTAAAGGTGGCGGTGGCCTCCGGAAGCAGCAAGTTACCGGCGGAGCCGGTCGAGAGTGTCGCTGTCGCGCTGGGGTCTTGGCTGGCACTCGTCGACGATGCCGATCTCGTCGCTAGAGATGTCGAGCTGGTGGATGTTGTACTACTCTCCGAAGTGGAAGAGGATGTCGTGGTGGTGGTTGTTCCATTGACCATGGACTGCACCCACGCGCCCGCTGTGTCCGTGTACTTGTCGAAGTAGTTCAGGTGGTCAGCGACATTGGTGGTGCGGGTTCCGTCGCCCACGGCGCATATGGGGTCGTCGAACTGGCAGTAGTCCTGCAAGACGGCGGCGAAGTTGTTTAGAGCAGCGAGCTGGTCCCCGGTCCGGGGCAGCAGTCCGCTGAACGGGGAACCTTCCACTTCGTCGTAAGATTGCTCGGCGGTGTGGCGTGGGTTACCGAATATTATGGCCGCAGCGACTATTTCATCGTCAGTAACGCGATCTCGACCATGTATACGCACGGGACGGCGAACTCACTCTTGTTTCCCGGGGCCGAGTTCACGTCGAGCCCAGAGCTCGTCGTGGTGGTGCATCCATTGTAGAATGTGCCACCTCCACCGCCCAGGATGTCGCCGACCACATGGGAGCCCTGCGAGTAACCGCTGATGACGAGTTTGGCATCGGGACACCGCTTGTTATAGGCGGTTATCTGCTTGACACCGGCAGCACGGCCGGCGTCGACGTCGGTGCAATAGTTGTCCTCCAGAGCATTGGTAAATTGTATGTCCTCGTAGTCGCAGCTGCTCAGGCCCCCGCAGACGGCGTCGACTATCTTGCTCTGGCGGCCTGGGTACGGCTCGTTGTTCCCGCGGGCGAGGAAGATGTGGACGTCGGTGCACGTGTCTAGGCCGGTGGATTGCGCGCTGGCAAGCGCCGAGAAGACGGCGGCTGAGACGAGAGCCGCGCGTCTCATATTGACGGGCGCGCCCGACACTGATGAAGTTGAATAAGACATCGGAGAAGTAACAGAACGCAATTACGTCTAACGAGTGACACGAATCGAAGCCACAGACCCAATAACGAAACGAAAGCCAGGAATACTTGAAGAAACGACGCGACGAACAGCACAGACAGCCAAGAATGAATCAAACATCTCGAACCTCAGAAAAAGATCGGACGAGAGCCTTCTTTTCAACGCTCGCGTCAAAGACAAGATAGGGCCCCCACTGATACTGCCCGTCGGATTCCCCGGGGCCAACTTCCAAGAGCCAAATGACATGTGGACCGGCAGATAAGGAAACCCCATAACCCGCCCCGGTCAGAGACACAGAGCTGCAACGATCTCCAGAGTCCAGGGCAGTTATTATTTAGAGTGCTAGATCTCCATCATCTTTATTATTATTACACATACCGCAAACGCCACTCGCTCTGAACGACCGCAGTCCTCACCACCTTTGGCTTCTCCCCGGATAGGAAGGCGCGAGCATTATCGGCATTGTGGTCGTCGCTGTTGTCCATGGAATCATGAATGCTGCCCGGCCCGCAACTACTAATCAAGTGTCCGGGATAGCTTGCAAATCGGGTATAACCTCTTTTTCTTTGCGGAGATATCATCCTATTCTTTTTTAGATGTACTATTCGCCGCTCGCGTCATCAACAGTCGAGCTCGTGTCCACTATCCACCGAGGACACGCACTCCACGTCGCTCGCCCCGAGTCGGTCAGTGTCGATTCTCTTTCCTGCCCCCACCTGTCATCAAAGATGGTATGATGGCCGAGTGGCTATTTTAGAAACAGAGTCAAAGCTGGAGTCTAAGCTGGAGTCTAAGCTGGAGTCTAAGCTGGAGTCTAAGCTGGAGCTCGCAATCTCCGTTGCGATGAGGAACACAGATGAGAGGCTCTGGTACGGGGGCAATAGAAGTGCGATACTGGCCCAGACTTGGTGATTAGAAGAGGTGGACGTTGCTGCTCCGCCCCCCCCCCCCCCCCCCCGTTTGGGTATGGAGTTGGGACGGGGTCCACTGACCATATTACATTCGCTCTAGTCACCCCAATTTGGGGAGGAGTTAAAGATTTATTTTTCTACGGGGGACTGCCTACTAGACGGTAGAAGATAGATGCGATAGAAATCACCACCACTCATACACTATACATAAGTCTTGATATCTGCCGTGAGGTACCTCTAGGTTAATTATCCCATCCGGTCCTCAGGAATCTAAGAGCGACCTTACAAGCTGCCTGATATCCAGTACCCCGAAACACCTAGACCTTCGCCTCAACAATCTGCCCATCGTCCACGAAAACAGTCTCGAACCCGACCTGAATGCTCGCCCGGTCCATATCAATCCAGCCGTCCTCCTTGTCCTGGACCTCGCTATCCCACTCCGGGTCCGCCAACATGTTTCTCAGGTCGTCGGGACTGCGGACCCAGTAGGACGTGGTCACGTCGAAGTCGGCCATCTGCCATCCAGGCTTCGGGCGGGTCTCCTGCAGGTCGTTGTGGAACTGCTGGCGCATGAATGAGGGTGTGAGGAACTACACGGTTGGTTTCTATGTCAGCCAGAGAGAGACGACTCACGAGGCATCGTGGATGTATTGGTTCGATGCTGGGCATGCCTACTACGTACCAATGAATAGCGGAAGACATTGTGCTTGTGCACCAGTCTGACCATGCGCGGCCGGTGCACTTCCTGGTACCACTTCATGAACTCTTCATCGCTCCTTTTTGGGTGCTTGTAATGCTGGACCGTGAATTTCAGGATCTGCTGAGGGCTTCCTGGGAAGCTGGGGGCTCGCTCATGTTGAATGTTTAGATGGGGGGGCGTTTGATCGTGGCGATGGAGATTCGGGAAGTGAGAAGAATTCGTAGATTTTGCTTTTTGAGCGAATCTACAGGTTTCTTACATTGTTACAGTATCAGGAAACCCCGCTCTGGTTTGCCAGCCTTCCCTTCCAAGCCTCCTTGCTTATGTTGGTTCTCAAGTTGTTGGTGCCCAGACGGTGGTTCCCAGACGGTGGTTCCCAGACTGTTGGTTCCAACTGTTGGTTCCCAGCCTGTTGGCCATGGCCCGTTTGCTGCCTGCAGATCCAATATCCCATACCAGTCTTCTGGCCTCATTGGCTCCGGAACTGCCGGAAGCGCGTCCAACAGGCTGCAACAGTAGGCACGTTATTGTGCGACAAGATATCCTAGGGTGATCCCTCGACTCTGTCCAAGCCTCGATTCACCATTGGAGGATCGGGGTTTTGCGCGGTGTATGCAATCATAGCCGTCGTAACACAGCCCCCTTCCGCATTTCCTTCCAGGTTGCGTGAATATAGAATTGATGCAGTACCCTGCGAAAGTAGGGCTGCTGTGACCATTGTCACCACGTATCCCTCTACCGCCGTTGGACCAGTCTGGGGCGAGGGGAATACGTAGTCGTCAGCTTTCCCAATGAGCCCAAACCCAACAACGGCCTGATGAGCCAATCCGGGAGTACCTTATCGAACATTAACCCTAACCCTAACCCCGAGAGACATCTGAGCGGCAGGGTAAATCCGACTCGCCACACCTTGGCCAGTTTGGCTTTACCGTGATATCTCGCTACAAGCTCGCTAAGCAACACCACGTCCACCATTCTGGATCATGTCAGTCGGCACATTTGGTTATCATACACACCGTACAAGCTGGCAGAGCGACCTAAAAAAAAGGCAAGCAGAGGAGCTCCAAGTGTACAAGGTCTTAGTCCAGCCGTATGTTCCTCGCTGCTGTCACTATGGAGTTCCCACACATTTCCATGGCAAGGGGATAGCTGCAGTTGCAGGGACAATATGATCATCTGTCATTGATTGACCAGCACCTGGATTCTCAATATATACACTCTCGCCTTGTTCTGCCCCGTCTACTTTCTCTCGGCGGCCACTGGCTCCCACATCGCAATCTTCGACTTTGTGCTAGACGTGGACATGCGTCAGTAAATCCGAAATGCTCCCATTATGGTGTCTGAGTCACGTACGTGCTGTATGGCGTGTATGCTCCTCGGCCCAAGGTGTAGTTCGGGATGGTCTTGGCATCGCGGTCCTCCCATGGCCGTCTTTGGTATGATATCGAGGGGTCCTGACTGGGAGCCTTGTCGACGGCGTAAGACATCCAGGCATGCCAGCCCGGTTCAATCTGGGATCTGCATTTCGTATTAGTCGAGCTTGTCGGTGTTTGGTAACCATCGTGGCAGATCATACGCATCAAAGTCGTGCAACTTGTAGTCCACCCATCTTGTTCGAACTGCCATATATCAGTGCCTGGTGAGTCGAGGTAGGTAATGCTCGCCTCTGGTACATACGAGGTAGTTCTTCGTTGTTCTCGTAGTACTTGTTGCCGAATCGGTCGGAACCGATCAATGTACCGGCTTTGGTGTCGCCTGTGGCCACATCAGCACTTCGCGGAGGTTTCGGTGTTCGGTCGTCCAGGCGCACCGATGTACTGTTTCGAGAGAATCGGTGGATTAGCTGCCGTGGGTAAAGGCTACGTGGCGGGTTCGACGTACGTTCATTTGGCGCCAGGAGTCCTGTTGCGCGGTATGTTAGCAGTAGTCCGGAGCTCGGTCAAGACGTGACAACTCACCTTTAAACCCGCCTTCCACAGGTTAGTGAGGGTTCTCGTGATGTACGACATGGTGGGCGAGGCTCAATTGGGGTTCCGCGCCTGGCTGATGATGATGTCGGAAGTGATTAGGTGACGATGGATGGAGCTCTTTGATGCTTCAGCATTGGAGATGGAGCACAGACCAGGCGCGGGTCGGCTAATACACGGCTGAATATGCTTGTATCGAAGTACCGGCATGACGCTGCACCTACCCCTGTCAACATGAACTTGAAGAAGATCTGGAAGCTGCCGATATTTGGGAAACCCAAGTCTGTCCAGTGATGCGTGACTGCTAATACCTCGAGCATCCGCTGCCATGATTGTCCGAAGCACAGCGAGGGGATGCCATAGACTACGATCGGCCTTACCTCGCCCAGCGACCCGATATGGCCAGCAGTGCTGCCGTCGATACGCAATGCCCACCAGCGCATCGCCAGCAGGCAGCGCGGCAACTTCTGCGGGCATGCTGGCGCCATTCGTGAACGATCTGGACAAGATCGCCCCTTCTTTCAAGATCAATGGCTCTCAGATCCAGATCATCAAGTCCCCTGCCGACTTCTACGAGACCTTGAAGGTTCGTGGCATGCTGTCGTAGCGTCTAAGTGAGGTCCAGGCCGTTGACTTTGTCAGGCCAGGATACGCAGTGCGAAGAAGCGCATATTCTTGTCAACACTCTACATTGGCAAATCCGAAAAGGAGCTGGTATGGCATGCATTCAGTCAGACACCCAACACCTGACGGGCCGCTGACAACACCCAAGATTGCGACCCTCCAAGATGCGCTGCGCGCAAACCCCGAGCTCAAGTTGAGCATCCTCACCGACGCCCTTCGCGGAACCCGCGAAGCACCAGACCCCTCCTGCGCATCATTACTCGCTCCTCTTGTCACCGAGTTCGGGCCTGATCGCGTCGAGATCCGAATGTACCACACCCCAAACCTTACAGGCGTACGAAAGAAGCATATACCCAAGCGCATCAACGAAGGATGGGGCTTGCAACACATGAAGCTGTATGGGATCGACGACGAGATCATTCTTTCGGGGTATACAGTTCCGGACCCATGTGCGGCAGCAACAAGTGGCTGATACATCGTAGTGCGAATCTCTCGAGCGACTACTTCACCAATCGCCAGGATCGCTACCATCTGTTTACGTCAAGCGAAATCACGAACTACTTCTGGCGGTTATACCAAGGGGTGACTTCTCTCAGCTTCCTCGTGCATCCGGCTGAGGATGATGCTTCGGGCTTTAGACTCGAATGGCCATCTGCAAACGCAGCCCCATCTCCCTTGGAGCATCCCACAGACTACATTACGCGGTCGACCGGAATAATAAACAATTTAATCTCGGCCAAGACGTCTTTAAATAGCGCCTCGGCACACGGCCACACGTCCAGCCCCCGAGATACAACAGTGTATATGCTTGGACAGCTTTCGCAGTTGATGAAACCTGATTCATCGACAGAGCTTCCGGCTATCACACATGTCTTGAAGACTCTAGCTGCGCCTGAATACGCAGGCTCTTCATGGACCTTCACCGCAGGATACTTCAACCCAGCTCCCTCACTTAAGAATCTACTGATGTCCACAGCTTCGCAAAACAATACGGTGATAACAGCATCCCCACATGCTAATGGTTTCTACGGCTCGAAAGGCGTCTCCGGTCTTCTACCCGGTGCCTACACTTACCTGGCTCGACGCTTCCTCCGAGAAATCAACCAGCGCAAGCATGAATCGGCCATTGTTCTGAAGGAATGGCGGAAAGGAACCGTTGGTGAACCAGATGGTTGGACGTATCATGCGAAAGGGTTGTGGGTAACCCTGCCTAAAGAGGAGCACCCCTCGATGAGTATCGTTGGAAGCTCGAACTACACAAAACGCAGCTACAGTCATGACCTCGAGGCGGGCGCATTGATTGTCACCGAGGACGCGGATTTGAAGAAGAGGTTAGGAGATGAGCAAAGGTGGCTGCAAGACTATGCCAAACCTGTGACACTGGACGACTTCGCCACAAATGAGAGGAGAGTAGGGTTGAAGGTCCGCATTGCCATGTGGATTGTGACTCTTGTTGGGGGTGCACTCTAATCCCGCGTCGACACGGGACACGAGTGGACTCGACGTCACATTGGAGATCTCGACCGATTAACCAAAGCCAGCCAAGCCTGGAGCCTCCGTGGATTTTGTATGGTAGCACGAATCGGTACCCTAGGCGACCCTCGCGATGCGATATAGGGCGGCCTTCGCCTGGGCCAAGGAACATGAGCCGATCATCTTTGCCGCATTCATCGACGGAGGGCTTGCCTCCACCCATCATCTCGTCTCAATGATACCCATCACCAAATAGTATAAATTTAATACACAACTGGCCACTTGGGTCAGGTACACAAGCTACTAGGCATATTTCCTGCTCTTATGGAGGTTACTCCGCACTCAAGCGAAGAGGCAAACCTGGCTTGAGATCGTCCGAGTATCCTATGCCTTTCGGCTCTGACGCCCGAGATCCCCTTTCCATGATGCTATAAATGGTAGCGAACGGAATGAGATCATCGTCTCGTCGCCGTGATTCGCTTGCAACGACTGGAAATTAGTTAAGCAAGCTTGAATATGCTGAACAATCGACACCCCCAATGCTCATAAGTAGGGAATCATCCTCGGTGGCCAGCAAATCGCTATTCTCATGTCAAGTCGACCAGTGAGCATCAACGGTGAACATTCAAGATGAAGTCGACTCTATCCCTTCTCGCATGTCTACTCACAGGCGCCTCGGCGACCATCTATTATGCTGGAGTCGCCGAGTCCGGTGGTGAGTTTGGGGTCTACAGCTCAACTGCTACGCCTGGGTTCGGGCTACCAGGCACCTTCGGCGTGGACTACCAGTTCATCAATCAGGCGGGCGTGGATGTCCACGTGGACCAAAACCACCTGAACCTCTTCCGCATTGCCTTCCTTCTCGAGCGCATGTGTCCCGTAGCCACGGGCCTCGGCGCGTCCTTCAACGAGACGCACTTCGACCTCTTCAAGGATGCGGTCGACTACGTGACCGTCACCAAGGGGGCGTATGCGATACTCGACCCTCACAACTACATGCGCTACAATGACCCGTCATCGCAACCGTACAGCGGCAGCGTCATCGGCAACACGTCGGACGTCACGGCCGCAACCACCGCCCAGTTCGGCGAGTTCTGGGGCGAGCTCGCGGGCCGCTTCGCCGATAACGAAAAGGTCATCTTCGGCCTGATGAACGAGCCGCACGACATGCCGTCCAGCCTCGTGCTCGAGAACAACCAGGCCGCCATCGACGCCATCCGCGCCACGGGCGCCGAGAACCTGATCATCATGCCCGGAAACAGCTGGACGGGAGGCCACGCGTGGACCGAGGGTACAGACCCCAGCAGTGCGGTCATGTACCAGTTCAAGGACCCGGTCAATAACACTGCGCTTGATATCCACGAGTATCTCGACGTCGACTTTAGCGGGGGCCACAGCGAATGCGTCAGCGCTCCCGAGACGTACTTGGCTAATCTGACGGAGTGGCTGAAGGTGAGCTAGCTGCCTGCCCCCTGACCCTGATTCTAGAATCCCGACACAACCATCCACCCACCACAAATGACCCATACTGACTTCTTCCCCTCCCACCCCCGCGCCAGACCTACCAGCTCAAAGCCTTCATCACCGAGTTCGGCGGCGCCAACAACACGGGCTGCGCCGCCATGCTCACCGACATGGTGGACTACATGGCCGACAACGAGGAGTACATCGGCTGGACCGCGTGGGCCGCGGGACCCTTCTGGGGCGCGAGCAGTCCCTGCTGCACCGACTCGCTGCAGCTCGGCAGCCTGGAGCCGGGGAGCACGGCTGCGGACGGGAGTCCGGGGTTGTACACGACTGTTTGGCTCGAGACGTTGCAGCCGCTTGTGCCGAGCTTGCTGCAGTGGTCGGGCGGGGCGAGCGTGGCGGGTGGTGAGCTGGTTGCTTTCTCTGGTTAGAAGTTGGAGGTTGGTGTGAGATTATGTATGGGCTTAAAGCCTCCTGTCTTGAGTGCGTTGTAGAGGTTGCGCAAGGTGAGGTCCGCAACTTTCATGAAGCCTTTTCTGCAAGTCACTAATGACGTGTTATGAGTAATGCATCCTTTGAACTACTATAGTTTCGCCCACCTAACGAAAGTCCCTATGAAGGTCAAGTCTTGCCCATCATGGTATCAGATGGACCAGATGAAGTTCATCTATAAGCTACTCGACATAACACCCCGTGAGTAACCGGCCGTGTACGCGCTGGTGGAACAGGCAGCCCGTATCCTATTTCATGGATAAAGTGCGTGAGTCCGTGTCCAAATCACCGAGTCTGCTTGGAGGCGTCCAAAGCTTGAAGCCGGGTCGTAAATATATCCACCGGAGCGTTGGAATAATGTCGCCAGATGCCACCTGTTGGCAAACCGTCTGGGAACAGGGTCTCTGGCAAGGAGGAGAACTATCATTGTTATCACTTGCTGAACATGTTGTATGGGCCTGTTGTATAGCGACCTCGCTATCTTCTGGTCAACTGGAGGGATACGAGATCTCCCATATCGATCCTAGCCTATCGCCATACTATCTCCTACAATGTCCCATTGTGTCGGGGTCAAACATGAGGCGGGAATATGATCGCACCCCTTCTCCGCAAACACAGTACATATAACATCCAGACCCAAGAATTGAAGGTTGCACCATTCTCCTTATTCCTAGTCACTTTCGACTTCCTTGCCACATCCACCCCTTTGGTCATCACCGTATGACCCCATCCCCCCCGGTCAGTCGAGCAGAGCTCTGGGGCACTAAGATCCATCCGAAGATCCAGCCGCCGGTGGGCTGATAAACAAGACGTTAGCTGAAATCACAGTCCGTGGCGGAGCCTAAGGGAGGGACAACTCACTCCAACAGGCAGTAATCATCGTACTCAGGCTTGCGGTCGTCGCGGTTGCATCCGTTTTCGCAGTACCTATTATATTCGAGGAGGTTTTCTCGCCCCCAGCCGATGAGTCTGCAGCGGAACAGGTATTTGCTCGTATCTCCCCCGCCGTAGCCCGCATTATGCGCGTTATCTTCGACGCTGACTGCAAGAAAGGAGGTGACACACGATTAGACACAGAGGAGAGGTTGACGCTGGTGGCCGAGGAGTTGGGGAGGGGGGTTGGACTCTGAGGTTCCCCAGATCTTTCTAGTACGTACTCTGGCTCTTGATGGCGTCCCCGCAGTAATACTGCTCATGGTTGCAATCTGCGCCCATGGCGGCACCGTTAAGAGCGAGGGGGAGGTAGAAGTAGATGACCTTCATCGTTCCTGGCTTGATGCGTTTGCTGAATGGAGTGTTTCGGAGTTGTGCTGTCTACGGCGGAAGAGATGGGGCGTGAGGAAGTTGATGCACTGGATAGCTAATTCGTAAGCCATGCTACTTATACTTGAGTGGAGTTCTCTCGTGTGTGCATTGTCTTGCCCATCTGAGTCCGTGCTGTGTGTTCTGCACAGACATTAGCTTGGCAGTGTGATCATAGGAAATGAACAGAAGACAGTCATGTTACTACCCGTGTGACGTTGAGTCTGGAGGAGGCTCGCCACGGTAGAGATGGATGAACCAAAAGAGTGAAGCCACATTGGCGCTATTAGGATTCGAACCTAACACCACTGATATGATCATCTTCAACTGCGTCTTTGCACTGGTCGACACCAACGGGTAGGGTATGTTCAGATATTACGTAGTGGATAGAACCGTTATCCCAAGCGAAGTGAAACTTAATTTCAACGGTGTCGTAGCTGCGGGATAACGTTACCTTGACTCAAACAGGCCCATGATAATTAGACACGACGTCGTGTAATGGTTCAACCTCTATGACAAAGGTATCGGCAGCAGGTGTCCAAGCTATAGGCCTGACGTAGCAGACAAAAAAGTACAAAGTATGCCAGGTCAAGCAGCTCGTAGTAGCTTTTGTTTGCGGCTCGGCTGAAGAAGAGCGCACACGGCGAGGCAGCATTGTGCTACGTGACTCAGCAGGGGTAAGCGATGCGGCCGAGATATTCCTCTCTCACGATGCTGGAGTTTCGATCAGTTTAGAGACTACCAGGGCCAACGACTGAAGAAGCGCGTATCATTTCTGGATGCCCTTCAGAAACCAGATTCTCAGTCATGGAGTTGTTATTAAAGGAGCATTGGCTAGACTGCCTCGTTCGGCCACAGTATCAAGACAAGTGGTTGAGGTAATGTGGCAAAACAGCTGCATGCCTTGCCAATGGCCTAGCATGCTATATATACTCCGCGCGACAGGTAACCTAGAGACTCTGCCTATTGGGTACGACTCAGGCTTGACCACTGTTAGCTGGCCAAACGCTGAAGGTGTCGAAAAGAACCGCGTATCATGAACTTGACCTGGTTGACTTGTAGATTTGGACAGAAGCTTGCTACATGTATTGGCTTTCTCAGGTGACAACCTCGCAGAGACTTGCTTGGCCATCTCGAGTAGTCATAAGTGCAGGGGATACAGAAGTCAAACAAGTACACTACTCGTGTGATCCCGACCTAGTGAAAACCAGCCCATATCTTCCCAGAGGTGCTGTAACTCCAGCATCTACGTAGCTGACATCGACGGCGTACTTTTGCCACAGCCACGTATAAACTGACGTCCTAGGTGGGAACAGCGGACGAAGATCCGACGATAACAACACAGGTTCGCAGCATCTCACCCTACCCCATCCCTCGTCGAGTTGTAAAGGTACATTTAACGATGTTTGAGCTTGGGTTTGCGCGGGCAGTGGTGACCCAAGAATGTGTTCCTACTCGACATGAGCTGGAGAGATGAGATGCCTGCTTGTTGAACGGAGCATCAGTCACAGGCTTCGCTACTACTCATATGTGACGAAGGGTGTTGCTTGATCATAAACATCATAGCTACTGGCAATGCTGACCACCTCGGCTACTCGAAGCTCGTCCCTGTAACCCCGAAGGAATAGGAGGAGCTGGTATACCCGATGCAGTTGGTGAAAGTTGATCAAGGCTTGATATGAGATCTGGACCGACCACACCATACCAATCCGGAAGGTGCTCTGAGTTGTTGTTATTGCTCTTACTTACCTAAGATCTTTATGGCAGCGGATAGCAGTGATTCCGTTCGATAGCAAGCAGGATGGTCCAATGGCGGGCGTGGCTAGCGTGATGGGTGCGGCACGTGCGTCCCGGATAGTCGCACATCCGTTGGCCCCATTCGAACCGGCTCGTCGGGGCTGCGGGGTGAGGTAAGCTCCATGTGGACCTCGTCCTCTTCCTTGCCATCAATGATCAGACTCCGTTCCCATCAGAAACAACAAAACGGCCACATCCCGGCCACATGCAATCTACAATGCCACCAAGACCGCCAACAGCTCACCAGGACACCCGGGAAGAGAGTGTTCCGTTTCGGTTTGCGAGCGTGCCATTGGTCTTGGCTCCCGGACGATGGCTGATCGCGTGATCTGAAACATTCAATCCGACTGGGATCCTTGACATTCCCTTTGGCCCAAAAGGCCAACGGCTCCGATGCTAGGTGCAAACCATTCTCGGTAGCACCTGCCCTGGATGATGAATGTGGTCTTCTTCGAATGGACAGGATCGCGTTCGAGAACTGTTCTCTGGCGGGACTTTCGCTGTCTACCCCTATGTCATGGCATTCATCCCGTCTGGGCGGCTTTCTAATGGCCCGGCTGCCGGTTTCAAGGTACAGTACAGAAAGGCCAAGGGCAATCTTGAAAGAAGTCCCGACCAGCAAAAGGCCAAAAGGCCTGAGCTATCACAATGGAATGCGAGTCGATCCTAGGTACCTTGCCGATTAGTTCCGGGCCGACCTGCAGATGCCGTACCTGCCCACCTGCAGTTTGTTTCCGCGACTAGCTTCACGGTTACCAAACATCCGGGTTGCCCATCAAGTAGACTGGGTCAGGTGTCACTTATGGTTCTCCTTTATATTCCGACCGACATGCTCGATACGGCTGAGTCTTGCTGTTCCGTTTCGTGAGAAGTCAACCATGCCAACAGCCCCAACCTCGTCTGCATTCCAATCGAGACCGGCGCACAACTCTTCTCCAATGTCGAAACTATACAGGTCGACAATGCTCCAGATTGCCATCCTGGCTATCTGTGTGCTAGCATCAGCACGACTCATCAACACACAGAAGCGAGATGCGTGCGTCTCGGAAAGCAGTCCGAATCCCGCCGCGCAACAATACCCGGAACTCATAAGCGGGAATCTCAACGGCACGACACTCATTGTGCCGATTACCATCGAGAGAGCTCGGGAACTGATTCCGGAGGAATGGGGTATCGCTGAGAATGCATACCGCTCGCTTCTTCCCTCGTTCCCCGCTGGCATGTATCCGATGATGGCGCAGATCGTGCATGATCACGACATCCAGCTCCCGGCTTACAACGTGTCTCTGCAAGACTTCTCGGTAAGATTCCCGTACCAAAGAAGCGACGATACATATTAACCACCTTGCGTCTGTAGCGCGCGTCGTTTGAATTCCCATTCATAGACATATTCCACGACGGGCAAAGCTCGTTCCGCTGGGCAGGATCTATGATGATCTCAGCCGAGAATCCGATGGCTATTGGAGGCACCCAAAGCTACGGCATCAAAACCTATCCCGCCGTCTTCGATCCACGCTGCGATGCCTACAAAGCATTGCCCAACGGACGGACGTCCATCTCCAGCAAGAGCAGTGGCAACAACACGTCCAAGTACATGTCGCTCGAGACGGGCGCGTCGTGGGACAACATCCCGTACTCCCTAGACTTCTTCAAGAACATCACGAACCAGCCCACCTTCGCCGACACCCCGATCTGCGACTACTACCAGCGGCTGTTCAACACCACGCTCACGTCAGGTGCGAATGCGCCGGTTCCGATCGTGGGCACGGTCGAGGCGAACATGGACCCGTTTCCGTGCGCGCAGAGCTGGCAGGGTGTGTATGGGTGGAGGGTCGCTACTACCTTTCTGGAACCGCCTCTGCCGCAGCCGTGCAGAAGTATGGGCTCGGTGACAGAACTCACATCGCGATCTAGCGGAATAAAAAGTTGATACCCCAGTGCTCGATCATGCTAGTGACCGAGTCAGATGTCCAAGCAATCGCAACTCAAGGATTACTGCCCAAACCGCCCAATTGATGCTGCGTCGTCTGCAAGCCACTCACGTTATGCACAGGTGAAAATTGCTTCACGGCACAATGTCTCGTTCATGGCAACAAACCACGACCACGGCACGGCTTTGGGCTACGGAAACTTGAAAAACGCGTCGAATCAACCTTAGTAAAGCATTGAAGTATCCAAATTTCCATCACAACTCTCCGGCGCAGTAACCGGATTACACCGAGCAGGCTGCTGATAACTCTCGTTGAACCTCACCACGTAATCCACACCCCATCTCGCGGACATCCCATAGACGGGAAAATCCGTCGAGACGATATGCGCGCCACTAGCAAACGCCGCCTCGCGGCGGCTCCAAGTGTCATTGCTCGTAACGGTCGAGATCGGCTCGTCGGACCGCGTCCGCACCCAGTACCCCTTGGAAACGGCATCCTGGATCGCAGGGAGGCACTCGCCCGTCGGCGTGTTCATCTTGCGGAACGCGCAGTCGGGCTGTCCGGGGTTGCTCTGGGGAAACACGACTCGGCCCTCGGCGTTGGGACGCCCGGACTGCCAGGTTGACGCGTTGCGCGCTTCTCCCAGAACGCCGGTGTCCGCGTTGTCCATGAGGAACATGAATCGTCCACGAGCTGAGTCGAGGTCCGGCCATCCGCGGGTGAGGACGCTTTGCTCCAGCGTGAGATTGCCGCAGCGCACGTCGTCGGTCGTGACGAGCTCCTCTGGCGAGAACACGGAGCGGAATTCCTCGTCTAGGCTATCGAGAAGACCGGTGTTGTTCCACCATTCCGCCTTGGCTCCACCGAGCTCCGAGAGATCTCCCGTGGGCTGCTTGTACTCGATCATCACGGGGATCGGGACATGGTCGGGGTGGGCTTTGCTCCAGTTGCGCAACTGGGTCAGGCACGACACCAAGGTGTAGCAGCTCGCCCCGACATCGGCATCGGGCACATGCAGCACCTTGGTCCCCGACTTGTTCATGCCCGGGTCGTCGGGCATGTCCAGATGAGCCATGCGACGGATCAGGGGCAAACCAAACTTGGCGCCGTCCGGGTCAGCCCATATGTCGATCTTGAAGTTGCGCAGCCCCTGGTACTCTGCCTGGTGGGCTAGGTCGGCGTGCGAGTAGTAGTAGTCTTGCGGGTTGCTGAGCAGAAGGGCGTGGTAGGGCGCTTCTGCCAGGCTTACTTCGCGGTGGTAGCTGTTGTGGGTGCCTATGACCTGCATCTGGTTCATGCGTAGCTCTGACGCAGTCCAGGTAAATCCGTTGCCCGTGGTACTGCTGGCGAGGGTGCATCCTTGGGCAAAAGTGACTGAAGACTGGTGTTACTACTGCATCGTGTCGTGGGATGGAACGGTATATTACATACATACCAAGGTGCCGATAGCTGCAGTTGCTCTGTGCCTTGATAGGATAGCCTAGTGTACATCAGCCATGAGACTGGCTATCTTTCAAATCATTGGCAAGGGGGGCGGTTATCTCACCATTCTCGTTTCGGAACTGTAGCGACTCTGCGGATTTAAAGAGTGACCCGCGGGTCGAAGCCTGTTGTGACAGCCACTTATGTCTTAGTCAGATCAGGAATAGGGGTAAGAAGACTACAGAAGGAAGTGAAGAAGAAAGTGCATGTGCTGCAACACAGGGAAGGTATATTTTCTCCAACCATCACCGCGACCTCGAGCCGCACGTGTTGGATCTCCTTGAGGTCAGTGGCCTGTAGCATGAAGGGCTGGGTATAGATACCCCGCATAGCCTCGCCATACCAGTGCGCCGAGTTATACTGCATCCCAAAAAGGCCCCCCTATCCCGACTGCGGGGATGAGCTTACGACAGCATGGCATTCCTCCTACACCACCATTGCTCTGGTCGCACTGCATGTCAGCGCAGATGCGAGTACTCGAGCACAGGATTGTAACGTAGAAGCTCAGAAGAAACTATAATGTGAGTATTATCTATGAAATCCCGAAAAGTACATAGTACGTATGTCCTCCCCAGGTCATTACACATTAACTATTACAGAGGTCGGCTCCTAACCCACCATCTAGTGGTTATCCCGCGGCGCGTCGTGCTTCTGCGCAAGCCGTTGATACTCCACCGCCCGCTCAAACACAGCGCCCTCGCTCAACCCGCCGACCTCGCGCCTGTAGATATCCTGCCACGGCGTCATGCTCGGCGGCCCATGGTATCCGCCCCTCTCATCCAATTCCTTCCTGCGCTCAGCGAGCTCCTCGGCTCCGATCAGAATGTCGACTCGGCGCATGTCGAGATCGACGCGCACCTTGTCGCCGTCGCGCAGCAGCGCCAGATTTCCCCCGTTGGCCGCCTCGGGCGTCGCGTTAAGGATGGATGGCGAGCCCGAGGTGCCCGACTGCCGGCCGTCGCCAATGCAGGGGAGGTCACGTATGCCCTGTTTCAAGAGCCGGCCAGGCGCATGCATATTGACCACCTCTGCGGCGCCGGGTAGCCAAGCGGACCGACGCCGCGCATGACGAGGACAGTGCGATCGTTAATCGGGGCCGACTCGAGGCGCGTCTTGTAGTCCTCCGGGCCGTCAAACACCACGACAGGACACTCGAAGGCATTCGGGTCGTTGGGGTCCGAGAGGAACGTCTCGTGGAACCCGGGAGTGATGACCGAGGTCTTCATGATGGCCGAGTCGAACAGGTTGCCTGTCAGGTGCATGAAGCCCGCGTTCTCCATCAGGGGCTCGGCGAACTTGCGGATCGTTTGGCGGTCCCAGGTCTGCTTGCCGGTCGCGTTCTCGCCGATCGTCTTGCCGTTGACGGTCATTGCGTCGGGGTTGGGAAGCTTGTCGGCCTCAAGGAGCTCGGCGATCAGGGCGGGCAGGCCACCAGCGCGGTGGTAGTCCTCGCCTAGCATCTCACCTGCGGGCTGCATGTTCAGGAGCAGTGGAACGGAGAAACCGATGTTGTCCCAGTCGTTGAGGTCGAGCGGCACGCCGGCGTGCCGGGCCATGGCGTTCAGGTGGATGGGGGCGTTGGTGCTGCCGCCGATGGCCATGTTGACGACGATTGCGTTCTCGAAGGCCTCGCGCGTCATGATGTCGCAGGGCTTGACGTCCTCGTGGACCATCTCCACGATCTTCAGTCCGGTCTTGTACGCCGCCTGCGACCGCTCTCGGTATACGGCGGGGATGGCGGACGTTCCGGGGAGCATCATGCCGAGGGCTTCGGCGAGCGCGTTCATCGTCGACGCGGTGCCCATCGTGTTGCAGTGACCCGGCGACGGCGTGCCGTCGGCGACCATGTCGACGACCTGGTCTTCGTCGATGGTGCCGGCGGCGTGCAGCTCGCGGGCTTTCCAGATGACGGATCCGGAGCCGACCCTTTCGCCCTGAGCCCATCCGTTTAGCATGGGGCCGACGTTGAGGCATATGGCGGGGATGTTGACGGTGGCGGCTGCCATCAGACAGGCTGGCGTCGTCTTGTCGCAGCCGGTCAACAGCACGACGCCGTCGAAGGGGTACGAGTGCAGGACTTCTATCAGAGCTAAGTAGGGGAGGTTTCGGTCGAGGGCAGCGGTCGGTCGGCGCGTGCTCTCCTGGATGGGATGTGTAGGGAACTCGAGAACGATGCCTCCACTGGATCGAATCCCTTCTCGCACACGTTTGGCGAGCTCGAGGTGATGTCGGTTGCATGGTGTGAGGTCCGATCCGCTCTGAGCGATTCCGATGATGGGCTTGCCCGAGAGCAGCTCTTCTTTGGTGAGGCCGTAGTTGAGGTAGCGCTCGACGTACAGAGCTCTCATACCGAGGTGCTCTGATCTGTCGAACCAGTTGGCGGATCGGAACCTGCGTGGTCGTTCTGCACCATGACCGGTCTCGGTGTCGTCGAGGTTCTGCTTCGCGAGCTTGTCCTCTAGGTCTTTGACCATGCGTTGCAGCTTCGAGGCTTCGGCTTTGTAGCCCTCGATGTCGACGAGCTTGCCCGGGTTAGGCGCGCATGGCTAGTTACAGCTACCACAGGGAGTAGAGCAACTCATGATTAGGGATTTCTTGGTTCGGCAAGAGGGTGATAGGACGAGCGAAGCTGGGTATGGCAAAGTATGGCTTGGAGGATTGCTGGAATCTTGTATGGTGGAAATTTATGATCTTGCCTGGGACTTGGGCATACCGGTGCCTAGATATATGCTATCCAACATCTTCGAGATGGCGTACCCATCATCAGACCACTCAGTAGCCTTTGTTGGTGTGCCAGATTCAACCGTAATTCAGGTTTTCGCATGCTTCTTTGTCCGACGTACTATGCAGCTATGAACAATACCCTTTCACCGAGCTCGAGAGGTTTGCTTGATAGCGGATACGAGCTTTTGGACTCTCCAGTCAATGGTCTTGTCATGGTGAAGAATAGATGGGACGGTCCACTCCTTTGAGGCCGCCCTATCAACCATTGACGCGGGATGACGCTAGCTCAGTGAAAAACAACTTCATTGTTCATCACTTGGACCTAACAAGCTTGAAAGCTCGACTCAGCTATTACGCCATTGTACTACCATTGACCGTCATCCAGGGGCATGATACTTCTGCCCCATAGACTTGGATGCACTGTGTGGAATGCTCAGCAGGTCCGGACGAAGACAATAAGTTGGGTGGGAGCCGATAGACACCACGGGTTTCCAGGTTGCAATCAGCCATAGACACCGGGGATTTGTTTACTTTAGACAGGCATGTGAAGGGTTCCTTGCATTGTGATCAGATTAAAAGAACCAGGCCCATATCCCAGACACTCGTCTGGGAGAGGTAACGAAGCTGGCGAATGACACGACCCCTGACATCGCTGGCGGTAAGCTTTTGATGTCTTGCATAATCGCGCTGCAGCCCTACTGCACTTGGTGTTTGCTGTGGATGGTGCCAACATCACCGCTTATGACGATAGGAAATGGCGAAGATAACAGTAGAGGTGAAGGAGTCATACCAGTGGTGTTTTACTGAGACCGCTTGTTTTTGGATTGGCCTTCTCTAGGTACTGCTGAAGGGACCTGCCTTGGTGCCTGGGGGGTTGCTACGCACCCCGAGTTCCCCAGTAACCATACCCCCAGACATATGTACCGTAAAAGGAGCCCAACCTTCCATCAACCCCTTGTATCGGCGTCAACCCTTAAGACCCACTGGTATAGCGGTATGAGACAAAATCCTCTTGGGGTTTTTTCTTAGGGGTTTTTTCTTAGGTCTCCGGTTCGATTCCAGGACTTGCTGGCATGCAAGTGAATAGGGCTTCGCTCGGGACAAGGCATATTACCGTCCAATAGGATCGAATTAGAGATTGAGCTTTTTGCACTCTTGTATGTTTTTGTTTATTTATTTATTTTGTCTTTACGTGAGTAGGTAAGGAATGGCAGGGCCTCTTTTACGTACCTTATTAATAGTCGCTGCTCTTTGTTTATAGAGTCGTACCTTGGCCGTTAAACCGCTAGACCGGACAAACTCAGAGAAACGTCGACAGGGTTGGGGCAAGTCACCTGCTTGTTTATATATCCAACTAGATAATGTATAAGCGCTTCGGCCCCTAGCCAATTCATTTATGGGCTTTATAGAAGGGTCTCAGTACACGGGGGTCGAGGGAGCGGTATGTCACAATAAAGAAGGCGGGTTCCTCATACGGCATGAGGATTACGACAAGGACTCCAACGAGTCTGAGTACAGCCAGGTGAATTCAGGAGATATGGGTGAGGAACGTGTGGCTCTTAGTGCAGGAGGGTTAGGAAGGCACGAGGGAGCCCTGCTGCTCCCTACGCTTCGCACTCCCTCAGAGGGCCTGGCATTTCCAGTGGCGACGGTGAGGTATGTTCCTGATTGAGAGCGTTTTTCTCACACAGTATCTAGGTAGGTATGCCAATAACCTACCTTGCCTGAGTGAATAGGACTGATCATCTTTGGCCCTAGAGAGAAGGTGCCTTCTAGAAGCCAGACGATGCTGGAGCCCCATGGTAAGCAGCCTCGCACATGTAGGCGTGACACCAAACAGTTGCCTCGCATTTACCACCCCCAGACTTTCTGCCTCAGGCATCAACTCTTAATCCTTTTCCATCATTTGGTCCACATAAAAATAACGCATACACAACCAGGTTCGACAAACCTCCCGACACATTTGACGGACTGACCACTTCGTCACTGCATACCCCAGTGTGCACGCTCACAGAAAAAGCAACATCACTCCTCACCCCGCGACAACAACTTCATCGATCTCATCGACCTCACCCACCAAACCACCCAGAACCATCATCACCATCGTCACCACACTCGCGTCACCACGTTCACGTATCCAAGATGGCATCCGAGAAGGAATCCGAGAAGCCCACCGGTATCAACCAGCGAGACATGGAGATCCTCTTCGGAGCACTCCAGTGCCTCAAGGCGCCCCTCCAGGCAGGTGCTCTGTTCCATCGCTAGGTCTTACTCATACCAATCTGACAGTCTCCTTACCATATAGGTCGATACCGACGCGCTTGCCAAGAAGCTCAACTCCAAGAACCGTCACGTCGCCTCCACCCAGGTCAGTACCGCAGAGCCCTTGCCCTATTCAGGCGCGTTTCAAGCAATCACTAACCAATTTCCCCAAGAATAGCTCGCGGCTGTCAAGAAGGAGTACAACATCGGCGTCCCCGTCTCGGACTCAGCCACCACCACCCCGACCGGTAGCCCCGAGGGCAGCGCCGCCGGCAAGGGCTCCCCCCGCAATGCCAGCACCCCGCGAAAGCGCAAGGCTGCCGCCCCCACCAATGGTGTTATGACCGGCTCTCCGCTGAAGAAAAGCAAGATTGTTGACCAGGACCAGGACCAGGACGAGGACCGGTACGCTGACCGAGATGCCACTTTGCTCCAGCTCCTGAAGGGCGCGGATGACGGTGCGGATGAGGGCGAGGCTTAGATGAGAACATGATCACCACGATTGGGGACTGGGGTTAGTTTGGGATGATAACTACTGCTGTTTGGCTACTTGCATACGAATCAAGTTACGCGATGCGGTGATAGGAAGGCGATAGATAGGTGCCTCGAGTCCTTGGGATGCAGGGACGGACACATAGCTTGGCAGGGTACTCATGAGAATGCGATGAACTTTCCGCACCTGAATCTGATCGGAACAGTTTCTCTGTGTGACACCCCTCCTGCTGCTCACCCCAGACATGCTCATTACCCCTGGCAGTGTACCGCCACCGCCAGCACGGCGCGTCGCTTTTTCATCCGACGAATTCGTAAATCTTTGCACGACCCTATTCACGGACGAAGCGCTCAACACAAGCAGCCATCCAGCACAAACTCTGCACCAATAAGGGATAATGCCCGGGGCCTAGGACCCGACCGTCCTTACTGATGTAGTCAGCGAGACGGGGCTGGGTACGGTTCGGCCAGTCAAAGGGTGGAATGATTACTCTGGGCAAGCTTGGTACAAAGCACCAGCTCTGCGTTTGAAATATAATATCGAAATATACTGGAAATGGAGACGGCATGGCTTTCAAGGAGTGGTTGTCGACCTGTTGGACCTGGGCATTGGATCATGAAGCTTATAATATACTCGCAGCCTCCTCCCACATGATGCTTCTCAAAAATTTCGCTACCCCTTTCGAGTCTCGTTACCAAACCCCCCACCAATCGGCTTAGGCGGCGTCCCATCAGGCCAAGCCAGTCCCAGACAACTAGCCATCTTATAAAAGACATCAACATTGCCATAGACGCCGCCAAACATCTCCTGGCAAGGCCCCATCGCAAACACCGCCACATCGGTCAGCGAGTGCACGCCCGACGCCTCCGTGACCGGCAGCGTGCCGTTGACGACGAACCCGTCGGTCGCGTCCTCGGCGTCGACGAAGAGACCGTCCTCCACTTCGTCGAAGCCGGGCGTGCTGCTGACGGGGCTCCGCGGACCCGACTTGTGCACGCGGTAGTTCTCGCGGCGGTCCGGGTCCGCGGCCAGGCCCTGCGCGAACGTGTAGCGCGGGTCCCAGTTGACGGGGAAGTTGGGGCCGGTGTTGTAGGACACGCCCTCCATCGGCACTGTGTACTGCGATAGGCCGGATCGCTCGTAGACGCCGACGGCGGTGCGCTTCTGGCGACCCGTCTCTGCCTCGGCGAGGTACTTCGTGTCGACGCCGCCGAAGACGTCGAAGCCGTGGCCGTGGTCCGAAGTCACCAGCACGAGGGTGTTTTCGAGCTCGCCGATGGCTTTGAGGTGGTTGATAGTAGCGCGGACCGTGTCGTCGAGCTCTAAGAGGTCGCCGAGGGCGCGGTCATAGTCCAGCGCGTGCATCTGCTTGTCGATGGAAGCACCCTCGGACATCAGGAAGAACCCCTTCTTGCCGCCTCGGTGGTGTAGGATGTCGACGGCCTTGAGGGTCATCTCCTTCAGCCCGGGGAGGTCCAGGGCTGGGCTTTCGGACCCGAGAGGGTCGTTCTCGAAGTCGGCCAGATTCTCGGTGTAGACGTTGCGGTCTAACCAGACTGGGAGGTGCGACTGGCAGAAGACACCCAGGGCCTTTCTGCTGTTTCCCATCTCGAGGAGCGACGTCTTGTTCAAGCTGATGTCGTATCCGGCCTGTGCAAATGCCTCGTAGTAGTCTTTCCCTTCGTAGCTGCCATCTCCTGGGTAGAACTGCTCGGCGCCTCCACCAAACCACACATCCGGACCACCCTGGTTGGTCCAGGTGTAGTTTGTGACCGAGTTCAGGGCCTGGTCCACAAGAGAACCATATTGGTACCGGGACCGACTGTGGCCAGTGAGAGCAATTGGAGTTGCATCGGAGATGGCAGCAGTGGAAACGGCACCCCAGGCAGAGTCCTGATCAGTCTTGGTTAGATATCAACCGTGTATCGCTTCTGATGTCATCGACTTACCCAGGTCCGCTTCAACAGTTCCACAATGGTCTCTACTTTGGGGTCATCAAAAGCATCAGGCGATGAATCCGCATAAACCCTGTGGGCAAAGTCAGAATATTGACCAGTTCGCCGAAGGATAACTGTCATGCTTACCCCATAGCGTTGACCGTACTCTTGTGGCCCGAGTACAGCGCAGACGCCGAGTTGGCGCTATCAGTGATGAAGCTATCGATTGAATGGGTCATCTGATGACCCAAGACGGGAAACTTGTCCAATTGTAGTAGGCTCTGGTATTTGCCGTTGATGCTATTGTGGCCCAGTAGACGCGCAGCGGTGATCATGTTGGTTGTCATTCCATCGCCTGTAAGCCGTTAGTCTCGAATCCGATACTCTCGATATAACTTCAAACCTATAAAGAGAATGACGTTCTTCGCCTTCTTCTCTGTCGCCAAAGGCCTGACAACCCATTCCGCTGTTGTCTTCTTGTCACCGTAGTATGACAACTCGACCACGTAGTTACCGGGCTCGTAGATAGCCAATCTTCGGTATATCTTGGACGCGACATTGACTACCGAAGGCGTATCGGCGTCCTCGGCAAAGAGGTCTTCGTACCACGAGAAATCCCACTTCTCGATGGCAGGCTCAGCAATATCGAAGAACTCAGCGATACTTTTTGCCTCGCCACCCTCTTTGCTGATGATGACGGAGAAGTTCTCGTCCGGCTCGCCATCGTTGAAGGCTTCGGAACCATTGACCGGTGCATGAACCTCAAGGCGCAGGTCAAAGTATTGGCCGGGAAGAAAGTCGGCTTGATCCGGGGGAAAGACACAGCCAAGAGTCGGGCAAGCTCCGAGCCGCTGAGACGTTTGGCCGGTAACCAAAGCGAGGGAGGCCGTCAGTACAAAGAGGGAAGTTGATATATCCATTTTGTTATCTGATTACGTATCGTTGGCAGCTCGGCTCAAGTCTGCACTCAGCGAAGGACGGCGGCGAGCAAGAGAAGTAGGGTCGCAGCTTCGTGGACCAGGCAACCTCAGCTCTTTATGCCCTCCAGATTTGGCCTGCCGCCACTGCAGTGAAACCTCAGCTTGCTCGATGCTGGATTGTTCATCTGCGAACCTGCATAGAGACGAGCATTCAGCTCACCGTCGTGCTCGGAGAGACGAGTGGCACGGTCTTGGCGATGGCGCCAATTCGCACATCCTGGGCCTGGTGGCTGTGAGATGTCCAATGGCGAAGTGCAGCACTGGTGATGCCCTGCATGATTCAGGAAGCATGAATATCACACCCACGAAGAACCGCACGTGTCGACCTCAAGCGCAGGGCTGGGATCATTCGACGAAACTAGCACGCCAAGCTCGGACGCCATATCCGATATCATCAGTAAAACGGTAATCACTCCGAAGCCAAGAGTTGTAAGAAGAAGAACTGATCGTGCTGCCGCGCCGCTACGGGCAGATGTCGTCGGGAAAAAGGTTCCTCTGTCTGCCAGCCCTCAACAGGTCGTATTATTGATGTGTGGTAACCCTTGTATGACGGCGCCAAGCCATATAGAAGAAGACGCACACCGTCGTCCCCGTGCGCGCCCGTCTTTCCCGACTCTCTCGACCTTCTGGTTTCGACAGAATGGCTTATTGCAGTGCATGGTGGTCGACTGAATCGCAAATGCAGTTGGACATGTTGACAAGCGGGCTGGCTTGGCGGCCGAACTTATATGACTTATATGCGGGGGTTCACGGCAGAGTCAGGGCAACGTGGGACGTAGCTGGATCCTGATTGGTTGGTCTTTCAGATAGGGGGCCGGGGATGCAGAAAGCCAAGTCTTCCGCCTCTTCAACGTAGGCCAGGGCTGCCGGTGACGCACGTGAGAATTCCCTCGGGCACTCCCAACTGCTTTTTATGAGATGCTATCTAGGCGACGGCGGCGGAGCTATGGTTGTCCTTGAGAGGCACGAATGATGGATGTGCGGTGCTGACATTGGCCAATGATGTTACCAGACCACAGCATGCAGACCGCAGAAGTTGGTCGTGATGGAGTCGTCCCAGACTGTCGGGATCGCCAACCCACCGCTTTGAAATGGATTCGTACTATTGTGGACTGCCCAATGGAGGGTGAGGTGGTGGGAAGACCGACGAGAAGCAATGCTCCTATCTTCCCCTATACTCACAAACGTCTGAAGTCGTATCCTCGATAGTCGCTGAACGATTGAACACGCCGTCATCAATGAGGACATATCAAGAGCGTTTGAAAAGACCAAGGCCATTGTCTCAGGTTCGATCTGCTAGCTTCAGTTGGTGACATCAGCGAACCCTGGCTTATCCAGCTCTTTGGCATCAATTTCTGGGACGAGGGGAGTCTCGTTCCCCTCCGCGGCCACTCCCGTCACGACAAGACCAGCAACCTCCGCAGCGAGTGCTAGGTCTTCCGAGCCATCCTCGTCAAACTTCTGAAAGGCCGGAGGGTTGATCTTTTCATCTCCTCCTTGGCTCTTGAAGTGGTAGCCACGGGCCCTTGGTCTTAAGCCTGTCCCCTTAGGCAGTTCAGAGTCGTATATTCTTGAGAACAAATCACAATTCTTCTCGAAGGCAGCTGGCTCCGTGCTTATTGAGGCGCGTATTCCTGCGAAGAAGTCGTTCACGACTTGGTGATTGTGGATCTGCAGGAGAGTCCACCCAAGCATCTCTTTGGCGTTGAGAAGGTGGTGCAGATAGGCGCGATGATGCTTGGTGCAGGTGTAGCACTTGCATCCCTCTACCAAGGGCATTAGCGAAACTTTGTGGTCTTGTGACCACATATCAACCCCAAGCGGCCTGATGCTCTGTGTCGAATCTGCCAGGGGAGGAAAGGCAAACTCAAGGGCGATGCCCGCATCGGAGGTGCTATTTAGGAAAGGTAGCATAAATATGTCGATACCCAGCTGAACTTGCCGGAGAATGTCATGCGGCGACGCGATGAAGTCTAGTGACAGGCGGGGAAGTGGGCTCAAGGGTCCCGGGTTCGACAAGTCGGGGAGGATGTCAGCGTCGTACACGGCTAAGCCGGACAGTTGCCCGGCGTGTTCCTGCTCGAGGCGATCTATGTACTCCCACTGCGTTGGGTAAGGGATCGGAAGAAGCGGGGCAAAGACGGCACTCTGGATGCCCCCGTCAGAGCCAGCAAGACGGAAGAAGCCGGCCAGCCAATCTTCGGTTCTCTCAACCATCCGGAGCTGGCGTTTGAAGCTGTTGGGCGTTTTCGAGCGGTTGAAGGTTAGGTCCGCCAAGGGAATTGCGATATCTGGTTTTAGCTTGTTGATGGCATGACGGTAGTTTTCATTACTCAGTTTCTGGAAGCCGGTTGAAGTGTAGATGGAAATGTCGTTGCTCCCATTGCCCATCGGAGTGGTGACGGCAGGGTGTCTTCGAGCTGCTAAAACAGTAGCCATATATGACGGTGTAGCAGTGTACGCGTGTAAGGTCTCTATATCCTCAGATTCCATGTTATAGATGGCAGGAAAAGCCCTCTTGCGAGATGTTTCTAGAACTGAATAAGACGTCAGTTTAGACCAACTGAGGATGGTATACGGGAAAAGAACTCACAATCCTCGAGCGCAATGTACGTGCCACCGAGCTCTGTGTGTTTGACAAGGTTGTCTGGTGTCATATGGGGTACGGCCCCTCGCGACGTGAGACCGATGAAATTTGGCGTGTCCATTGGCGGGCGCTTCGGCAGCGCCAACCTGCCAACTCTGATTCCTGCACCATCATTCGTGATGCTCCTCAGTACTTCGAAGACGACACGTCTATCCCCATCGCCTTTCTGCATGCTGCGCTGCTTTCTGCTGTAGCGACCAGGACATCCAAGGCAGGCTGCAGGCATCCGGGATCAGGTAAAGTTCGAAGTCAAAAGATCCAAAAAAAAGGAGCGACGGATTGAGATTTTCGCAATTGCGTCCAAAGTCTTGATGTTCGCAACCTGACTGCTAGGCTTCACGCTCGTTGTATGCCCGTGTGCTGTAGCTGAAGGCTGAAGCCTGATTCCCCCAGGGTGTGTCACAATAGCCCCCACTCTCAGCCACTTGAGTGGGGGGGTCTGTGGATCGAGTCAACTATGTCTTTTTTAGGACTAGTGGATTTCGGGACCGAACGGATGACGCAGAAGGTCCAAGTTCCAACGTTGGAAGTTTGACGGCAACTTCCGAGAGCCAATCCCCGGGGCCTCGGGTACGATAGGACGGCCCCCGCGATTCCATGTTCGTTTCATCGAGTCGTCGTCGTCGTCTCGCCATCTGCCCACACCTCGAGAAGGCTGAGCAGGCTCTCCGTCCCGACATGTTCCTGTCGTCTTCGATTGTTGATCTCTACGTCGAATCTTGAGTCCTGTTGTGGCCATGTTGATTGCCAGCCGCTTCATTGTGCCCATGTAAATCCCGTACTCCTGGTGTGATTATCCCGTATATACTGTAGTATATAGTCATCACATTGGCCCGCCCTCGTACCTTCACTCTTCCGTATGTTACCATCTTACCATCCGAAACATCCTGAGGCTCACAAGACTTGACAGCGTATATATATCATGAATCACAGCCACGCTGTGCTTCGTCAAGACTCCCCGGTTGATATCGAACGAGAGCGCACCGCTGCCCGCTCGGATCATCCGGACTCTCCGATCGACGCTTCGGCCCGCCTCGATGACGAAGAGCTCGACTCTGACGACTCTCCCACACCACGCTTTATGCAAGAAGAAGGAGCCTGGAAGCGTTGGAGATGGATACCCTATCCCGCCCGTAAGCTGGGGAAGACCGTGTACAGGTGGATGAAGGGACCGCAGCCACCCAGGATTTGGAAGATCGATCCGTTCTTCCCAACCATACAACATGCCCCTCTGACCCTCATCGAGAGGTTGCTGCCGAATAAGAAGCACCGACAGGGGCTATTCTTGGCCTACTTCGCCGCATGGATCCTCACATTTGCCATTGTCCTGTGGCAGGGGCAAGTCTCGTCGGAAGTTCAGGGCTGGGGTCAGCCATCTGATATCAGCTGTGGTGTCACCTACTGGACCGCCAAAAACGGGTGCGGGCTCGACGGGATGGACTGCCGGCCTTTCAACGGCTCTGGTTTCGCCTTCCGATGTCCTTCGAATTGCGGCAGCTACCGTGTTCTCAACCCCCGAGCTGTGGGACAGCAGGAGATAGTGTATGCGCCTCTGGTCATTGGTGGACCGCCTGATGCGACGAATGAAGCTGATCCGGTCTACCGAGGCGACTCGTTTATCTGCGGCTCGGCCATTCATTCCGGCGTCATCTCGAATTCAGATGGCGGCTGCGGCGTCGTGGAGTTGATTGGTGAACAGCAGAACTATGTCAGCACGAACAGGCACGGCATCAACAGCGTTGGCTTCGACTCGTACTTCCCCTTGTCGTTCACGTTTCTGCCAGGCATCAAATGCGAAGCTCGTGACGCTCGGTGGTCATTACTGGCCGTCTCGGCGGTCTTCACCTCAATCCTGTCGTTGTTCACGGCGTCATCGGCTGCCTTCTTCTTCGCAAACTTCATCATCATATTCTGGCAAGTGGGCATGGCTTCTGATCCACCGTCTGAGACATCAGTAGCGGGTCTCTTCTCTGATATCATCGGCAAGTTCCTCCCTGCACTGTTTTGTGCTTGGGTCATGTACGACAAGATGGGTGTCCGGCGAACCTTGAGAGGCCTGACTGCCCAGGTTGAGAAGACTGTCTTGTGGCTCTGCGGATGCTGGGTCGGCGCCCTGACCAATTACACCTTTGACTTCATACCAATCCAGCGATTGACGGGCCACGATCTCGACCAGCAACCCGGTGCCAAGGCTGCACTCGCCGTCATCGTCGTCGTGATTGCTGTCATTGTCGTGGGTCAAGTTTGGTGTTTCCAGCAGGAAGCACGATTACTACGCGTTCTCAAGTTGTACGCTGTGCTCGTACTCGCCATCATCATCGCTGTAGTTTTGCCCAGCCTCAGCTTGCGCATACATCATTATATCCTTGCCTTGTTGCTATTACCAGGCACCAGTATGCAAACCCGCCCCTCGTTACTCTATCAAGGCATCCTCATTGGCCTTTTCATTAATGGCATTGCCCGTTGGGGATTTGACGCGGTCCTTCAGACTTCATCGGCTTTGCAGGGCGATGCTCAACTTGGCTCGGCTCTGCCCGTCCTGAACACACCAGATATCAACGTCGCCAACTCGAGTATCATATTTGGGTGGAACGCCACCTCAGACACCGGTTATGACGGTGTCAGCGTCCTGGTCAACGACGTGGAGCGGTATCGAGGTTTCTTTGGCGACGAGGACGCTGACCAATTCGTATGGAGTCGCGACAACGGGTCGAGCTACGATGAGTACTTCCGCTTTGGTTATGTGCTGGGCACATCGACGGGCGACTACACCAAAGCTGGTGTATGGACCGCTGAACTCGATTGGATCGAAATGGCGGCAGGGCCCTCGAGGATCAAAAGCCGAGACCTCCGCGTAGATGAGAATGAACAGGTGCCGCGGGCCTTGTGGAATCACTAGTGATGCAACGGAGCCGGAAAGCTGTAGAATCTATGATACACGAACGTTTGGCATATTCCGTCCTGCGTGGAGACACGCTGAGAGATTTGCACTTCATGTCCAGGTCAATAGAAGCTCAGTCAGGTGTGAGGATGTACAGTCCCCGGTTGAGGTGAGTTACGGTGATTCATGGACTGCGCTTGGTTGGCGACTTACCTAGGTTAGTTCACGGGGACTTTGGTAGTCTTCAATGCTGAAATTTCGAAGCCTGCTCTGGAGGGCAAGGGCCAAAGCATCTCACGTGATCACGTCACGCACTTTCAAGGGTAAGATCATGGAAGCCCATTTTGTGTGATATTTTGGGTGCATCATATGATCATCCATCCTCTCAATGACTGCCCGACTGGCAAGTATCATGATCCTGCTGCAATTGTCGAGACTGGGCCATAAGCTATGGCTTCAGAACACTGTACCAGCACCTTCCAATGAGACGGTATCCAATGAGGGGGGTGCTCTTTTGTCCCTGGCCATTCCCTACTCGTCAAAGTCATGTTGGAAGAATTGCCGGGTTGCAGGCCTTGACGGGAGATGGCATTTGCCACGCATTATACTGATGAGCCGCATGGAATGCCGTGCGACACAGCCGGGACATCTTTACTTCCCTACTTAATCTTCTCCCCACAGATAATCTCCACTGGCCCCCCTTCCCCAGGATCGCTCCACGATGCCCCAATCGCCGTCGTTCCAACTTCATGATCCCCAGATTGCACTAGCTTAGGTTGGCGGCACCTGGGCGGCGGAGGGAATCCTTCGTGCTGCTGCTGCGGAACCGAGCGAGTCAGGCCAGGCCGAGACTGATCGATATGCAGCGTCGTCCTGTTCTGGAGCTGCACCCTTGTCGCCTGCGTGCGGTCGAGAACGGCCTGGCGTTGGAGACTGTGCCTCGCGCGCGCGCGAAACGATACGGGATGTTCCAACATGGTGAGTAGGCCACAGGTGATGCTGACGTCTTCTCCGCCCCTGTCATCAGGTCTGCCGGCACGGGGCACCGGGCATTGCACTTCGGCACCCAGTCTCACAATCTTCTTTTTTGACACCACTCCTTCATACTTGGACACGATTGACTCTTGCAGTTTCGACAACACTTGAACTCGCTCTCGAGGCATCGCACCTAGGCGCAACGCAACGCAACGCCTTTCGCTTCCCCGCAAGATGGAGATGAACTACGATGAGGCGGAGCTACGCCAGATCGAGGAGGAGCTCCACGCCGAAATCCTACCAGGCACGGAGATCATGGCAGACGTGGGAAGCCATCACTTCGTCAAAGGCGGCTCACACGTTCTGGTGCCGCAACCCTCTGCGGACCCGCATGATCCTCTTGTGAGTCCCATCCATACCTGCGTCACAGCACCGGGTGCAATGCATGTGGCTAATTGGATGCTGTGTCTTTGTCTTCACAGAATTGGTCACCGTTATGGAAAGGCTTGTGTATCGCAGCTTCCTGCAGTGTCTCGTTCGTCGAAGGTTTTGGCCCGCTTGCTCTTGCGCCTATGTTCCGTAAGTACTACCTTATGCTTACATGTATTGAAGCAGACCAAGCAGCGAGCGTACTGACCATCGTGCCCGACTGTCCCAGCCTACTATATCAAAGACTTCGACAGCGATCTGGCCTCTGTCGTCAAATTCACCGGCATCGCTATTCTGGTGCTCGGGTTCAGCAACTTCATTTGGTAAAATACATCCGCTGTGATGGGCCACACCAGCACGACTGCTGACTTTCGAACGCATAGGGTGCCGCTGAGCACTTCCTTCGGTCGTCGGCCTGTGTACATCTTCTCCTTGTTGATCTGCTTCGGCTCTTCAATATGGCGTGCGAGGGCACAGACCTACAGCAGCTTCATGGGCGCATGTGTCTTGAACGGTATTGGCGCCGGGCCCGCAGAGTCGATACAACCAGCTGTGATCGCGGACATTTTCGTACGTATACGTCTCTCGGTTCTTAGATACGTATTTATTGTGCGAGGCACGCTGACGTTTTCTTCTCTTCGCCGCACTGTAGTTCTTGCACGACAGAGGCCTCTGGAACACGCTATACTGGGTTGTCTACATGGGATCGTTGATGGTTGGTCCTATCATTGCGGGCTCGATGAGCTACCACGTCGGTTGGCGTAACTTCTGGTGGTTCAACACGGCCCTCATTGCGGCTTCCCTCATCATGGTCATCTTCATGTTTCCCGAGACGAAATGGCACCGCCTCCACCCTGACGAGATGATGAAACAGGTGAAGGCCGACGAGAACTCTAACTCTGTGGAGAAGCCAACAGCAAAGAACGTCGAGGACCCCGAGAAGCTCGGCGGCACGGTATCCCACGTGCCGACTCGCGGCACCATGCCAGACCTCAGTGCCCAAGCGACATCCGAGCGTGACCCGCACCTCGGGAAGGGCACGCCCAGCACGGCTCAATGGAGACTGTATCAGCCCAATGCGCACCCATTCAAGTCAATCTTGCTGGACCTCTGGGTCCCGTGGAAGCTCTTCGCCTTCCCGATCGTCGAGTTCGCCTCCTTCGTCGTCTCCTGGTCCTGCTCCTCCTTCCTGACGCTCAACCTTACCCAATCGCAGAACTTTGCTGCGCCGCCGTATCTCTACAACTCGGAGCTCATCGGCTTCATGAACTTCGCAATCTTGATTGGCGCCATGATTGGGCTGGCTACCGCTGGACCGTTGAGCGATTGGGTCAGTGCCCGTGCCACGAGGAAGAACCGTGGCATTCGTGAGCCGGAGATGCGTTTGCCTGCCATGAGTAAGTGGTCGTGTCATCTCGTCAAACCGGAGGTTTAGAAGATCGACTAACTAACACCTCACCTACAACAGTACCATACGTCTTGATCATGATACTCGGTAACTTCGTCGTTGCGTTTGGCTACGAGCAAAAGTGGCCGTGGGAAGCTATCGTCATCATCGGATACACGTGCGCCGGCATCCAGGTCGCAGCTTTGCCGGCAATGGTGACGACCTACGCCGTGGACAGCTACAAGCCCGTTGCAGGCTCGCTGATGGTTTCCATCACCGTCAATAAGAACGTCTGGGGCTACGGCTTCTCCGAGTTTCTCACCCCTTGGATCATCGAGTCCGGCTTCGTAAGTTTACACCCTTGGATCGATCGCGGGCTTGGGAAATGCTGACAACGGCTGTGTAGGTTCCACCGATCATGACCAACATGTGCCTCATCACCCTTTGGTGCAGTTGTGGTATCATCTTCTACATATGGGGCAAGGACTTCCGTCGCTGGTCGAAGAACGACTTCGTGCACAAGATGTGAGTGAGCGGCGTGCACATCGCGGTAGCTTTCAACAGTAGCAGAAGACGACATGCACTGGACACCTTACGTAAAGGTCCTCGACATATATAGCGATGAGCTAAGCTCTATGTCTGAATTCCATGGTCTTGGGATGCACTGTAGCTTTTTGCTATGATGAAGATCTTTGATAATCCAGAGCGCCGTATTGCTTTGTTGAGCGCGCAGTTCCCTCGCTCTCGCATGGCTCAATTACGTAGCCGATTCATCCGAGATTTCCCTTCAGGTCGTTCGTTACGGGGCCCTTCGTAAGTAAGCTGACCGAAATGCCCTGGTCATTACTCATAAATCCTTCGCTGCCTCAGCTTTGCTCTTCTGTTTCTGCTACATGAGCTTGCGACGTCTTCCATTGCCATTCCTTGGGGACCCAAGCCTTTGAGCACTTCGAGTATAAGTATACAGCACGCTCTTACACGCAGGCGCATTGTTGACAACGTCACCCCACCACCGCCCAGAGGTCATCTTAGATGCTGAGCCGCTGGGGTACATGTATGAGATCTTTGTAGGTCTAGTAGCTGCCAAACAGTATTGCGATGACTTCCGCTCACATGGCCATGGCCGCGGCGTTTCACACAATTCAATCAATCGGCTCGGCCCAGAGAGTGGGGGCTAACGCATCCATTGAAACATATCCACCTGGGCAGTACTTAAAAACAGGTGACATTACCACTTCAAAATAGGTATCATCCATGGAACGGTGCTCCCCTGCCGGCCTGGGGGGGCTCTGGTCCGGTAGGGGCCAATGCGTACGGGAAGGGAACACGACCACCTGAATGATACTTAGAAACAGTAGGCTTTACTACTTAAAAACATGTATCTTTCATTGAACGCTGCTCCGCAGCGAACCAGGCGACGACGCCGCTTCCCTCCGGGATCCTCCGGGAAGCGGGTCTGCTGGTGTTGAATGGGAGCCGGAGATAGACACCGGAAGATCTCCAGTGGGGCAGAGACGCACAGGGCATCTGACCCACCAAGAAGACAGATGATCAATCTCTGCACGCAGAGCAGAACAATCAATAGAGTCAATCAACATCCGTGTATTCAACAACATCCGTGTATTCAACAGCTGGCCCTAGAGGGGGTTCTATGACAATAATACCTGCAACTACACCTAACCTAAACCTATCTTGAATAAATAAATAATAATAATAAAATCCTTTTCCGCTACTATTACATATGTTATTAAAGCCGTTATATGTTTATATATACTCTTAAAGCCTCACAAAAACATATTAAAAAGCTTTACTTATCGCTTTATTTAATATAAAATATTTTAAGACGTAAATAAACGTATAAAATACCTTTAAATATATTTATAGTTTATAACAATTACTACCGATAGTACAAAAAAGGTATGAAACAATAAATAGTTAAAAAAATTATAATTGCGTTACGTTAAATAAATAAAAACTTTAAAGCCGTTATTAAACTTATTAAAGTTATGTCATAAAACTCTTGAACGTTAAGTTAATGTGAGGAGCCGTCTAACCTATAAAGCTAAAGGGTTCTATAGTGTTTATATTCTGAGGTAAGTTAACACAAAGGACGATAGAGGCTTCTGTCAACTAGAAGACACTCAGATGCTGGGGCTTGGTCTAAACTGGGTTCACTGTGTAGTCGAGTCGTCGGGAGATTTCTTCCACCTTAGGGTTGGCTAAGATGCTTAGATTGATCACTGAGGTAGAGACTGTCTATCTATCTGGCTAGGAAATGTCTGTCCTTATATATCCAATCTCTCCTTCACTGATTAGGTGGCTCACCCTGGATCACTATAGTGATCCAGTGATTCAAATTCTTAGTCACGTGACCCAGGCTCTGCTGGTCGCGTGATCTGTGTATCGTTGCTCCATTGCTCCGATCTCTCTACTGATCAGCACCTCACTCTCTGGTCAACCTGTTTCCAATCGTCTCCTCTAGGCCTGCTATCAGGCCGCACTGTTTGTTGGTCCATAACATATACGCTATAGAAATTAAATCTTAAACGATTTTTTAATAAATAGTAGATTTTATACAAATCAAAGTAATCTTTTTTTATTATATCAGCTTACGTTTTATATTATATTTGATCTTTATATTAATAATAGTAAAGTAAATTACCGTTATTGTTTCTTTTTAATTTGATTTTTATTAGAATGGAAAATGAATAAACTTCTTAAGGATTTTTAAGTTAAAAAGCCTCGACTTTGATTTAAACTAAATATAGATTTGTTAAATGCGTAATTTAAAATAACGGCTTTAAAGTTATTGAAATCAAATCTTATTAAAAAAATACTACGAAGTATATTTATAAAAGAAAAAAATAGTATATTATAATAATATACTTAGGTTTTAATATCGTAGTTTATTCTATTTATTGGGTTAAAAATAATAACACATAAAACTATAAATGTTATTTATAACATCTTTTAAAGCGTCTGTTATAAAAGTAATATAAACTTTGCATTTTTATTTAAATTTATTCTAACCAGTATGTTTGAATTATAAACAATAAGTATTAATATTAAAATAATAGCATAAATATTCGTTATATATTTAATATTCTAAAAGATTAGTATATATTTCCTAAATGTTTTATAAGTTACTATTATCGTTACAGTATAATTTTTAAAGCATGAATTTTATAATAAAATATTTGTTATAATGCTTGTGACGTTATAGTGGAATCTGGTGTTGTATTCCCAAAATACCAAGGTGAGCAAGGAAAGGAATACAGGTGTGCGTGCACCCGAATGGCTGAGGCACATATAGTGGTGTTCTTTTTTATCTAATCTACACGTGACCTGATGACTAAGCATTTATCTATACAGGTGGATACTACTGTACACTGTCACAATATTTATGAAAGGTATGTTTATTAAGCTAATAATAAGAATTAAAATAATAATATTAAATTGTATTATAAATTTATTGTAAGAGTTATGGTGCCTGTCAGGTATGAGCTACAGCTAGCAGCAGGTGAAAGGGCTGAAAGAGGGTAAAAGGATCCATTATAGTGACCATTTGGGTGCTGCCTTGCAGAGCCGTTGTTTGGTGACAAGCAGCCGCGCATCAAAGGGTTACCACAGCTGTATTTAAGTGGGAATCTCCCCTATAGAACCATAGCTAAGATATAGACCAACAAGCATCCTATCTGAATCCCGGACTTCCACATTTATCAATAAGTTGTAGCTTTTTAAAGAGCCGAGTTTAATTCATATAAGATTTTTTTTAAAAATAAGTTTTTTTAACATATAACGTAAATGACAAGCGAGCGGCAGTTACAAGCGAACGGCAACTTCTTACCAACCTTCCAATCAACATGTTAAATAACTCGATTACAAGGCATTTAATTCAATCTAATCAATCGGGTTCTTCTTCAGATGTTTCCATTTCTATTGTACAAGTTCGCGCATTATAGCTAGTGTTACCGCAAACGCCACAACGTTGCTCACGCGCTGCCGCCCTCCTCAAACAATAACTACCTTCACCCATTTCCTGTCTTGCCAGCTCATCACTATCCTTTGCAGCCCGAAGACCTATTGTATCTTTAATAAAAAATATTTCTCTTTTTATTAATTTTTTTTTTTCCAGACATTTATTTACTAAGTGATTTGTCTCCTCTAACTCGCGGACCTGTGAATCAACCAAAGCGACCTTGTGCATAATAACGTATGTAGCCTTTGAAAACGAGCTCAATACATCAATTATTGAAATAGGTGAGCTTCCCTGATGGTTTTTGACTCAATTCTTAATATAAACTGATTAGTTTACTGCTTAATTAATGGTAATAGGCATTTTTAAAGTCTAAGTAGTGCGTGGCAGACTGGGGTCTGGCAACGGTGTTCGTACGACAGTGACAGCATCCAGCTTTGAAATGACACTGTCTAGGTCAAAAAGAACAAGCCCATTAGCACCAAAACCTACTCGAATGTTTCCCAGTGTTATAGCAATATTATGTACTTCACAAAATGCTGTAAGGAAGTCCTCTTTCAAAACATGGGTTATATAACACCGGATGTGATCCTTAATCATGCAACTGTAAGCTCTTTTGAGCGGGCTAAAATAGCTGACATCTAAAGGCTGGAGCCTATATAATGAGTGGGCAGGCATATAAAGGGTAATGATACCATTATTACAACAATAATTCTTAAAGACCTGGAAATAGTGGCTTTTGTGGCCATCTAGTATGAAGAGGCGTTTACCGGCGGTTATACGCGGTCTGGTATACTTGTTGAAATATTCAATCCATCTCAAACCGATCTCATTTGTAGTCCATCCGTTGTCAAACACGGCCACCTTCCAATTGCGTGGTAATGTTGTGACGCGATACCATGACGCAAGGTAGGTTTTGCTCTATAGAATAATGAACGGCAGGACCACCCAGCCATCAGTGTTAGTAGCAGGGATTACTATAGATTATTCTTTGTTGCTTTACTGAGCTTGTTTAGGCCTGTTATATTATTTGGCGCTTGTAATAACCATACTAGACCTAATAATCCTTATTTTAGACCCAGTCTTGTCAAAGTTGTAAATATCCGCGTCTTGGATACTATGTTTTGCGATTGCTGCCGCAACTTGGCAAAACCATACGCGATATGCGTCTGGATCTTCATTCAAGACCCTCTGGTAGTCCATCCTCCGATAAAAACGCGTCTAAAGGCCTGGTGTGCATTTAAAAAAGTTTTGCGTCCAGTTCTTTCCAACGAGTCCAGCCCCACATGCTGCCAACAATTGATTTGTCATATCTTTAACATAACTGTGCCAGGATGGAAATGCTTGCGTATCCAGGTCAAGAATGAAAGAAAGAATAGCATTTTCTTTGGAAACCATAAATTTCAAAGTATTGGGCATACTATCGCATTGTGATGGTCAGCCGGTAATTTTAGTCTATAATATATTATATAGGACGTAGAAAGTCTTAAAAAGCTTGTTAATGATAATATGATGGTCGCGTCGTTTAGCTTGGACACCAAGTTGTAAGTCTTATTCGTTATAACACAATGTGTGAGGATTGTGGTGGCAGTATGGTGGCAGTCAGGGAGGCTGCCAGCTGACAAGGGGTCAAGCAGGCAACTTGGCAGAATAAAGGAATGGAAGCACCAGGAAAGGTGGCTTTCATGGGTGATAGACAAGGGATCTTTGGCTGGAGGATCAATGAATGGGTACATCTTTGTATTTTGGTGTGTATTTAGTACTACATTGGTCCCCTAGACCTATGGATAAAACGCAACGCACTAGACCGATCATCACGCCCATGTTCTGATGATCCGATACAATGCCATTATTGTAGGTTGATCAATTAGGAGCCTTGATGAAAAGGTTAGGTGGCTGGTGAAAAGTTGTCGTTCGCTTGTAATTGCTGCTTGCTTGTCATCTATGATATTTCAACTTTTTTCCAAAATACATTGAATCTTAAATTTTATAAGTTGAAAACTATATGTTTCAAGCTGAAATAGAACTTTTTATCTATTGTATTAAATAATATCTAATAAGACTTTTTTAAGATATACAGTCATTAGTTTTAACATCCTTTTTTGTATATAATAGTTTGTTATTTTGAAATTTGTACCAAAACTTTCTGAAAGCTGGTCCTTTTTTCTTACAATAAGTAAACTTTTTAATAAATTTAAAAAGCTACGAGCCGGATTTAAAATCTTTAATAATCTTATTTTTATATTTGTATATAATAAACGGCAGTATATAAACATTATAAATAGGTTAGAAATATATAAAAGCTTTAATTTAAACGTTTATGATCGTTTTAATTCAGAAGAAAAAGATAATTATAATTAAGAATTAGCTACGTTTAATAAAGTTAATAGATAAATACTTACCGGCTTTAATGCCGCTTGAATAGTTCGAACTTTAAATTAATATATTATCTAATCGTCATAAAAATAGCTAAAGCTTTTAAGGTTTTATAAAATGATTACGATGTTATTGTGACGGTGTACAGCTGTATCCACCTGGTCTTTGGTCAGGAGACCCACCAGGTCACGTGTAAATCAGATAAACAAGTAACGGGACCACCACTTAAGGTGTGTGCTGCTCACATCACCTTGCTAGCTTTCTTTTCTATCCTCGACTTGTTGTTTTTGTGATCAATCTCAGATTGCAACACACTGGCGCAGGCATCGTGACATTTATAAATTAAATTACTCTTTATATTTTAACTTATCTCTAAATATAAAATGTCCTTAATAAGTGTGTTAAAAAGTAGAAAAAGTAAAAGTGAAGGGTGTTCGGTATTTTTGTCCACCCACTGTATATCCGTCCGAGAAATTGGGTCACGTGATAGCGTCCCTGAGTAGCCAGACTGCATGAAAACTTCCACGCTGGAAATTTCTCTTGCCGAATCATCAACATCCATGTTCATGTGTTCAATCGCAAACGTCTTCAGTTGATCTTGATCAGTGATTTAAGACTATGGGCCAATACGACAGACAAGCTCAGTCTCAGAGGAAACATGGCCCTCTTCCAAACAGTGGTGCCGCAAAAGCTCCCGCTACACCTCCGTTGCAAAGACCGCAATGGCGAGGCCAAGGATACGTCAAGAAACAAAAACCTCGTCAGACTACGGCGGTCGCGACAAAGTCGACTTCGACGGTTCAGGAACAGAGACTTCTGATCGATCTCCAGCAACTGATTTTGAATATCTTCAGAAACACATTCCTGGCTTCGAAGGACTTCGATAGCTGGAAGGGGACGCTCCATGAAGTCAATGAGGCACTACTTCAGCGCGATCTGGTGAAGGCGTTTGGAAGTGAGGAGTTCAAGGAAGGCTATGCGCTCAGGTGGTCACCGAGTCGAAGCTTGGTGTATGTGAATGTGCTGGCTTGCCTGTGTGATTTACGGCAGGATGATCATTGGGTGAAGCAGTTGCTGAACCTCGACTTGCCTAGCAAACCTGCCAGAGTTGTCTGCTTTGGTGGAGGCGCTGCAGAGGTTATGGCTCTCGCAGGTCTCGTACGGCATCTTCTACCAAGCGCTGCTGGCAAACCACAACAGTCCGAGCTGGAGACTTCCAACGCGTCTCAAGTAGAGACGCCTTTATTATACCTTCACCTCATCGATACCGCAGATTGGTCGTCGGTGATATCGAAACTGGAGACCGGGGTCGAGACACCACCAACGCTCTCACAATACGCCAGTGCCTCTGCGCGGGCATCAAACTCCGCGTTCCTCGGTCCAAATGGTCTGAACACGACGTTCCACCAAGTCGACATTCTCAGCCTCAGCTCCGAAGATCTGAAGAATACGATTGGATCCGAGCCCTTGATGATAACTTTTTTCTTAACGCTAAACGACCTGTACACAATCTCGATCCCCAAGACAACAGCATTGCTACGCAAATTGGACATACTAGCACCACAAGGCAGCGTTCTGGTCGTGATTGACAGTATCGACGCTTCGTCATCACCCGGAATCTCGAACAATCAATTGAAGGACTCCTCGGACAGCCCTCCACCAGCTTATTCAATGGACTGGTTACTCGATCGCGTTCTGCTGGCAAAGCCACAGAAAGATAACGGGGAAACCGAGGAAGATAAGGAGAAGCCGAGGTGGGAGAAATTGACAGAAGAGAAGATGAAGCAGCATAAGCTAGACGAGACCCTGGCATATCCAGGCAGCCTGGAGAACATGAGATTCCAACTGCATGTCTTCCGGCGCTTGTAATCTACGCCGAGTGGCAGAGACCGGTGCCACTGACTGGGCTACAAGCGACATCAAGAACACAGCAATGGGCCAGAACACCCATAGTCAAGACCTCAGGCAAGTCCCGCGGCCAATGGGCAAGTCACGTATCGGAACATCGGCACGGCTTGCGTCCATGGCTTTATGGATGGCGAGGACTCTTCCACAGCTCAGGATTTATCCTTCGAGTAGCAGGACTTTCTCATTAGTTGATCGCAAGGTAGATGTCTGGTGGGACGGGTTTTAGCCGTTATTATTACTGTGACATCTAGATATAGACTGCCGCTGTTACACGACCAAGACTCCCAAGACTGCCCAGTGGTGCTACGCACTGCTGAAAGGAGACAGCTATTGGTACCATGAATACATCAATCATACAGGAGACCCGATCCTAGTAAGGATCTTACCGATTTGAGTCGCAACCAGACAGATCAACCGTAGAGTAAGTACCATCCCGCCCAAGCCCATTGAACGGCCATAGCATATGCAACCCGCCTACGTATCCTCTTTTGAGCAAACCCCATAAAGCCACCCCTTACTCGCACGTCTTAACCTTGTAGTCGACAGTCTGGTTGCCGGTGGCAGGGACCTTGGGCTTGAAGTCGAGATAGACAAGCTGTGTCCGGAGTCAGCAATCGATCAAATCCCAACACCCACACCATCAAACAAAACATCCTCCTTACCTCGCCTTTCTCGGCCGTCCACTCGCCATTGGTATCCCGGTAGAAGACCAGCTCATCCGAGCCGGCATCCCGGACCTCGGCCGTGGTGTGGGTGACGACGCCCTCGGTGCTCCACTCGATGTTGTAGCAGGTCGATCGCGTCACGAGGAAGGGCTTCGTGCAGCGCGTGTTGCCGTCGTTGTCTCTGCAGGTCTCGACGGCGTAGTCCATTACACTGCCCTCGGCTACGGTTGACGCTGCGGGGGGCTGTCAGTGGATGTTTTGGAAGAGGAGACGGATTGGGTTCGGAGCTTACGTTTCGTCAGGGTACCGGTGAAGGCCAGGCCGGCGGTCAGGACGCTCTGGGCTGATGGGATGTACATGGTTGCGTGGAAGAACCTGTCGATTCGCGTTGGTTGTTCTGTGTTATTCTACGATGGTGAATGATGGTCTGCTTGATAGAACGGGGGTGTTGTAAAAGGGAAGCAAGAAGGAGCTTAGGTAGGTAAATAGGTGAAGTTGAGGGTAGTTGATCTACCTTGTATGTACCTCTAATAAGGTTCCTGCTGTTTGTTCTGGTGCACGTGCAGGCAGAGGCAGGCAAACGCAGGCACGTTGTCACGCAACGTCATCGATTCAATGTTCGCCTGCCGCACGGCATCAGCTGAGCTCGTCACCGCGTCACCGCGTCAGGGCGATCTGCGTGGCTTGAAACCGCTGATGCGGGGAATGGGGAATGGGGAATTGATCTAAAAGTTCAGCCAAGACACGCCGTGGAACGTTAGTCTACCTCTCTACCTGCTGAGGGAGGCATGAGGCTGGATTAGGTATCTACCTCTACCTGGGTACAACAATCACTGCCTTACGCCTCACATTCCCTTCAACGCCTGGGACGCATCTCGTAGAGGGCTGCGAGATAGGTAAAGAGGTAGCTGCTGGACACTCGGGAGTCGGAACTCGTATGCAGGAAAGTATTATGTGCATGTAACATACCGGTAACAAGGATGGTAATGGTTAGCGGTTCTAGGGTATGGGTCTGAATCCAATATGATGCCCATGCTTACACATATACTTTTATAAAAAGTTCTACAAGAGAGTTCCTATCGCGTAAAGTTCTACCTATTAACTATTGACATCCAGGACACCGGTAGGTATCGCACAGGATCCATCCCCTTGCGTCCGAGCCCGGGCGAGAGAAGCGGTCAGGTGAGGAAGTCAAGGGGATACTGCATCATGATCACCAACGGCCAAGCCAGCCCAACTATTCGCATTCCATGGTCTGTTGGTTCTCCTTTGGCGACTCTGACGGGCGTTCCTATCACCAAAGGCACGAAGTGAACTACGATGAACATGAGCGCGGAAGTGTTCGATATCATCATTGTTGGGGGCGGAACCGCTGGCTGTGTCTTGGCTAGTCGGTTGTCGGAGAATAAGGAGATCCAAGTCCTTCTGATGGAAGCTGGGAGGGATCTGACATCCGACCCGCGAACGAACGTTCCGTCATTGGGATCAAGCCTCTTGGCCACGTCCGCTAATTGGGGCTTCAAGACCACTCCTCAGGTATGGAACGCTCACTACAGTTTGCTGCCTGACCTGCTTAGTCGTACTCGATAGGCGAGTCTCGGATCACGCGAAACCGTTGCACCTGCCGGCCGTCTCCTCGGAGGTTCGAGCGCTGTCAACGGCTTCGCCTTCCTTCCGAACTCCAGGGCCAACATTGATGCTTGGGCTGACCTCGGCAATCCCGGTTGGGACTGGTCGAGTTTCACCAAATCGATGAGCCTCTTCAGTCTGGCCAAGTCTGCCAAACCAGATGGTCACAGCCCTCTTCAGCTCACCATCCCGGACGAAGATAGCGAGTGGCCGCGCGTATGGAGGGAAACTCTGGCGAACTTGGGATACCCCGAGGCCACAGACCCGTTTTCTGAGAAGATCGTGGGCAGCTTGATGGGGCCTGAGACCATCGGCCTTGACAAGAAACGTAGCTTCTCAGCCAACGCATACCTGAGCGATTCCGTGCAATCTCGAAGCAACCTCACAATCTGGTCCGATGTCTTGGTTGAGAAGATTATCTTCGACAACTCGGAGACTGTGATTGCAAGAGCTATTCAGTACAGTGAAGGTCAAGGCCAGCAAACGAAGACTGTTGAGGCGCGTAAGGAGATTGTGCTCAGCGCCGGAGCAATCAACTCTCCTCGGCTCCTTGAGCATTCGGGCATTGGCGATGCAGATCGCTTGCGGCGCCTCGGGATCGACGTACTGATTGACAATCCTAACGTTGGCGAGAACCTACAGAACCATCCCATGTGCAGTCTCAGCTTCGAAGCGGTCGGTGAAGACAGATTTCAGACCATCGACCAACTCCTACGCAAAGACCCCGACGCCATCGCTGCTGCCCAAAAGGCGTACTCGGAGGGAACCGGACCGGCGTCCCGCAGTAACCTCAATATTCTTGCGCAGCTGTCGCTGCCTGGTAGTACGCCGCTCGACGGGAACCTCGACAGTACTTTACCAGGCATTGGTTCAGCAACTGATCCCATGGGAAAGGCGCAGGAATCTTTCGTTCGCGCTGTCCTGACTTCACCGAAGGAAGCATCTGGCTGCTACATGACGGCCCCCGGATTCGTGTCTTTCGCTGGCGATGGGACAGCCGTTCCTCCACCCGTCGGAACGAGCAGATTCTTCACCATAGCGGTGCACCTTGCGCACCCGTTATCCCGCGGATCAGTCCACATCACGTCGCCATCACGCCCGGACTCGTCATCGGGAGTTTCCATCGATCCGAACTATTTCTCTCATCCGTTAGACCTCGAAATCCTCGCCAGACATGTACAGCTCATAGAGACCATCGCCATGACGGAGCCCCTGTCCAACCATCTCAAGTCTGACGGCCAACGAGGTCCGGACATGCCCGCACCCGGGGGTTTCGCTGATCTACAAACGGCGAAGGACTTCCTCTTAAAGCGGGCGAAAGGTGCACATCACTGGACGGGGTCTTGCTCGATGATGCCGCGAGAGTCGGGGGGTGTCATCGATCATGAATTACGCGTCTATGGTTGCAGGAATCTGCGTGTTTGCGATGCGAGCATCATGCCTATCTCTCCTCGGTCGAACATCCAAGGTGTTGTTTATGCTGTTGCTGAGCATGGGGCTCAGATCATGAAAGCTACCATGTAGTGTTGATCGGCTTGACAGCATACGCCAGGACACCTCGGGAGCTTCAAGTGGGTGAATGTAAGACAATTTGTGCTCATTTGACAACGGTCCGAGTCCGGGGTGTTTGTCCGCGATGACACTAGCTGTACGACGTTGTCAATTACAACTGTGCAGCGCCGTGTCAAAAGTTCCAATACATGTCACTCGAGTACGTGACACCGCAGGCGGTCAGAGCTCCGGCAATCGTCAATCTGCTGGAGTTGGCTCTGTTGTTCGCTGGCTCGTTGGTTGGGTACCTAGTTCTTGTAAATATGCAGTCGCACCGACCAGATCGTCTGATGAAGTGAATGGAAGATTCCCGTCCATACGTTTCACCCAGCTGCGTTAGATGGCCAGATCCTCACTCTACAAGCTCGCTTCTGTGAATGGTTTGTCACATTCATTCGTGAGTTAAATTCGTAGCGAATCGAAATGTGTGGGAAAGTTTGTGTAAGAGCGAAAAAAAAAAAAACCTCGCACACAGTCAAGCCATCCCTTTGGGCATATCATCAAACAGACGTTCTTGCTACTTCATGGTGTTGTGTTTCCAGCAGTATTGAGGTCTCGTCTCTCGTGCCGCCAGAATGGTCTCACGACGCTGGTTTCCCACGCCCCGGGAGCAGCTGGTGTTCGTGGTCATTACCGTCGTCCTTGCCCTCTCGCTCTGGACATCGCATCGCATTCATTGGAAGACCCGGCTTGGGACCGGAGGATGGTCCCTAACCAGTCGAAGACATGCGACGTCTGACGTGTTCAACTCGACGCTGGGGGTAAGCTTCTTCCATAATATCAGGTGACAGGTCCGAGTCGCCTCAGCTGGGCAGTGTAGCTTACTGGGCATCCCCTACAGTTCGAACGAGTATTTGCAATCGGCCTTCCGGAACGATCAGATAAGCGCGATGCCCTGACCTTAATGGCCGCTCTCACAGGCTTCAAGTTGTCTTGGATCAACGGCGTGGCTGGCGAAAGCGTCCCTAACAAAGCTCTCCCCTTCGTGAGCAGTACCTTCTACGTCCCTGCTTCAGACCACATACAGTAGGAAGTCACTGATGTCTCCAATCCAGGGATGGGACCGCCCAGCAATGCCCGAAACCAACCTCGGCTCCTGGCGCGGCCACATCAACGCCATGCGGCACATCGTCGCCTCAGGCCTCACATCCGCGCTCGTCATGGAAGATGACATGGACTGGGACACGCACCTCAAGTCCCAACTCTCCGACTTCGCCTCTGCCGCAACAAGTCTACAAGAGGGTTTCTACCACAACCAGTCGCTCGCCTCGCCCAGCCCCTACGGCCAGCACTGGGACATGCTCTGGATCGGGTCCTGCGCAACGACCTTCGACGAGCACCTGCCACTGGACCTGCAGCTCCCCGAGGACCAGCAGGACAGTCGCAAGATGCTGATCGCCAACGACGTCACCGTGCCCCCCGGCACCCACATCACCGGCAACGCGTCCTTCAGCTGGACCGAGTACGCGCCGCAGACGCGGATCGTATACGTGCCGGGTGACAACATCTGCAGTTTCGCCTACGCGCTCAGTGCTGCGGGCGCGCGAAAGGCGCTGCAATATATGGGGCTAGAGGGCCAGCACAAGGCGTTCGACAACCACCTGAGCGACCTGTGTCGGCTTCGCGTGAACGGGATGCGCTGTGTGAGTGTCGTGCCGAGTCTGTTCGTGCATCATCGGCCGCGGGGGCGTGTCAGTCGGGACTCTGATATCAGTGGTGGTGATGGCTCGAAGGATGATGTGAGGGAGGTTGGGTTTACGGAGAACGTGCTGTATAGCACGCGGCTGAACTTGCAGAATCTGGTCAGGGGCATGGAGCCCGAGAGGCAGTGGGAGGATTAGATCTGTTGGGTCCCGGCGTTGTCGTTGTCATAGATCTAGCCTCTAGGAGGTTCCTTACGACGTTCAGGGGGTTGAAGTCGCCAAGATGAGCTTATCCCCGAGAATCATTGGCGCAACCATCGATCAGACGGCCAACTACCGAAAGGAACGATGCAGCCGTATCATCCCAGGATGGCATTCGTCGGATAAGGTTATGCCCGAATTGTCGTAGAAGACTGGAATGCTTTTGTGCTTACTACAACTTTTGCTCCCGATGGGTTGGATGGGTTTGCTCTATAGCACATTGAGGGCACCTATCCTGAGACGATATTCGCTTGTGTTCGAGAGTGGTAGGAGTGTACATTACCACGGGAAGAACTGAATCTCAGTCTCCTGGCTCACGACCCCTACCCTAAGGCCAGTGAGACTCAGAGTGCCTTGCCGTGTAAGGTTGATGAATTCCTCAGACCGTGGTATAGCGAACCGGACTGTGAGCTTCACCTCATTGCGAGCTTCACCGCATTGAAGATAACCAAGACCTAGCATACCCCAGAGCGGAAGGTCCGTACCTCCAGCTCGCCCAAATACCGCCACCCAAAGCCGCCCAGCCCAGCAGGCCCTTGGCGATGAAAATAGCCTTGATGATCTGAAAAGTCTTCTTCTCATTCACCCTCGGGAACGGCTCCGCCGGCACCTCCTTGCCCAGGAATTTGCACAGCGGCTCCCAGCCCTGCTCCGGAGTGAAATCAAGAACCTCCGCATTGCGCTTCGCCGCCTCCTCATGAACAATGCGAGTGTGGATATCGTGCGACTCCGGGTCAAACGGGTGCGAGCCGTATTTCCCTTTGGCCGTTTCGATGACCTCCATATTGAGTGCGTACCAGATGCGGTCCGTCTTGAACAGCATGCCCGTGAGCCAGAAACGCCACGAGAAGAAGAAGTCGAACGAGTCGTGCGTGGAGACAGACCAGACATTGGCGTCATGCCGCTGATTGAGCACGACCTTGGCCTCGGGATACATGTCCATCAGGTCCGGCAGGAAGAATACGATGGGCAGGTCGGCGATGGAGGCGTGGCCGTCGATGAGCTGCCGGATGAGCTTTTGGCGCTTTGCAGTGTCGCGCTCCCGCACCGCCGTGAGCATGAGCTGGCCCCGTTCGACATGCGGCAGGATGTTGGCCATGTGGAGGCAGGGCCCAAAGCCGAGTTTCTCGACGGCGGCTTGCATGGAGCTCGTGGCGGTCCGTGGCAGGCCGGCACAGATGATTCGAAGAGAGGTAGGTGTGCCCTTGTCGACCACGCGGTCGTCGGTGGGGAAGCGGACCATGGTGATGGTGAGGTGGTGTAGTTCAGAGTGTGATGAGATAGATTGGTGGGTGGAGACAAGAAGTAACGCAAGACGAGATGAGAGAAGGCTGAGGTTGACAATAGGAGACATGGGTAGGACCAAAAGTTTGGAGCTCGCAGCAAACGCTGTGATTGCAACTCATAACTTATAAGGGAAATCTGGCTGCCAGGTAATGGACAGGAGAAAAGCGAAGGATGACATGGAGCTCGTGCCACATGGGAGATCACCATCTCACCGTACCAACTTGTAAACGAGACGGTAGATTAACGGCGGGGGCATAGATGTGGGACAGCCCTAGATGTGGGACACCTCTCACACCAAAAGGCCACACTTGCACCCACCCATAACTCCATCGGGATTGAGGTTATATATAATGTAATTACAGCAAAAGAATCGCCTTTTCTTGGAGTTTTTAGCAATACTAACTGTTCTCCTGGTAACGTGCGGGTTGTCGGATTGAGCGGCGTAAAGATCGGGCCACAATGGGCTCCTCATCCTCTTTATCCTCAGTATTATCCCTTTCATCAACAACAACACCTTCATCGTCATGAGGCCCGAATTCCTCCAAATCTTCTGAATATGACTCTGTAGAATTCTCAGAGAGAGATCTCTCTGATTTGTCAGTATCTAAGTTCTGCACTTCACACAGAACTTGCCGTCTCTCTGCGCGTGCCTCTATAGCAGCTTGTGCGGCCTCTGTATGCTCAATTTGCTCCTTTGGGGGTGGTCTCAGGGTTCATTATAGCAGCAGTTGCTGCTTGGATCTCTGCTGCCTTCATCACATGCTTATTTGCGAGGGTTTTCTGTCGGTTTACAGGCCAAAGACTGGCAGCATGCCATCCCAAACGCACTATAGCCTCTTTGGCTTTATCACGGGCCTTAGCTTGGTAACTGAGGAACCGTAGCTCGCCTATAGGCGCCAAATCATTCAACTGACCGAGCTGGTTGATGAGGCGGCGGTAGGCGGCTTTCACCACAGAGAACACGGTCAAATCCAGGGACTGGAAGATGTGAGACTACTTCTATTAGCAAAATAATTACTAATTAGCATATAACTTACCATATGGGCAGGGAAAAAGTTCAGATAAATGTTATTTATATAGCACATATACATAAACTCATCCAAGCAATGGCTGCCATGGCCGTCGAGCACTAACAGGCAAAAATCTTCCGGATCTTTAAGGACTGTCATGGCGAGCGTACTGAGGAGCTGGGACATGGCCGGCAGCAAGCAGCTATTACTCTATTGACGAGAATATCAAGACTAGAGAGGAAAGAAAGAGAGAGAGAGATAGGTACAGTGGGAGGTTGCCCCTTTAAGGGGATCCTCTGGTCAGATCCTTCCCCTATTAGGAAGTATCCACTTGTCATGTGGAAAGGTCTGTGCAGGCCGTCATAAGGACAGTATCCGGTAGATAGATCTAGGGCTTATTTAGCATGTAATTACTGTTAATAAATAAGAAAAAAATCGCTTTTTCAAGCCATTGCAACGCGATCTCGTTCGAGGACCAGCCGTTGGCAGAGTAGGTCACAAACCACTTTGCTACCCCAGGATGCTCCTAAATAAGCTGCTCCTTAAACCACTGGGTCTGGATCGACTTTGCCTTAAATATAACGAACGGTCGGAGCTTCTTTCCAGTGGCAGTGATCGATTCCATCACTGTAGTCCATGTGCGGTCATCGTTAGACTTGACGTTGGCCCCTTTTGAGCCAGAACTGCCTATTACAAGGCCATTAGACCTAAATCTCCTGATTAGCCGTCTAAAAACCACTTGAATTAGACAATTCATATACTGCTGACCCTGCATAATGCCGTACTTATCAACATTTTTCTGGTTTTTAGGTTTGATAAAGGCGAAATCTTCGTAACGGTCATGGAAGCCATTGATGTTTTTGGGAGTGACAGCATTAATAAGTTTATAGTCAAGTTTTCTTCCCATCTTGGTCTTAATCTCTGGGTGCCTCTGGATGAAGTTTCGCATGCATTTGCCCCATAAGTGATCTGCCTTGCCCATAGACTTTAGGATCTGCTGGATAATGTACCTCACATTGCCGTGAGTTGGCGCGTGGCCAGCCTTTTCTTGATGGAAGATCTATGATATCACTCTAGTCACTTGCTCAGGGCTTAGCTTTTGGCTATTTCGAGCCCCTTCATAGCTATTCAGAGTTCGGCGCATCGTGGTGCCCTCTACCTTGTATGTGAGAGTAAATTTTGGTACTTCCTAGCACAGATTGGCCTTGCGGAGGGATAGGCCATTGTTCACAGCAGCGATTGCCTCTACGAGGTCTTTTTTAGTGTACAAAGAAGGCATTTCAATGTGCTAAAGCCTATGATGCTTACAGAAAAAAACCCAGAAAAAACCGTAGAACTTCTGTTACATTGAAGGGGATAGGGGCACAGGTCCTATTACCCCTCAGATTAGGCCCGGAAGTGCTAATTTTTGACCCCCACCGCCGCCGATCCCCCGCGTCCAGACTATGTAAAACCCAGACCAAAAAAAACAGCCAGAAAAGACGATTCAGATGCCGTACTTACGGTATCTAGGGCTTCATTGGCTATGGAGATGTGTATAAGTGAACATTGTGGTTTTGGGTGTGGGAGGTGTTGAATACACGGATGTTGATTGATGAATGCTATTAATTGTTCTGCTCTGCGTGCAGAGATCGATTATCTGTCTTCTTGGTGGGTCAGATGCCCTGTGCGTCTCTGCCCCACTGGAGATCTTCCGTTGTCTATCTCCGGCTCCCATTCAACATCTATGCCCTCGCCGTTAACTACCCACTTGATTTTTTAAAAAGCCAGGAAGGCCAATGCGGTATTTATATACTCGCGTTAGATTGAATGAGGACTTACAAAAGGCTTATGCAAAAATCTGTTTAATATTATAAATAAAAATAATTCTTAAAAAAATTAATATAAAATGATATATATATAAGAAAGTTTTACTTTTATATATACTTAATAAATATATATATAATAATATAAATATTACAGTCTTAAGCTTTATCCTGTCACGATGCCTGCGACGGTGTGTTGCAATCTGAGATTGATGACGAAAATAACAAGGTGAGGAAGGAAAAGGAAGCCAGCAAGGTGGTGTGCGTAGCACATACCTTGAATGGTTGTCTTGTTCCTTCCTTATCTAATCTACACGTGACCTGGTGGTTTACCTGACCAGGGACCACGTGGACACAGCTGTACACCGTCACATATCCTTTTATATAAAGAAGGAGTTATAATTGTATAAACATATAATAAACTATTATTAAAATTATAATACTATTATTACGTTTTAAAATTCATTTTTATAATAATATTGCTTTAATTTATAATTAAATAAAAAGTAAACCGATACCTTACGTAATGATTAGTTAAATAACGGGCTTAGAAGCGTTATTCATATCGTAGATTTTCTAAAAAATTAAACAAACGATTTTTTCATAAAAGGAGATAAAAAGTACAGCACTAAAAACGCTACTAAAATAAGACATTATTGATAATAAATACTTCAGTTTTAAAACGTTAATGGAATAAAAGATTTATTAAGATAACTATAAACGTAAGTATTATATTTTAACTCTATAGAAAGCAAAAAAAAAGGTACTATTATAAATAATATAGCAAATAAATTAATAAATGATTGTTTAAAAAGTATTAAAGAAAATAAGTATACTCATTAAATATATTATAATTTTTAGGTTGATAGTTAAGTATTATTATAGGGTTAAAAGTGTTATTAATAATTATAGATATTTTTGAAAATGCGTTAATGTCCTAGTTTGGTACAAGTAGCCCATGTGGTGAGTCTTAGAGCCTGGACATGAGTATATGTACCACCATTGAATGTTAAGCTGCCACACTTAGTATTCGACATCCCTTTGGGAGCAGCCGCCGTGGTATGGTGGTTATGGTGAGCGTTTCGTCACAGTTCTTATCACTTAAAAAAAGGCCCTCGTTTTAAAATACTTTAATAATAGCTTTATAAGGCTTCCTAAAAAGGTTAAAATAATATACCCGAAGTGCATTCATACACTTATCTTTAATAAAAGAACAATAAGTAAATAATATCATAACTAGCGGTTTTGTTGATTTTAATTTAATAATTATTACGAAATTTATATATTACTAGCTTTTAATAACTATTTAATAAAAGCTAATTTCTTATATAAATGTAATGGTATTAAAATCAAAATTGAATTAACGCTACTACTTTATTAAGCCTAAGCTACTTTAATCAAGTAAGAAAAAGAAAAGAAAAGTAAATCATATAATAGCCAAGATTAATGCTTTTAAACAATTGACATAAAAATGTTTTTTTATACTAGTAAATTTATAAATGTATATTCTTTACTTTATATTAATATATGACTACGAAGGGTGATATAACAATTCGATTAAAATACTTTCTCAATATTGCATTTACTATATTAACTAAACTACAAACTAAATTACAAAGAAATGAAATATTTATATAGATTTTAAACTTTAAAGCTATTATACTTAAACTCAATAAAGTAATAAGGTATAAACAAAGTAAGTAATACTAATAAAACTGTAGTTATGTACGAGCGTACGTTGATTTATTATTATGTAATAAAGCTAGCATAAAGTAATTAAAAAAGGTTGTACGCGATCGATATTTTATGCTAGTTATTATTAACGATTAAAATAATAATAAATAGTTTAAATATTTAATTAGAGTAATATCTATACTAGATTTATTACGACATCCGACTAATAAGCTATATAATAACATGTTTTAAGATAACTATATAATTATAAAAAATTTAAAATAACGTAGCTGACAAGCGAGTTGACATTACAAGCGAGTTGGCACTCGTCATGAACTCTCCAACTGCCATATCAAATAACTTCACCACAACGCATTCAGTTCAATTCAATCAATCGGATTCCTCTTCCTCAGAGGTTTCTATCTCTATTGTACAAGTTCGCGCATTATGGCCAGTATTGCCGCAAACGCCACACCGTTGCCCACGCGCTGCCGCCCGCCTCGGACGACGACTACCTTCACCTATTTCCTGTTTTGCCAACTCAGTACCATCCTTTGCAGCCTGAAGATCTACTGCATCTTTAACGGAAAGTACTCCTCTTTTTATTAGACGTTTGTTTTTTGTTCTCTGGCGTTTACTTAGTAGGTGATTGGCCTCTTCTAGTTCGCGGACCTGGGAATCAACCAAAGTGACCTTATGCATAAGACCGTATGTAGCCTTTGAAAACGAGCTCAACGCATCAACTATTGATGTAGGTGAGCTTCCCTGGTGGTTTCTGACTCGGTTTCGGATATAAACTGATTGGTTTACCGCTTCGTTAATGGTGGTAGGCGTCTTCGAAGTCCAAGTAGTGGGTGGCAGATTGGGGTCTGGCGACGGTGTTCGTATGACAGCGACAGCATCCAGCTTTGAAATGACACTTTCTGGGTCAAAAGGAACAAGCCCAGTGGCACTGAAACCTGCTCGAATGTTTCCTGGCGTCATAGCAGCGTTATGTGCTTCACAAAACGTTGCAAGGAAGTCCTCCTTCGAAACGTGGGTTATATGACGCCGGATAAGATCCTCAATCATGCGACCGTAAGCTCGTTTGAGCGGGCTAAAACAGCCGACATCTAGAGGCTGGAGCCTGTGTGACGAGTGGGCAGGCATACAAAGGGTGATAATGCCATTGTTCTGACAATAATCCTCAAAGACCTGGGAATGGTGGCTTTCGTGACCATCTAGGATGAGGAGGCGTTTACCGGCAGTCATACGCGGTCTGGTATACTTGTCAAAATGCTGAATCCATTCCAAACCAATCTCATTTGTGGTCCACCCGTTGTCGGACACGACCACTTTCCAATCGCGTGGTAATATCGTGTCGCGATACCATGACACGAGGTGGGTTTTGCCCTGTAGAATGATGAACGGCGGGACCACCCAACCATCAGCATTAACAGCAGAGATTGCTGTAGACCATTCCCTGTTGCCTTGTTGAGCTTGTCTAGGCCTGCCACGTCTTTCGGCGCTTATAACGACCATGCCGGACCTAATAATGCCCATCATAAACCCAGTCTCGTCGAAGTTGTAAATATCCGCGTCTTGGATACCATGTTTCGCGACTGCCGCTGCAATTTGGCAAAACCACGCGCGATACGCGTCTGGATCCTCGTTCAAGACCCTCTGGTAGTCTATCTTCCAATGAAAACGCGTCCGGAGGCCTGGTGTACGTTTGATGAAGTTCCGCGTCCAGTTCTTTCTAATGCGTCTAGCCCCACGCGCCGCCAACAATTGATTCGCCATATCTTCAACATAACTGTACCGGGGCGGAAATGCTCGCGCATCCAGGTCGAGAATGAAGGAACAAATGGCATTCTCTTCGGAAACCATAAGTTTCAAAGTATTGGGCATGCTGTCGCGTCGTGATGGCATTCCTTTGACTCTATTGCTCAAAGTGGAATGAGGGACGTTAAAGAGTTTCGCAAGCTGAAATATAGGAATATGAGGGTCACGTCGTTTAGCTTGAACAGCTAGCTGCAAGTCTGATTTGTTATAACGCGGTGCCATTGTTGTTGGTGGAGATATGATGGTTTGAATCGTATTGGTTGGAAAGTTCATGACGAGTGCCAACTCGCTTGTCAGCTACGTTATACTCTTTTTAAATAAGTATATTTTAAATTTTACCTTTAATATATATATATATTACGTTACATTTTTATATAACTTTATTTTATAAATACTTTAATTGTTGGATCTATGCAATTCCAGCCTGCAAACCATCTATACCAAGACCCACATGTATGATTAGATAAGAGATAGATGCCGGATTGCGAGGTTACTTAGCCAGACCTTCAGGTCTAGCTAGACCTCCCAATCCAACCATCAGCAACATCATGACCTTGACCCCATACTCGAGTATTATGATTGATCGTTCAAGCCTGTTCCAACATTAATAACTATAACTTAATATTGAACTTATAATAATGACTCGGAATTATAACGTAATCATCTGGAGTTATACGGTTTTACGATTATATTAATTTATTTTTATTTATTATATTGATAATTATCAAATGCGGCGGTTATGATGTAACCATTTTATATAATTTTTAGTACTAACTTATTCGCGTTTGTTAATGGAACGAGATATAAAACCTTTTAATATCGTACTACTTAGCGAGGATTAAATCTTGCGTGAGTTTATCTTTAACTAGGCGACCGAGCAGCAGAAAATACTATCTAAATCCTCGACACCTTGCCTCGGTCTCTTACAACTCCTCGGCTCCAAGTATTGCTGTAAGGCTTCTCAAGTCCATTTGCCAAGCCAAATACTGATTGTCGTCTTCCCGGTCTCTACATCTTTCGGGGTGGAACCATGAAAGGCTTAAGAAGTGGTCTCGCTTGGTCCCTGATGTTACGTGATGACGGGAAGCGATAATCTGGAGCTGTTAAAGATCATGTTCCACATGCATAGATAGTATCTTTATATGCCAGCATCTACAGAACACTCCTGGATAAGAGCTTTAAGGCGTCCCTCTCTCCCATACCGCTCCAATGCTACCTCTTTCCACTCATCCCAGCATTGTTCAACGCCAAAGACTCGAAGGATGGCATTCGCTAATGGTAACGCGTAGGCCCACTTTGGCTCAAGTCCCAATCCCCAGAAAAATCTCCTCGCCTTCTCGTCTTCCATATGCTGTGCCAGCCCTAAATCTTTCTCGTGTACGGCATTCCTTAGGGCAACATCCTTGGAGCTCAGCGATACAGTGCCATCGCAAAGAGCTCTCATGTCGGCAGAAACGAGGGATAGAGCAAATACTTCTCGCCGCGGAACCACTCGAGCCATCTGCCAGTCGATAATGCCGGTAATGTTCGAGTCGCCGTCGACCATCAGGTGATCACCCTTGTCGTCAACATGTTCCAGAAAGAACTTGCCCTCGGAATCGGAGAGCTGCGTTGCATTTTCCTGCAGGAATCGATACACCAGGTAGGCTTCTACAGGAAACTGAGGGTATAGTTGACCGTCCGCGATCAACGCCAGATATTGCTCGGCCCAGGCCGTTTAGTATGCAGCCGAGGTCTCGAATGGGCCGTAAGGCTCGAGACAGACGAACCGGTCGCTGGCCGTCGCCGAGATGGATGGCAATTCGTCGGGGGACTCTACGCATAGGGACCCGGCTCTGCTGAACGGGTGCCTGGCCAACTCGGCGTAGATCTCGGCAAGTCCTTTCCAAATTTTGGCGGCGTCGCCTTGACCATCCCAAGGCCTCCCCGGCAGCTCTTCCATGAGAAGAAAACATACCCCGACACCGTGACCGGTACCCTGAGAAGGAATGCCGAAAGAGAAGGCTCGCGGTGCCGGCACTGTGGTGGACTCTAGGAATTTCAAGGTCGCGTACTCGCTGCAAATTAGGTATTCTGCGAGACGAATCGGAAGCCCGACTGCAAAGCCAGAAACACGCGGCACTCGCATAAGCCAGGATGGTGATGCATTGCCGAAGCGGATGCGAGCGTGGTAGTTGGCGCAGCCCATCAGAGCTTGAGACCCAACTACCTGCGAAGGGTATTCGAGAGTGCAAGATCTGTTGCCATTCAGACTAGAGGCCAGATCGCAGACAGCCTTCTCGTTGATCTGAGCACGAAGCCGGCCGATTTCAGCAGCAATAAGCGCGCTATACGCCGTGTCGTCCAGGTCCTGGGAGGTGGTCACAGTCAGCACTACGTGCATTGGTTTTTGCCAGGGCGACTCTCACTGCGGTGCTGCACTTGTGTAAAGTTCGACACATGTGAATTCGACACAAGTGATTGCTGCAGACATCGCATCCGGCTCCGACTGCGCGCGCACTCGGTCTTGGGCACCCGGACACGGTGCAATCAAAGAACCTTGGGGCCATTAGGATTCGCGACGAAGTTGAACGGTGAAGAGCAGCGTGAGAAGAAATAATCCGGGTTGCCAAGGAGCCACGCGTGCCACGATTGAATGATTTACTAAGTAACCCTGCTCCAGCCGTGCGTGCGTCAATGTCTCACAGTACTTACTGCGACACCACGAACCCGCCTTGCTCGATGAAGATCCCGACCCCTAACCCCTGAACGCTGACACAAAAATGGATAGAAGCCGAGTCATTGGACCCCCAAGCAGCTGTGTCGCCAAAAGACAGCCTGGACGCATGCAGCTCCTATCAGACAGCACCACACACAGTTGACTGGTCCATGTTGGCCGTAATGGTGACCTGACTCTTCGCCAATGGGCGTCGTGGACGGGACGCTGGAGTCGCGGACTCCAAAGATTGAACTGTGACAACTACTCTGATTTGCTACTGCCCGTCCCGACAATCCGGAGCCGAGTGTCAGGGCGGTTAGCTGGCATCATCAAATGCTAATCCCCATGACTCCTGCCTGACCAATGATGGGCGTATGGCTCCGGTGGCTATCTGGGTAATTCTAGCCAGGCATCCCCATATAAGCTCGCCTGTCAGACTGTCATGCGCTTCAGTACACTCTAGCCATCCTCCTCAATCACTGTCCCCGAAACTACTCAATCAAGATCCCATTGCCTGCGTGAATACCAGCACACTATATCGACCTTCAAAACTCAATACGTCACTCCTAGACGCCGACAACGTGATCGTCAACAACGGCACCAACGGCACCAAACCTCCTGTGGATCAGGTTGCTGGAAGCACACGCTGTGCCAAGGAGGATTGTAATAACTGGGCCGAGGCGAACTCTCGCTTCTGCAGCTCTCGTAGGTTCAGCCTACCACAGGAGATAAGCCTGATCCGAATGACACTAATGGTGGAACAGACCAAGGCTGATATGGAGTTATGGCGTACGTGTGGCAGTCCTCTGGACAGATAGTGTAGGGGTCTGGGCGAAGAGGTAGCCTTAACCCCCCGACGGCATGTTCAGGCTGTTCGCTCGAGTGAAAGAGACATCAGGCCGGAAGCATTACGAATTGAATATAATGTATAAGGGGCCTCATCGTGTTGAATATACGGATGTCAATAGATTAGATTGATTATGTGAAAGATGACGACAATATAGTTATGGCACAGCGCATAGTTGAAGTTAAGAACGAAGGTATGAGTTTTAAAAGCTGTTTCTTAAGGATGACAAGACCCTTGATGCTAATCTCAGTTAGTGCAGGTGGTCGAAGCTTGACTACCCCATCTTTCCGGTGCTGCCCTGGAATATTCACGACCCCGCCGCCTGCAACCAATCAGACCACCAATTGATTCTTTCTAAAAAATAAAATTTCGAACTTGAAGGTCCAAAAGTTGCGACCACGATCATCACCCACGACGATTCCAACCAACGTCCCGTACCGCAAACCGCAGCCTTCTCCTCAAACTACACACCCACTGCGTACCCTTAACGTACGCCGAACCGGAACAGCAGCCAGAAAAGCAAAAGGACAGCCTTCACGATGCATCTCATGTACACGATCGACGACAGCGGCAAGCGCACCTACACGCTGAAGAAGGTGCTAGGCGGCGAGGTCACCAAGTCGGCGCACCCGGCGCGCTTCTCGCCCGACGACAAGTGGTCGCGCCAGCGCGTGACGCTGAAGAAGCGGTTCGGGCTTCTGTTGACGCAGCAGAGTGAGTCTTTCTTCTTTTCTCCCTACCGCCGTTATCACAAATGGAGAGAGGCAGAAGAGGGTGTTGGATATGGAAACGACCTTGAGCCGTGGGCGGGCTTGTTATTCTGCAGATTTGGTTTAGTTCTACTTTATGGACATGTGCTGACTCGACTGCTTCCTACAGAGAACAAGATTGCCGAGAACCAATAATCGACGTATCCGGACGAAATGCCGAACGAAAACGAAGATTTGACGGGGATTCGGTCCCAAAATGCATTGGGTTGGCGTTAGTGGTGTGTTGAACGATTGTTCTGGCTTGGACTTTATGATCTGCGATACCCGAAGTTCAGGTTCGAGGTTGGTCGGCAGCACGAGTGGCGGGAGTATGGGAAGACCCCGGAAGCGCTGTCGCGGTGCGGTTCCAAAGCCAAGGGGGCCCTCCGATGTTGGCGAAGGGGATATCAGGACAGCACGTACTGTGCTATGGATTTCCAAGACCATACGAAGGCTCAAGTGGCACTGTGGATCCAGTGCATGGACCCATATGGAGTATTCTGGTAACCCCACCGGATATGTTTGAGGTTACCTGATGAAGGCTGCCTGGCAACCCTTTCTTGCCCCAGGTACCTCACCACTGTAATTTAGGTATTTAGATACATCTAGGATGGAATCCTTTCCATCCGACCTTTTAATCAAGCACCACCCAGACCACTGATAGATTACAACAAGACTTGTGATTTATCAGCATCTGGGAAAGCTACCAAAAGGCACAGCACGATGAAAGGCCGGCAATGTCTTGGTGTCAATCTATTCGCAAGCCCAGCTCCCACTACCTATATATCAGTGCTTCTTTCTCGAATTGACATTTCTTCCCGCGCCCACACGTATCCTCCCAGGACCAGATTGCCGATTTCCAGTCAAGATGCTCGGCAGATAATCCTCATCCATCAGATCCCTTGTCTTCATCCTCTTGTCGTCAGTCGACTTCTTCACGTACTCCTTCTGATCCTCGGCAAATATCAAATCCCTGCCCCATCCATTCTGGCCACCTCCAGGACCTCTCATCTTCCCGTTCGACGTCCCGTGCACCGGCTTGGGGACACTGTAGACGTTTCCCCGATTGTTCCACTGGAAGTTCTTCTTGAGATGTATCGCAAAGTTTCCGTTCTGGTCCGTAGAGCAGCTCACGCGCGTCAGTGTTGGCTGTCCGCATTTGGGGCAGAACTGCTTGCTCATGTCCCGCGTAATCTGGAAGCAGCCATGACACCGCAGTACCCACGTCTTGACCCGAGTTATTCGAGCCATGTTCGGCGAGACGAGGTTCAAGTTCATGCGGAGGAGTACGTTCTGCATGGCGTAATCGGACGTCAGCAGGGCGACCTGGAGAAATCGCTGGATCGGCTGGTCGGGAGCGGAGAGTTGGTCTCTCGCTTGATGTTGCTTGAGGTTCGCTGGCGTGATCCATCCCTCGTCATCGTCTTCTTCCACCACGTGCGCTTTCGTCTCGGCTGTCGCCAAGTCATCTGGTGTGAAATCTGCTATTGGTAGTGCAGACGGTTCTAGGCTGAGAGAATCGAGTGTCTGCGAGACCGTTTCTTGCGCAATTGTAGGTCCTACTTGTTCCCATGGTTTCTCTGCCGGCTCTTCTGCCGACGCTGAGACTGGTGTTTCCGACAGACCATCTTCCGTAGCCTTGTCGGGTTCATCTTCAGCGCTTGATGGGGCAGCTACTGACTTGGCATCCTCGACCGAATGTACGTTCTCCGTCGTCGTCGTAGTGGCATCATCTTGACTAGCCGGCTCTTTCTCCTGCGCGGCAGGCGACTTCCCGTTCAGACCCTTCTGCCCAGGCGTCTTGCGCAACCGCCAATCGCCACCATTCCTCTCGCACTCCAGCTCGTACGTCAACGCTATCAGGTGCAGATCAGGTCTGCTCAGCACCTCGAGGTCGCCCGTCCGCCGTGCGAAGTCGGTTGCGAACTTGACGCTCTCCGGCTTCGGACTGCGCTGCTTCAGGAATGGCAGGAGTGTAGTCTCGACGCGCGTTCTCGTAGCGGCATCGCGGATTTCTGATATGACGGACGGTAGGGTGTAGAGCTCCACTGCCTGCGCGAGCAGGGTGCTCACGGGAGGGTCGTTCTTGATCAGTGGTCCGGCGTCCAGGACGAGGGAGTGGATAGCTTTCGAGGCTGTCGGTTCCGGTGCTTCTGGTACTTCTGTGACTGTAGGGGCCGTCTCTCGCGCTTCGGGTGCTCGGTGATCTTCGGTGGTCGCCATCTTGTCGCGGTAGAGCAGGCGAGATCGGTCATTCTCTATCCCAAATCCAGGAGTAAGCGATGCAGTGGGTAGAGATGGTGGGGTTGACGATATATAGTATGGCGGGGTTGTCGCAGGAAAAGTTTTGGCGGAGAAGTCGGGCAGAATCTGCTTGTGCTGCACCTGCATGGCAGCGGCTTGACAGTCTCATGTTTTATATCTGACCCTAACCCTAACCCTGACAGTAGAAGTTCAACATACTTAGACTCGACAGATCAACGGCATACCCAGATTCACGTACTCCAGTATCATCGTAATTGTCGTTCGATGTCCCGTCAACGGGGGCTGGCGTATAAAATGGTCACGGATTTCGGCGTCATTAGATTAGATCATGGGCTGCCATGTTGGTTATGGACACATCCCAACTCTGCAAAAACTGCGGAAGAATTTGGAAGCATCTACGGGCCATGTTGGGCAGATAAGGAGGAAATGTGCGCGCGGAAGAACACAGACGCGGAGGAATAACGGCTTTGTTCCGTGACTTCCTCGTTACGCCGGGTTTTCCCCCTTACTGCTCATCCTAGGCCCTTGCAACAAAATATGTAAGCTCGTTGTGCCCTGGACAGTCACGAAAACCACTTAAGGACATACGGTATGTATGCTTACGAATATTCTGAAAAGAATATGTTCAGGCGCATGTAGCCTTCGACTCCCTTTGAGCTGTAGGTAGGGTACCGGCTTCTTCTGGTTCTGAGGTGAGAGAATGTCGACACAGTTCACAGTATACCTAGGGTAGGTAGATAATACCTACACTCCCACCCAAAGCAAATGGGACCGTATAACACCCGTCCAGTAGTGGTAGATCTGTACAATCCATCCCAGAGGAACGAAAGCCATTCGAGTCGAGCTTATACAGTGTCGCAGCGTCATTCGACCCTGTCTGAACCCTCGCTCGCACTGGCACCGCATCCCCGTTGAAGACCTCCAGGCCGTCCCCCGTCCCGCGCTCGACCGCAAATGCCTCTCCTGGCCCGGTCGTGAGTATAGTATGTTCTTCTATCTGTATGTATGTGGCGTGCGTGGTCTCGTTATTCTCTATCTACCTTAACTACGCAGCGAAGAACATGTTGTTTAGATTATCAATCAAGCTGCAAGTAAACATTGTGCATGACTTGGGGTTGGATGCTGTTGTTCCGGCGATGTTTTCATGCCACGATAGTTACAAATAGACGCACGGCACGCTTCCAAACTCCTGCCTCAAACGACAGCAATCCGTTGCATATGTTAGAGGTTCAGGTTCAGGTACATCTTTGACCTTGTCTCATTCGATTGGTATCATGTCATTTATTGTACATTCACTAAGCTGTGGACGGAGAGGGGCAACGGCTGGATGGCACCTCACTTCAGCTTTAGCAACAGCTCCTGAGCCTTCTGGACCAGGTCTTTCGCCTTCTCCAGACCAGCCTGTCCCTCAGACTTCCCTCTCGCCTCCTGGACAGCCTGCGCTTGTGACAAGGAGTTGCCGACCACACCTTCGACACCCCTGACAGCCTTGCGGCCCTCTTCTCTTACTTCGCCCTCCCAGAACTCGCGCGCCGCCTCCCAGCGCTTCTGCATGCGTCTCATGCTCCACACGATACCCAGTGCAGCAACGGCACCTGCTTCGTAGAGCGTTGTGGTCAATGTACCAACGTATACGAGGGTGCCGAGTGCGGTCGTCAGACCTGATGTTGTCAATGTCTGGACGACGAGCTTCTGGGCGAGTGCCTGCAAAGCAGGGATCGTCTCTGTCTGAAGGTAGTGTCGAGTGGCGGGGATATTCATAGGCCAGCTAGCTGCCGCTGTCGATGGTGAGTTGGATGTTGCGGATCCCACATCACTACTAGGAGGTACTGAGGCCGCATGCTCCGAAGGGATTGACATCGGAGCCAGAGGTACGCCAGCCTCTTTCATTCTTCCTGCGAGGAAGATAGCGCTTCTATCAGCCCCTGGCAGGAATCGCTGGTTTAGGATGTCGCTCGTAAGCATCCCGACATCATCCACTCGCCAAAAAAGTTTCCACCACCCAAGCTTTCGCCATCTCTTGCTAGCGAATGCGGCGTCAAGTTGCTCCTGTAATTCAGAATGAGCGCTCTCGGCCCAACTCTCAAGACTACTCCGGAGTGTGCTGACAGGCGCGGGTTTGGTAGAGGAAGATAGTGAAGCGCCGAGTTTCCGAGCTTCTTCGACCTGAATGGCAGCCGACGTGTTTCTCAGCAAGGAGGCGATAAGCTCCTTGACAGGCGGTTTGGTGGTGTTGTCAGGCGTAGTGAAAATATCAGCCTTCAGCCACTCCACCAGCTTCGGGAGATTGCTCTGAAACCAGAGATGCTCGTACTCGATAGCATCACGGAGGTTATTTCGCACCAGTCCCAGTCCAGTATTGGCGGTTCCGACATCAATAGGGGTAAATGGTAGGGATGCCGTGTCAACCGGCTTGTAATCGGGCAGATTAACAGCGGCTGAGATGACGTTTTGGCTTTCGAACGTAGGCATGGATACAACAGATGCGGCACCCAATATGCCATCCGCCACAATCAGGGCCTTGTGGACCGGAGTTGTGATAGGACTGTACCTCCCAGTACTGGAAATTGGGATATCCACAGTAGGGACCAGTACAGACTCCTCGAAGCCTTCCATGGCGCCGACTTCTTGTGCCGTGGCGAAAGGATTCGTCTCCAAGAAGAGGAGCTCGAGACTGTAGCCGTTCAGTGTCGCGGACGAGACATTGACCTCGTGCAACAGGCTGTTTTTCGCGACGGAGATGGACCCATCCTCTTGGCGTTCTGTGGCTCCAACCCGTACTATCATGGGCTGTGACAAGTTGTGTTGGTCGACCTCCTGCTCCCATTGTTCCGCGGCTTTCAATGGGTCTGCCAACAGAAGCTTCAGAACTTCTTTCGCCGTCTTGTTAGACTCGGACTCATTTGCAAGAGCTAGTATCGCAACCCGTATAGATTCGTTACCGGGGGTTTGTCGCAAGCCACTGAGAGCCAGCTGCAGTCGAGAAAGGTTCACGTAGTTGGCAGCGTGTTTCTGTAGTTCAATGAGGACGTGTTCGAGGTCTTTGCGAGTGTTCGGGAAGGCGGCGTCGTCCGAAGTTGCGACGGTCGATTCGAGCCTGCGAGCAGGAGGCGCTCCTCTCCGGTTCGCATGCCGCGCGGGTCGAAGACTGGGTTGTGGCGAGAGCGAGCAAAAGAGACAGACGGATTGCCTCTCGGGGTGAGGCTTCTTCTGCAGCAGGGCATTCTGATGCCCAACGGACCGCAGGTGTGTTCGAGGGATTCGAGGAGGCATGTTCCCGTGGTGGCGGAAACATGGAATTGCAAGCCGTCCCGGATGGAACGAACTTCGAAGCTCGAGCTGTAGCCTGTAGCTTCATTTGGTCCGGAAGTGACGTCTGGAGCTGCACCAGGATGTTTCCTGCAGGTCCCGCTTTCTTACCTCATCCGTGTTCAACGCCGGAGAAAGTCCGGTTAGTCAGTCACCAGAGCTCCGAAGCCCCAACCCCCACCCCCCCAGCCCACCTGCGGAGGGGTCAACCGTCCTCTCTTTCAACAATCACTGCCAGTCATACAACCACTGCACGACCTAGTACCTATATTAACCCAGCCTTCCGACCTGCGTCAGCGCTTTCATCCTCACGGGAACCTCTTGCAACCGAACACTGCCAAGATGGCGTCAACAACCCACCGCAGGTTACTCACTGAATACAAGACCCTCACCAACAACCCACCGGAAGGCATCACTGCCGGACCCGTCAGCGAGGACGACATGCTGCACTGGGAGGCTCTCATCCAGGGACCCGAGGGAACGCCGTTTGAAGGTGGTATCTTCCCAGCCGAGCTGAAGTTCCCTAAGGATTACCCTCTCGCGCCGCCAAAGATGACATTTCTCGGGGAGATCTTCCACCCAAATGGTAGGCTTTCCCCTTACCGAACGCTTGAAGGACCCAGATCTGACCACAATCTGTTATTATAGTCTACGCCAACGGCGTCGTCTGCATATCCATCCTCCACCCGCCTGGTGACGACCCGAACCGCTACGAACATGCCTCCGAGCGCTGGAGCCCTATCCAATCCGTCGAGAAGATCCTGTTGTCTGTCATGAGCATGCTAGCAGAGCCAAACGATGAAAGCCCTGCGAATATTGATGCTGCGAAGATGTGGAGAGAAAACCGGCCCCGGTACGAGCAGAGAGTGCGCGATGGTGTACAGCGCATGCTGGGGCTGTAACAGGCGCATAAGGGTCATTATGGCCATAGCTTCGGCATCGGACAGACTCATCCGCATGGTCGCTAGAGGTGACGATTGTGGGGTTCTGGTTGCGCAGCCTGGACTGCATGCTCGACAAACGACTCGAGCTGAATTCGACGTTAATATCACCGTCTCTTGCGACGTAAAGAGATGTCGCAGGGAGTGGAGATACAAGGCCAGCGCCAACGATGGCGTCAAGGTGATCCATATCGACAAGGTATGGTGGGAAGAGTCGAAGAACGCCAAGGTCGGCTTCCGTTAGTTGGCAAGAACCCCGTGGGCGGGGACAAGGACGTGTATGACTACTCCGGCAGAGGGTGGTCCCTGGTCGAGGCCGAGTCCCTCGCCAACTACTGATATCCATTGGCAAGACAGCGAAAGCAAGAGACGCTGAACCATAAAAACTGCGTTCATTGAATTGACTGGGGTCAACATCATATTTGGTATAAGCGCGATGGAATAGACATTCTAAGATTATTTCAGAGCGTTTATTTCATGACTGCCATCGTCGATGTTTAGAACTTATCGTGGCTTGCTCATGAATGTTGTCTTCGGGATATGAAGCGGTGGAACAAGCAATGAGAATAGCTTCCCGAATATGAACAGATTAATACAAGGCGCTTATTCCGTCATTACCAAAGCTGCCTTGCAGTTTCACAAAAGCGTATAGGCAGACTTACAAGCAGTAACCATACCTTACTTTCTATATCCGGTCAGGTTGATAAAAAAGCCCGTCTTGAGGAACCCTGACCTTGAATAATGTGCATCAACATTATGGCTACTCAGAGCTCCTTTCCTCCTTGGAGCTTCCAATTCACATGGTATCTCACGCTACATGCTGCATATGAAAAGAGACACTTGCATCGTGTCATCGGGCCACCCCGGTCTATGAAGAATGGGCTTCTAGGCAGCTAGCTTATGCATATAAATCGGCCGGCTGGGACAGCTATGTAAGGCATGAGGTATGAGGCAACAGAGATTTCGGGGGCAGGGACACCAGGTGGGTGGGTTGACTGTATCCTTTCCATTAACGCCTGTCTATGCTGGGTACCTATGCAGTGTGCATATCCGCGGCTCGCGGCGAAAGCAATACCCGCCACATCTCCTACCAAGGCTAATAAAACATATCATGAACGCCCCAAAGCAAAATTTTCCCGATCCTAGGCAGTGATGGTGATGCTCGAGTTGAAAGCTTCGACATCAGTGAGGCCAGATGCCTGCAAACACGGGTCAGTCCCAGAATTCGTCCGAAATGAACAACAGCGACCGGTCTGTACAAGCAACGAGGAGGCAGAGAAAGAAACACTGATAAAACGTTCTACTACTCACACCAACCAGAAACGGCACGGCCGCAACGAGCAGCCACTCGCCCGCGGGCCAGTCCGCGGGGATAGGCACGTCGACGGTGAAGCTGTTGCGCGACGAGTCCTCCACGCCGGTACCGTACAGTGTCGTGTAGTCGACCTGCGTGCCGATGTAGATGGTGCCGTCGGACGCCTGGCCGCCGTACTGCGCCGACGCCAGGCCCCACACGATGCCGAAATCGACCCAGTTCTGGATGTAGATGGACGTGTGCACCGTCGCCGTCACGGACGAGCCGGCCGCGGCGGTTGGGGGCGTGCTGATGCTGGCTATGTAGGCGGAGGTGAGGGTTGGGAGGGCCAGGGCGGCGGCGAGGAGGGTGCGGGGGGAGACCATCTTTGCTTGAGATAGCTATTGGGGTGGTTGGACGGTGAGGGAGAGGACTGGCAGATTATTTTGAGGGTGAGGAGCTGGTGATGATAGGGTGTCGTTTGTACTTGGAAACGAACGGTGGAGAGCGAGTCGAAGATTATATATCAGGTCGACGGAAGGCCAAACGAAGCCCAGGACTTCCGACGCAGCCAGCCGCTAATAATACTACGTTGCGGCTCACGCTCACGTCACCTCGTAAATTATTATTTGGCTGCATGAAGCTCATCTGCAGACTGCCATTCATACATACATACGCTGCACGCGAGATACGAACCCGACGCCTCGGACCCGGAACCCAGCTCATCAGGATTCAGCTGGGGTAACGGGGGCCCCAATCAACAGCCCGGTCTGGATCATCAGACGATCTCTGCTGGACCTAACCGGCTAGATCCAGAAGTTACAAATCCAAAGCTCGCTCAGCCTACTGGTACCATTCACTACCATTCGTCGAACTCTCAGCTGACCGCTCGTTGATCCCACTCATCGTGGCTTTGTGCGTGGGCAACGAAAAGCCAAGGTCAGCAAAAGCGGTGTACGGTGTGGTGCATGGCCACTGTATGCGCCGCACCTCGTGTTCAGCTGCGCCTTTGATCCTCGTCGCGTACTGCATGTACTAGTATGCAGGCAGGGTATCGTACTTCCTTGTCATCGGCTGTCGGGTGACTGGTCCCGGCGGCGATGCATAGGAAGTGCTGACGGCCGTCGGTTTGACGACTACACAAAGTGACTAAGGGGAGATGACTCCCATTCCATCAGTCATAGCAAAGGCCTAGAAGCTGCGAAGCTTCCATGGTTTATTTATGTTCATATTAATCAGTAACTTAAATGTACTGGTTCCTTACCGTGCCTTACACATGACCAGGCTTTCTTTCTTCTTGAGATGTACGCACATCCCGCTTATCCTCCTATGTAAACACATTCTAATAATTAATAATGCAATATAGAGGTCTTGGGTAGCTTCAGCCCTGATTTATAACTATATGCACAGCTGACTTCAGTGCCTAAGCACCGTCCAAGTTGGTAGACAAAGCGGCCTCTCGCGTAGCATCTATATCCCGCTGCAACTCGGCTATCTTCTGTTCCATCGCAGCAAGACAGTCCGGACCCAGCACCAAGCGCAGGTACCCATCATGCCCGTCAACAATAGCATCAATTATAGCCCGCGCGGCCTTGGCAGTATCTCCTCGGAAGTACTTGTCCAAGCCGTCTTCGTCGAAGTTCGACACCAGTGTGATCGCCTTGTCGAGCTCCGTGCCCTTGTATGCTTCATTGAGAAGGTCCACGATCCCCCGTGAGGTGAACGTGGTGCGGAACCCGCCCGGCTCGACGATGAGCACCTTAATCCCGAGCTTGGAACCTATCTCGCCCCCTATCTCGCGGCTGAGCACCTCGTGCATCGCCTCGGAGGCCCATTTACTTGCATCATACGCACCTTGGCTGGCGCGGCCTGTGAAGCTATTTCCCTCTCCTTGTTAGTTCAAGCGTCTTAGAAGGGGCACGAGCACAGGAAAGAAAGGGTAAAGGGAAGGGGAACCCACTCAGCACCACTACTAATCAATACGACATGTCCACGGCCACGAGACCGCATCCCAGGCAGCAAAGTTCGTACGCCGCGCACCGGGCCGAAAAAGTTGACCTCCATCTGCTGGCGGAGGAGCGGTTCACTATAACCCGCCAGATATTAGCATCAGCTTGAGCTTCCTACACAATACATTTTCTTCTTTTATACTCTTCAAGAGACGTAAAAGGGCAAGAAAAGGGTAAAGTAGGGAGAAGACATGATAAAAAACCAACCTAATATCTTCCACGCCCGCAATATACCAATACCCGGCATTATTGACCAGCACGTCGACGCCACCGAGCTCCCTGTCGGCCGCGGCGAACGCAGCCGCCGAGTCCGCGTGCCCGGGGTCGATGGTCACCCAGATGCCGCCCCGGGCCGCAAAGTCCGGGTTCGCGGCGCTGGCCTTGGCGACGTCACGCGTCGCGCCCGCGACCTTGTGCCCTGCTGCGAGCGCCGCTATGCAAATTGCCAGGCCGATGCCTGATGAGGCGCCTGTGATGAGCCAGGTCAGCGGCTGCGTTGAGGACGACATCGCTGGGTCGTTTGTCGTTTTTGGTTTGCGATGTTTGACTAGGTGGTGGGATGCTCGATAGTAGCTGGACTGATCGTGCCCGTAGTGCACAATGCTCCCAGTCAAGTCCCTAGCAAATGAGCAGACGAGAAAAGTATTTATCGTTCATTATACCAGCGGCCATTAGGCTATGTCCGCGTTTAACCAACGAGGATGCTCAAGATGCCTCCCCTATAGATCTCGAAGGGCCACAAACCCCTATTACAGGCTACACGGACGAGATGGGACTTTTTTCGACCCATCTCGTGTATATAACGGACTTAAGACAACGCAAACCCCGGCCTTCAACACCAAGTGAATGTTCGAGGTCACATTGGGTGGTGGGCTCGATGATCTATTTGCTCCACCGCATCCCTGCCCACTAACCAGTTCCCATCTGGAGGTGCGGTGCCAAGAGACCCCTAGTTTTAAGAGAACTTGACTGACGAGTGATAGTCTCCATGAATTCCCCTGTGCCTTTCGTATATGTAACCTCTAAGACTATCAAGTTGATCGCGCTACGTGATTGCGGAGAATCTGTCCACAGATATTCCTGGCGGCCCTGGCTACCGGGTCGATAAGTGAGCAGTGTCTTCGATCCTTTCCCGTCCCAGCTTGGATGGGATCCATAATCAGTTCCGCTCGTGCTACGCTTGTGACATGCCCATAAGAAGCTGTACTATGGGGAGTGCAAGATTCTTCTCACTGTTCAGGGGTGAATGACGTCGTGCGCCAGCTGATGATGCGTCCAATCCACAGATCAACCACATAAGCCGTGAGTCTTTCTTGGCCAAAAGAACGCCTTACCACCACCTCGAGTATTGACTTGTGACTTCAAAACGGGACTGACTTCCAAAGGGTGGCGTTATTGCGAACGTGGGTGGTATGAAAGTACGCAGGCCTTACCCCAAGTGGTCAGCTTGCTCTCGACAGGCTGTAACTTAAATTCCCCACGCTTTCCTGTCATCTGTCGTAACAGATTGTTCACACTGATCTATGGAGACTTTGGTTATGCCGCGTTTGTCGTTGCTTGATGATGACTACTTTCAAGTGCGTCAACTCATGTAGTTAACTTACTGAAAACATGAGCTACACGCATAGTCGCTCTCGTCTTTCATTATGTCTTCTTTCGCTTCGCCTCAAATGTAGGTCAATTTCAGCAGTCCTCACAGCAACAAGTGGCAAGAAGAAACGGTAGTTATCTCAGCACATATTTCGCAGGACACTTACACACAGTTTGTCCGGTTCAATCAGCGTGCCAAGACCAGGTCTACCAATTTGGTAGGGCGTCAAATGCTTTGCTTGCATTGAAGGAAACAAGAAGGACAGAGATAGCTTGACTGTCTTGCGAAACAATTCACAGCTCAATATCATGTGTTAGTCATTGCATCCACAAGAGACCTGGGAGGCTGACGTATATCTAACATAAAAACCCCCCATCTAGTCCAGGTTCACATCATCAGAGCCCCTGCCCTGTCTTCTTCTTTGTGCGTACGGTGTGTCAACTTTATAACCAAGGTTTCTGTCAAGGCTTTTCCATGGTTTAGTAACTGGTCCAATGGTTTCCTATGCAGCATATACCACGTAAATAGCCCCTTTGACGCGGAACAGGGGCTACCGATGGCAGCATCACCTTGATGAAGCAGCGGCCGGCGTATCTTTACTTATAGGCAATGCTAAGCTTTGACTGTTACTGTCACTGACGTCTGGTGAGGATGCCAGTATAATAGCAGACATTCTTACCGCCTAAATTGTGTTCGATAGATGGGCAAGGCTTTGCCCTCATGCCGCTCGGCGTGTGACGCATCGCCTGAGCCTATGAACGCCATATATGGTTAAGGTTTTAGTAAATTGAGATGGTTTGCGGCGTATTTTATCCTGTTAAGCTTAGCGTATAGCACGAGGACTCTGCCTTTTGTTATATTTTAAGGTATTTATGGTTGGCTTTTCTTTTGCGGTCGAGGCGCTTGATAATAAAATTAATCGCATATCAACCTTGTATTTACAGTTGGGGTGAGAGGCATTATTATTGGATACTTGCCATTGTTACGAAGCTCCATCGAAAAGCGTCTTACCACAATGGGGATCTCCCATTGTGCGAAGAGCACCCATTGTACGGACAGGCCACAATGTTTATATCCGGGCCTATGCTCTCGAGGATACGTTCTCCTTGCCCTGCCTATCAACATCTCTGCCTCGGGACAGCTTCGTTGATCTTTCCCCTTTCTTCATTACATCCAATTTGCTATCACAGCGTTTTAGTCCTTCCAGATCAGCCGAAACAATTGCTGCAGACCACCATAAGCTTTCCGCCAAACCGACGCTAACTACACGATGGCCATCGCCGACCACGAGATAGGCTACCTAGTCCGCCTGACGAAGACGAATTCGGTCAAGCAGGTGAAGTCTTACCTCAAGGCTCTAGCCAAACGAGAGGACACCACTATCTGCGAAATCCTGGCCGAAACCGCCACGGACGATGGCAAAACAATTCTCTACCATGCTATCCTCGCCGAGGCCACCGGCAAGCCAGGACCGAGCCCCCAGAATATGTGTAGAGAGTCCAGTGACTGACCAATTCAGATGTGGTAGAATACTGCCTTGACGAGGAGCGATTCAGAAAGGAGGACGAGAAGCTTCGAAAGCAGTTCGTCAACACGGGGCGGCCCACGACATCATGCCACTTCACGTCGCCGCTCGACGTGGCCTGCTGGCCACCTACGACGCCCTAGTCGAGGCCGCCGTGGACGACCAGGGGCAGAACGTCCTGCACTTCGCCGCGACTTCAGGTAACAAATCCCTGGTGTCAAGCATCCTCGGGACCTGGGCTGGAGACATCAACTCGAGCACCAACGACAAGGAGACGGCCTTGCACATGGCAGCCGGCAACAACAATGTCGACATCGTACGTCTGCTGCTAGAGAAAGGCATCAATTACAAGAGCAAAGACGTGTATCGAAACACGGCCAAGGGTGCCGCGATGCTCAATTCCGCTGACGATGTGTTTCGGTTCTTTGAGGAGAGCAAGATTTATGACTATGGAGAGGAGGAGGACGACGACGACGACGAGGGCGACGACGACGACGAGGACGAGGAGATGGAAGACGAGGACGAGGATGAATAGTATTGATTAATACATGCGAACGTCATATGGTGATAGCTTGAGCACTCTGGCTAAACTGTCCTAAGGTACCTAGTCTAACGTGAAGCAAATCTAAACCTTCTGGCTCGCCAGATATTCCGCACTGAACGGGTAGTCCACATATCCCTCAGCTAGGTTCGTATAAAAGGTACTGCGTTCGTACGCAGAAAGTTTCAGGCCTTCCTTGAGTCTATACGCGAGGTCCGGGTTCGAAACGAAGTCACGACCAAACACCACCATGATCTCCCTGTCCGGATGTTCCTCATCGACGAGCTGCTCGGCACTCGCCAGCTTGTATCCACCAGCAACCAGCAGAACACCGCTCCACAGCTTGTAAGCGAAATCCAGTCGTTCGGTGCCTGCATGGTCCTCCGCGCCAGCGATACGCGACTCGACCAAGTGAAGGTATGCCAAGTTCAAGTGGCCGGCTTTGACGATGATGTCCGAGAATTGCGGGATCGGATCGTCCATCCTCATACCCTGGAAGGGACTCCACGGGCTGAGGCGGATCCCGACGCGTTCCGCACCGATGCGTTCGACGACAGCCTGCATGATTTCGTTCATCAAGCGCGACCTGTTCTCTACGCTCCCGCCGTAGTCGTCGACGCGCTGGTTGCTGACGTCCTGGAGGAACTGGTCCACGAGGTAGCCGTTTGCGCCGTGGCACTCAACACCATCAAAGCCAGCGGCTATGGCATTCTCCGCGGCGGTTGCGAAGTCCTGCACGAATTGCTTGATCTCCTCGATGGTCATGGCCCGCGGGACTGGCGCGCCTTCGTGCATCGGAATAGCGCTGGGTCCTATGATGTCGATGCCCTCTTGCTCAGCTACATCAGGGGTCGCGCCGCGGCCCATGCCGAATAGCTGGCAGAATATGAAGCAGCCTTTGCGGTGGACCTCGTCTGTGATGTGTCTCCAGGCAGCGACCTGGTCGGCGCTCCAGATCCCGGGCGCACCCGGGAAGCCGCCGCAGGCTGCCGGCGATATGCATGTGCCCTCGGAAATGATCAGAGTGCCAGGCACAGCGGCTCGCTGGCTGTAGTATTCCTTTGCCATGGGTGCTGGCACGCGGTTGGCGATGGCGCGGAGGCGAGTGAGCGGAGCCATCCCGATGCGGTGCTTCACTTCGATGTTGCCGATTTTCATCGGCTTGAAGAGGCGTGATTCAGCCATTCTGGCGAGGGATTCGGGCCTTCGAAGACGTAGTGTGCTGTCTGGAGTGTCGAGGGGCTGTGAGTCCTTATTCTGGGGATCTAAAGAACGAAGCTCTCAGTGACCTGGGCCTCGGACCTTCATATATTCCTCGACTTCGCCGTTCGATAACAAGCTCGCCATGGTATATGACCCTCATTGGTAGAAAGGCTTACCAATTCACGGCGGCCAGAATATTCTGAGCGGTTGAACAATGGAGCAAGTTACACTAAAGAGACAGATAGTTCCTAGAGAGGAACCGACATATCCCCTATTCAGGAACAGAATGCTTCCATTGAAGGAAAAGAGATAAGTCCGAAAGGGGAAAGAGGGTCCTGCCGGTTCGGGAAAGTAGATGCTTCCTGATCGGGTTAGGGTGATAGGGGTACAGGTTGGCGAAGTCTCAAGACTCATTCTCAAGCGGCTCTGAGCTCTCCACGTGGATTTATAAGCATGCATGAAATGCCCCGACTGCACTCTGGGGTCTCCATGTGCAGGTGAGGTAAGCATAATCCTACTTCACGCCTTATACCGTACGTTGCAAAGACAATTACGCGACGGCAGCCCAATCGGTGGTAGTCTGTCGCGATGGTCTCAAGAGGTCCCGCTTCTGCAGAAGTTGAGACTGAGAGGGAACACACCTCAAGTCAGCCAATCCGATTCCACGCAACTTACCCATCACTTGACTCCTAACCCAACATCTAGCAGATGGTCGATTCCATTTCATATCACTCCAAGGTGTGGATGATGCAAGAGACAAGGTAACGAGGCGTCGAGCCCGTTCCCATGCGGTCAAGCAAGCACTGGAGAACAAACGGAAACTCGAGCGGGAGTCGAGGGATAACTTCCGTGTGACGACTTCGAAAGACCAATCGAGGAGGTCTACTATGAGTAGAAGAGCGCCTACTTCTTTGACCCTAGCCCGAGCCGTGCCGCTTTTCTCCCTGTCTGCGGGCGCACTCGACCCATTCGAGACGCTGGCGGTGGATTCATCGAGACTGCAGGTCCTGCTTGGCAACCGTATGCTCCCCCCCCCATGACTCAACTTCGTCGAGGGAGCTGACAATCTCGGTTTAGACAAAGCCAGACAGGCCCCCGAGCCAGTCTTCAGTGTCGTGGAATCCCTCGAATTCCAGAATTTCCGCGCCGTCTTCCGAACTGGATTGGTCGATCCCGCTCTTCTGAATGCAGTCATGCTTTCCTTTGCCTTCGCGGTGACGGAGGGCAGCATTGACCGAGAATGTCTTGGGTACCAGGGCAAGGCCATCAGCTTTATTCGCGAGAGGATGAACTCTCTAGATGAGGCTGCGTCGGAGTCAACCATTGGGACCATATTGCTGCTGGCGGGGGTGGAGGTCTGTCATGCTCCCTCTCCGGCGATTTTTCAATATCTAGAGCTGCTAGACACTGATATTTGGTCACATAGGCTCGCCTTGGGACGACTTCTCAGGTCCAGCTCCACATGGGCGCTGTGCAGCGGCTGCTTGAGATCTGTCGGTCAAAGGGCGTTTATCTGACAGGCGGCATCAAACGGGCCATATTCTGGTAAGCACGGCACTATGTAACATGATGGTGCTATGCTCTCACACTGACTTTGACTGGCAGGCAAGACCTGAATTCCTCCGTCCTAGCCGGGTCCCATCGCATAGTCGATCACACAACCTTCGCCGAGCTTGAATGGACAAGAGACCCATTCTCTCCAAGCTTCTTCCGTCCGCCACCGGGGTTCCAGAGACTGTCACACCTGTTGACCAGAGAGCTCATTGAAGTCATTGAAGATATCAATGCGCTACAATGCATTCGCGACGTCGTACCCCAGTCCAAAAGGGGTGATGTGATGATGATGGCAAACATCAACAATCACATAGCATCTATCCAGTCCCGGCTTGTGGGCCTGCCGGCTCTGTCCCCTGTGTTGAAGTGCTGCCACCTTGCGGCGTACCTATGCTCTGTCATGCTGTGCTGCACTATCTGGTGCGCTTTAGTAATCCCCGTATGTGAAATACCCACATTACGTTCCATATCTCATGTTCGTCTGGTTCTTCGAAGTGCTAATGCTAGGAAATACAGTCTCATCTTTCCTCACAACTACTCCAGGCGCTGCAGCAGGCGAGGGACGACCCTGTATGAGATGCCCACCCCGAATTGCTCGTGTGGCTCCTCTACATCGGCGGGGCGTTCGCGCCACCAGGAGTCGTACGCTCCGGTTACGTCACACTACTGCGCGAACATAATGCTGCCAGGTTCAAATCATTGTACAGGTCGTGGCCGGAACTGCTTGAGATTATGAAACAGTTTACCTGGTCGGAAAAAGCGTTCACCTCGCAGGTAAAGGCGTTCTGGACCGAAGTCTCTACTTGAAATGGTGGTATACATTTCTATAAGGCTGTCGTGCTTGTAGAACGAAGAAAACGGAAATTACACCATGTGTGCCGTAGTGACGATTAACTGCTGCCGGTGACTACACCCCATTTTGAGAGCATGATAAATTCCGGTACGCAGTACATGACAACTGACGTATGGAGGAATCCTTGCAATCGGTCCCACCCCTTATCTGCGAGAAGACGACCAACACGCACGCATTGGATTGTCCCGTGCCCAGATCAAGGATATCGGTAGTAGATTCCTCGACCAAAAACCGCCGTCCACGCAATAGAGAGCCTGATTTTGTGAAATTTGGGAATGATCTGTCTTGAGAGGGAAGACGGATAGTTGATGGGGTACCATCCCTACTTGAATAGGTGGGAAAGGTACCTATGACAGCTACATGTGATCCCACAGGATGACACCTATACTGCTCACAACCAGGCTAGATAACTCCACTGAGCACGTATTCTGACAGGTTTACCAAGGGACCCTCCCCAGCCCTCCGACCCGTGGGTTCCTCGTTTCCATAATCGAGCCCAATACTCGCGCACCTATGTCCAGACATGCTTTAGCATCCCCCCCACCCCAACGGCCGAGAGGATGGCTCTTACCATGTACCCAAGGCCACAAGATACCATATGCAACTACTAGTTACCACCCTTTCGCCATGTCCAGCACGTAGGCTGTCCTGGCTTGCCTGCCCCAGTAGTTGGTCCACGAGATGAGCGATACCACACATGCCAACGCAACACCGGCTAGGAAGACGGTAACTGCTATCAGCGCGATGGCGTCCTTTTCCGTCATGGCCCAGGTTTCTTCGGACAGATCGCGTCCGTACGTGTGTGTTGCTGTGCGCTAGAGGAGCGTAGGGGTCTTGATGGTGTCCTGAGACACTGACTTCGTCTTCGTGTTCCCAAACCAGCAGATTGAAAGATGGTATCGAGGTTGTGGAATGAATTCAGGCTCTGCCGTAACCTTGAGGAGCAAATTACATGTAACTGTGAGCAGAATCCATCTGTGTATGTAAGCAGTATGCGGCTGCCGGCTTCCGTGTCGGGTGACACAGGGGGTCCACAGCTGCCATACATGTGTTTTCCCACCAGAAGACAGTAGATAGACCTTTTCCTGAATACAACAACGATGGACTGTTCATCGTGCACACATCGGATCCGGGATATTGCCCTCAGTAACGAATTTTTTTTGGTGGCTCATGGCTGAACTTTGTTCGTCTTCCCCCTTAACCGCAACGCCAATATGGCTCCAGCGAAACCTTCGTCTCTCTCAATTCGGGTGGTGACTTGCTATCCTCGAGTTGGTTTCGGTTGCTGCCTCGCTGTGCACAGGTAGATGGGTGGTTGGTGAGTCGGGTGCAGCACTGAGAGGGTCGCTGGTGAGATATTTCCAGAGCGAAAAGAGAAACATAACAGATCGGTTTGGTTTATGATATTGTTATTGTTGCAGTCTCTTGCTCATTATTGACAAGACCAGCGAGGCAATGAGGCACTGTACTGCTCACAGCACACCCAGTATATAATAAATTGTATATTGCATAATGACTGTTTTGAACAGCAGATGTCAGATTGAATCCAACTTCCTTGTGAATCACTGCCTTGGCTGAATCAGACCATGGACTAACAATGAACCTGAGATTGAAGCCCTCTGGGGTGAAATGAGAAAAGGGAACAAAGATCCCGACAATGCCAAACTCCGACAAGTCTAAATCTGCCCAAAGACGATAGCAGCACTGATGTGCATTGTTGGGTTTAATTCTTCGTGACTCTGCTTCTCCATAAATGAGCTTCAATGTGGCCGCACCCTTCTCAAGATCTCATCGTGTGTGGCTGCCGTTTCGGTTTCGAACGGGGATCGTTCGACCCCGGTGGGATGATTGATATGCTTCAACTGGAAACCCAAAGCCTCGGAGGGCGATGAATCAAAACCGCCATCATCCCCGTGAAGGATCGGCAATACGCGTCGACGGTAATCTCCTGATAGACTGCTTATGCGTCAAGACAGACAAGCATCCCCTAAAAACGCCACAGCGCAACCATCTCCCGGAACTCCTGCTTCAACTGCTCCTCCTCCTTTTCGGAATGATCCGCCAGCAGACTGCGAAGGGTACACGCCAGCAAATCATAAAGAGCCTGCATAAGGCTCACCGTATGGCACAACCTCTCCAAGGCCCACAGTTTGCGCGTCGTCTCGTCTTTATGCAATGTCGAGTCATGCCAACAATCGTTATGGGGTCCCAGCGCGCATGCCTCTGCGCGCTTCCTCTTCAAGTCGTCGAGGGTGGCCCGCAGCTGCGCGCGCGTCGCAATGTCGGCGTGGGTGTTCGTGCACTTCTCGTCGTAGATCTTGTACATGTCTCCCAGCCTCCTCTGGAGTATCTTCACGTCTCTGAGGGCGCGGGTCGCCTTGGCAGTGGCTTGAACGCGGATTTGGAACGCCTCGTCCTCGGCATCTTCACTGGGCCTGTGCTTCTTAGATCCGCCGCTGGGCTCTGGATTTTCTCTTACAGGACGTTTCCGTCCCTGTGGCTCGGCGCAGAGAAGCTCGTAGGCCCGCTGGATCTGGACGAATCTCTCGTGCACCTCGATACTATTGCCCGCCTTGTCGGGGTGGTGGAGCAGACATAGTTTGTGGTATGCCTTTCTGATGGCCGAGAAGTCGGCATCGGACGCGACGTCGAGGACCTTGCGTGGGTCCATAATGCTGGTGTGGTTTGGCGGTGCAAGGGATGAGGTTCAGACAAGACGGTTGTTTGATGCTGGTGAATGCTGCTTTACTGTCGTATACTTGGTCTTCAAGAGTCTGCAGTGAGTTGATATGTTGTTCTCGGGACCGTCTGGAACAGAAAATAGTTTTTATGTTGTAGAGGAGTTCCTGTGAAGTTACTACCAGAGAGGTAGCGGTATATGCTTCCTAATTAGGGATTCTGCAACCTATCGGAGAAAGAAATAAGCTAGCATTGAAGATATAAAGTTCAGCCATCAGAACGGAAGAAACTCCTCAGTGGATTGCAGTTACGGCAGAACCTCATCTAACAGAAACCTTAACGCCACCTCTCATTTTGCTAGGTTGAGAACTTCGAAACTCCGAATTTACAGTAAAAGCAGAACAGTTCCATACAGAGAAGTCATGCTAGTTGAATGATCACCCATGGACCCCTAAATAAGGTCTCCACAGTCACCCCAATCACCACCAGAGTAGTCCGTATCAATGGTGCTGACAGCCCACTCGCTGCCACCAGCATAGCTCATGCTCTCATCAACGCTGACCATCGAAACGGTCTCCTCTGTGTAGACTGTCTCGTTGTAGTTGACGTCTACATAAGTGGTGTCGACGTAAGTGGAGTCGGCGTAGGTGGTATCGACACAGGTTGTATCGACGTGAATGATATCGCCGCAAGCCGTATCCATGTATGTTGTATCCTCATATGTCGCCTCGTCCTGTGTCGTGTCGGCCTGTACCGTGTCCACGTACGTCGTACCTATATAGGCCGCGTCAACGTACGTTGTGTCGGCGACCGCGGTCGTGTTTTTAACATATATCGTCGTCTCAGGTGCGAAGAAATAGTCCGACGTAGAGTGATCCGCCGCAGCATTTGTTTCGCTAGGCGGTTCGTGTTGTTCCGGTTGTGCTTGCGGGTTTGTTTGCGGTTGCGGCTGTGGTTGCGTATGGTTGGACTGCTGCCGTTCGTCCCGCCGGGCCACCCCAAAAGCTGCGCTAACAAGAGACGCACTGGCTGCCACGGTTGGGTCCATCAGTACTTGTCCCTGTACCTGAAAGCCAGGTTGTTGTGAAGCAAATGACTGCTGTACCATCTGCGGCGGAGGTGGTCGTCCCACTGGTGGCCTCGCCATGGGTTGTGGTGGCCTGTTAGAACCTCCCTGTTGCATCTGAGCGTTCATATTCACAGTCATGCCAGCGATAGCAGGGTTCTGCACAACTGGTGGTCGCCCTGGTGTTTGGACACCTATTGGCATGCCTGTCTGTTGTTGGTGCATGGACTGCGCCGCCTGTATCTGCTGCTGCTGCTGCTGGACCGAGACTGGGTTGGCTGGCACTTGCGCTGGCGCCGTCTGAGCATGCGGTGGCCCAGGTGGTCTTTGCGGCTGCAATTGACCACCCTGTGGACGGGCTTGCGACGTGTTGAATATCTGATTCGCGAGAGCCGCACCGGCAGCACCGTCTCCTCCCATTGACTCGGCGAAAATGGCACCGCCGATTGCAGCCGTGGTCTGCTTCATCGCTGGATTCTGCCACACCCTTTTGGCCCATTTCTTCATCCCCTTTCCGGCGTCTGTGATAGCTGCCGAAGCCTGTGCTGAGTTGAAAGGCTTACCGTGCAGAGCTGCCTGCAGCGTATAGGGTTGACCTCCTAGCGTCTGCGCAAATTGTTGTCCCTGGGCAAGATATGTCTGAGCTAGCGATTGCTCCTGGTCCATCCCTGAAGTACCAGTCGACGTCATGTGTTTGGCAACGGGCCGGGGAGGAAGCGGCGGTGATAGATTGTTCGCAACCTGCTGTGGCGGCCCACCAAATGCTGCTTGTGAACCTGGCGGTTGTGGGTTATGGACAACGCCTTGATGCGCAGGCTGTCCTGGATGATGTAGCTGTTGAGGGTGTGAAAGTGCCTGCTGCTGAGGTGGTCTCATATGCAGTTGAGAAGAATTCGCTTGGTGGTGAAGCGGCCTCGATGCTGCTTGCGCTATCTGTTGGCCGCCGGCTGTCTGCTGCAGACTTACAGCAGGCTTGTTTGGGCCAACTGTAGGCCGTCGCCGGAGGGTCATTGAGACAGGCGCTGACCCGATCTGTGAAGGTAACGGTTTCACTTGCCCAGGAAGCATTGGAAAGGGGTTTGCTGGGCCAGCCGCTCGCGAATCAACTTGCTGAAGGATTTGATGATTCCCTGTGGAGTCTGATTGCTGGTGTTGTGCGTATTGCTGTGAAATGTTCAGAGTCTCAGTTCCAGATTGCAGCCCGGTTGCCTGCGGGGATGTAATTGATGGATAACTCATGTTGTTTGAAGCTTGACTTGCCACTGTTACCGGTCCGACATTTGAATTAACAGCAATTTCCGTGTTCGCAGCCATGACTGAAGATACGGAAGACGATGGACGGTTAAGTGAAGCGATTGAATGTGTTGGACTTGACACATGGCTCTGGGGTGTGGAGGTAGAATGAACTGCTGGTGATTGATATTGTGATTGAGCTTGTGTTGAGTCTTGGCCTGGTTGGGAAGCGAGTTGTTGCGCTGGCTTGAAGACGGCAGAGGATAGAATCGGAGGCATGACCATGCTTGGTAGGGCTGAGAGTGTACCTTGAGTTGTAGCTTGAGGAGAGGGAATTGTTGCATGCTCGTCCACCGACTCTGTAGACGCAGTACTCGGTAGCTGAGGCCGCTGGGGTAACAATGGCCTTCTCAGTGGACGTCCTTGAACGTTGCTAGGGGTCCTTCTAGGTCCCGATATGGGTGACTGCGCTTGTAGAGCGGAGCTTGCGGATGGACGTGGGATGTTCTGCTCTTTAGGACGAGAATAAGTCCTCGATTGATCGTATCTCGTGGCCTGGTCTGGCCTCTGTGATCTTGTATATTCAGAAAGACCAGAGCCGCCCGGAGATTGAGCATTATCAACAGTACTGGCGGTGTGTGATGCCTGCCTGTCCGGATGACCCGGTGCTTGTATTGGCCCCACAGACGGAGCAGGTCGTTGATATGGGCTTTGAGCCTGAACAGGAAAGTCATGAACAGGGTCAGCCACCAAAACTGCATGGTTTGAGTCAGGTGTGTGATCAGTCGACAGGTATGAGAACTGCAAGCCTTGATCTGAGGACGTAGCCGTGTTGGAATTAGGCGACGCTGTCGTTGCCGTTGGATTTGAGTGTTCCGCGGTCGTTGTGGTATGATGATGAATGGTCATTGACGACGGATGTTGGCTCGCTGCAGACTCTGGCCCAGCGCCTGGAGTAGCTGATGACAGACCCTGGCCACTCGAATTCGCGGATGCTTCATATAGGTCTTGACTCGACTTTGTTGTCTTTGACGGGCTTTGAATACTCGGAATTTCATGGAAGAGGAGAAAGCCGGGTCCGCTCATCCTCGGCGGCCCTGGCTTCGCGCTCAGGGAAGGTAGTTGGTTTGGTAAAGTGTGGACCTTATCAGCACCAGGACGACTCTCGTGGCCAGGTGTGAATGTCAGTGCTGAGCTGGAAGAAGCAGTCTCTTCTGCAGTCGTACCAGCCTTTTCAATTGCATGAAATGCAGCTGAACCAGCTGGGCGGAGTTGACGGAAAGGTTGCGGAGTTCTGGAGTCAAGTGGATGCTGACACTTCGAATCAGAATCATCCTGCTGATGAGCACCGGGCTGCGACACCGATGGGCCCTGAGACAAGCCAGATCCAACCGTTAGATCAGTTGAAGATTCAGTTTGTTGTGGGGGGGTGACATTCGCATTAATCAGTCTTGGGCCTGACGGTGGTGCCAGAGCGTCGGGTACACCTTGGCCAGGGTTCAGGGACGCATCGACTCCTGAAATGATCCCAAGCTCGCTATCCTGAGACTGAAGAACAGACATCTTAGACGGTGCCATCGAGATCCTGCTTGATTGTTTCGAATCCTGCACATCAGGGCTCTGCGCCGGTGTCCAAGGCTGGTACTTGGTGTGCCCAGTAGAATCTGAGACTGGTCCCTCAGAAGCTCTGGCATTTTGTTCTTGTACCATCCCACTTGTCGTGGGCGAGATATTGCGCGTGTGGTCTATTTTCGGCTTCAACGGCGGTTGAGCAAAGGAAGCTGAGCACAGCGGATTTGGCTCGACATGTTGTAATGGCGGTGAAGTAGACTTTGGTGTTGTTGGCTGCCTTTCCACAGGACTCCCGAGTGTAGGCAATTCGACCGGGTCATCCTGGGCTGCTTTCGTTCGTGTAGAGGCTATCGTCATAGATGTGGCATCTAACTCGATAGGTGTCAATTCCTCGGCGCACTTGACTGTATCGCTGCTGGCAAGCTCAGCAATAAATCCAAGGGGAGACCACATCTGCCCACCCCCTTCATGAAGCTCGTATACGTCAGGCTTTCTCTGTGAGGCCGAGGTAGTGAACTCTGGAGCGACGAGCTCGACGCTTTCACTGGTAAAAGAATGCCCTGGAACAGATTCGGTCGTCACAGGTTGAATGTGGGTGACTGGCGGAGTAGGCTCTGGAGAGATATCAGCAGCCAGGTTTCGCATTGCTTCTTTGGCTCTCTTGCCGGACACCATGTAGGCCGTGTCACCGTCGTCGGCCACTGGGCTCACATCGTTGTAGGTACCGGGTCCGAAATACATATAGCTACCCGTGTCAAAGTAGCCAGTCGCGCTCATCGGTTCTTTCTCTTCGAGGGTGGGGACCTTGCTCCTTCCAGTATCACCCGTCCTTGAGTTGTTTTCCGGATAGTTGTCGCCATCGCAATCGCTTCTACGTTTGGCCTGTCTTTCAATCGCCAGTCTCTCTTCCGGCGCGACGTCGAGCGGTCCAAACCCCGAGTCGAAGAATTGGGGAAACTCGTCACCGGGCTTTGGGAACTGGAACTGCGTGAGGCCAGTGGGTTTATAGCGGTAGAACCATCTCGATCCACCGTAATCCGACTCCCAGCCTTCTGGAAGGCCCAGCATCTCCAAGGTGCAATACGTGGTGTTCGACTGTGAGCGACTCGGAGACTGTTGGTCTCGAAAATCCGAAACTACGTAGAGGAGCCCGACCTACACCCTAGTCGATGTACAGCGAGTCGATATGCTTGGATGGGTAACTAGGCTGGAGGCGCAGAGGTGCAGTCTTTGGTCACTTGCCCCTCAAAACGAGGGTGCGCGGCGATAAGCCAGCGCGATTCAACGGGAGAAACAGCGAAATTGCCAAGAAGCGCGAGGCTCAGAGCGACGGTTCGAATAACCCTCAAGTCAGAATAGAAAAACAATGAAGCAGAAGCAGAGAGAAAGTTCCCTACCTGTGGAAGAGCAGACAGCCACCTAGGGTCCAGCCAAGCGGCTGAGATCAGAGTCACCTGCGTGCCGCAAACTCGGGTCATTCGAGGTCCGCGTCCATGTTGGACAAGAGGTTTCCAGCTGAGCTCCAATCATGCTGGTTTGCGAGGGCGCCCATGCCGTTCTAGATGGTCGGTCTGTGAATGGTGGCTTGGGGCTGAACCTGACCAGACCACTTTTGTGAACAGTGCAGCCGCTCGCCAAGCACTTCATTCTTCGTTCGAGTAAAGACACATCACCGCTTGAGTGGGCGAGGGTTCTATGGATGTCGATGACAGAGACATGGGATATGTAAGGAAGTCAATTGGAACGTAAGTACGGTAGCAATGACCATGACTGTGTGGAAGTCAAGGAGAAAGTCGACAGCCGAGCATCCGAGCAGCCGGGTAGTGGACACAATAAACCCAAAGAGCTTCATGTCCACCTGAACTCGGCCAGTCCGAGTTCACCTGGTAATCTTTCGAATAAGATTCAGAAAGTCGCACGCATATTCATAACAAAACGGATGGAACGAGGCGGTTCTGAGCATGTCATTCGGGCACTACTTTCCATGTTTCTCTGAAAGCTAGCTACCATGTAATTAGCCGATAATTAGCCGATGGTTAGTCGATGATTAGCCGAGAAGGCTACTACGCGCAATCCCCTTCCTTCTGCTGCACCTTCCCCCATCCTCCAGCTGCCATCTTCTCGTTCTTGTTGTCGTTATCAGGCCCGTCAAGATGCGTTGTATTGAACAGACGATGGCCAGTATCAGTGCCTCCCACACCCGTGTACCTCGTATCAGACGTGCGCAAGCACACCAGCGTGACCTTGCCCTGGCCCCTGAGCGCCTTCACAAGCGACCCGCCTTCAGCAACGGCGCCGGCCTGAACTACAGCAGCCACGACCACGATGCTGACTGTGAGATGCACCTTGCGGATGTGCCTCACGAACTTGGCGACTGTGTCACCGTTGTTCACAACCGCGTCGGCTAGGATCACCGTGGAGAGCTTCTTGAGATGTTTCGTCGTCAGATCCTCGGGCTCTTTGGCGTGGTAGTACGATGCGAGCTGGAAGGCTTCGCTCACACCTGCGGCCAAAGGGTCGCCGCCACGCATGAGAGACACAATAGCGGTGTTCTGCTCGTGAAGAAGTATGTGGCCTTCACTCGGCATGCCTTGTACGGCCGTGATGTTGTACGGTTCTACATCGATGATGTTGGCGAGGTATTCAGTCGCAAGGTACTGCCCGATACGGCTGTGGGCTTGCCGCAACTCGCCACCACGGATATTCGCATCGCGAGTCGGGCCTGCGAGTAGCTGTACTGCCGTCTTGTTGGTCGCAGTGACGATGGTGAAGTTGTAATCAAGCACAAAACTTTCGACTGTCGGAAGCGTTATTAGAGGCAGCCTGTAAGTCTCATCTCTGGGAGTTGCCGTGCTAGGGAGCAATAGCTGGTGAGCTCTGAGGCCGCCGTCGATGGCTTTCTCCAAATCTGCATCCATCGATCGACTCCTGACGCCCTCCTCACCTACCACAACAATCGGCCGGTTGGCTTGAGAAAGCATCGGAAGGTCTAATGGGCTGTCGCCAAAAGCGACGACTTGCATGCCGAGCGCTTGCAACTTGCTCACCACACCTGCTTTGACGCCAGCCGTGACCACGTAGCCATCTGATATTCTGCCACCACCAATCACAGGCACCGTCAGACCCGAGTTCTTCAGCACTTTCTTCCAGATCCGACGAACGCCGCAGGTCACAATGACCGCCCTGACATGCTTATGCTTTGCGACTTCAGTGAGAAGATGTACAAACTCGGGATGCACAGTCACCTCTGCTGCGACCTCCTCGCATAATGTGTCGAAATCCTCGTCGTCCTTTGCTTCCTCGTAGAGCAGCATCGCTTGGCGACAGGCTGTGTATGAGTATTGCAGTGGACCACTGAACAATGTCTTCAGCGTGCGCCCCTTTCCAGCAATCTTGCTCCAGAAGATCGCACCCGTGTCCTCGGCAGCCAGTGTCCCGTCAGCATCAATGACCAGAACAGTGTCCAGCTTGCGGTTATCCCAAACGGGGAAGATGACATCCAAAGCCTGCTCCGTACACTTCGTGTTGTGGGTCTCGTTGTGGATGCAGAAGTCGTTCAACAACTCCTCAATTCGTGCATCCCACATGTCGTGGAACCACTCGGCCATCCGTGCATTCCATGCAACATGCCCGACAGTTGCGAATAAAATGCCGTACGCACGACACAGTTTTCGAAGGTCATTCTTCTCCCGATTTTGCCACTCTTCGAGTAGTTGGGCGGAAACCTCTGGACGAGCACGGCTCTTGTCGCCCTTGCGTTGGACGAAAACCGTTCTCGGATCGCGGTCGAGATAGAGGATGTGGGTGAAGATCTCTAGATCGGCTTTTGTGCATACAACCTCCCCCTTCGCATTGCCTTCTCCCCAGAGCATGTAGTGACCGGTGACGATCCCAGCTTTTCCGCTATCAACACACGCCTTCGCAACCCCCTTGATGGCCGCTTGACGGTACAACGACTTCACCCCCTCATCCATCTTCTTGAATGCTTCGATCCCACCGTCAACAAGCTTGGCGATCTCGTCTGTACCTTCGAAGAACGAAAAGTTGTCTGTATCTAGCGTCTCGCGTACCTGCTGCAACAATGTGGTCTTCCCAGAACCAGAAATACCGTACAGACCGATGATCGTCGGTTTGGTGGTCGTGGTTGCTGGCTGCGCGGTAATCATTGCCTGTTGTTGGGTTGCCATGTCTGAGGCAGACATCTTTGGATGCCAGTAATGTCCGATCGCATTGCAGAAGAAGCTGGAGAGATTCCGAGCCCTATTTAATACTGAGCTGCTTTGTGCCATCGAAACAAGCAACGCAAAGCAGTGGCAAACGCAAGCACCTGGCAAGCACCTTCGACTGCCTTCCAGCATCGGCCTGCTTTCTTACCACGCTTCTACAATCGCGTTTGGGCGTAGGAGCCTGCTTCTACTGCATGCTGGCTAGCAAACACCTTTGTCCACGTTACTGCAGCAGGCTGGGACGGACAGGGGATTACCCCCTCCTGGAACAAAGCTGTGCTTTCTCACGATGCACGATAGTGCTCACTCACGGACTGACGATTGGTCCAGGGCTGGCAGATGCCCAATGTAAGTCTGGGATGCAGCCGGTGTTCCCTGGAGGGACCCAAAACTTTTTCTGGTCGAGCCGGCTCCCTCGTCGACATACGAGCCGCCAGACAGGATGATGGGTAAGACGGTGCTCTCTGGGGCTCCCCGGACTATCACGCCACGGCCCGTCGCCGGCGAGGAATCTGAGACCAGTCCTTCGTCCCCATCATTGCCGGCAGAGATGACGACGATGATGCCCTGTCCGGCGATGCGGGATGCAACTGATCCTCGTGGGTCGTCTGCCAGGCCCGAGAACCCGGGGGCGAGGTCAGCTGGTGCCCCCCACGTATTGGTACGTGTAATACATACTTGCCGACTGAGCACGAGATGATATCTGTGCCGTTCTCGTAAGCCCCCATGCAGGAGGCGATTTGGATCTCCGTCGTGGATGTGCCCTGCAGCTGGGCCACGATGATGCCCGACATATGGGAACGTCTCGACCAGACCGTTCCTCGTCGGGTTCACAAGCTGGAATGGAGCCCCCATAAACAAGTCGGAGTCGAAGCTCCTCCGATGCTCGACCTCGATACTCCCTTCGTCCAGAAGCGACTGGTATAGGGCATAAGCATCCCCGTCGCCGCTGAACTCGACGATGTAGGCTCCCGGCACAGCATCCGCCGCATCCCCTGCTGCGCGTGCGCCTGGAGCCCCCAGTAGAGCCCAGAAAAGGCACCGAACCATCATCGCGAACGAAGTTGGCCGACACTGCAGAGAAATCCTGGCGAGCGGAAGAGTGTGTTCATGCATTGATCTATACATACGTCTATGTGAAGACGCTACTTTGCTAAGCTCGGCTAGTCGCTTGCTTATAAAGTAAAATCAAACCAGAAACACCGGGTATCCATCATACAATCATCCTATCCTCGTTACAGTGATCGTCTATCACTCATGACTTGCTCACGCGGCTGCCGTCGATGCTCTCCGCAGCGGTCTTGGTGCGCGGCTTGTCCTCGTCGCCGTAGTGCGCGATGTCTCCGCCGAGCGAGTCGATGACCTCCTTGCTGTGCTTCTTGGACTTCTCGCTTGTGTCTGCGTGAGAGAGTTTGGTTAGCATGGGGGATGTGACATATGGGACGGCGTGGATCGAGTTGAAAAATGGAGGCAGTACTGACTTGGGTTGGATAGGTTGGCCTTGTGTCCCTGGACGCTGTGCGAGATGGTCTCCTTGCCCTCGGTGAGCTCCTGCATGTCACAGGACATGGTCGACTTAGCTCCTGCGGATTCCATGGTGATATATTGGTGCTTGAAGGCGGGTTTGCCGTGGTCTGGGTGGTTGTGATGTGTGAATTGGCTTGATTGAGGTTCAAGTTACTATTCTTGGGAAATGGAGTCTGGAACCAGAGTCGCGAAGGCAGCTCTTTATGTCTTCAAATTGGCATATGCCACCTCAAGTCTTACAATGACGTCGCGCCCTCTTCTCGCTGCAAGCCAGCCTGCCTTGTTCTGCTAGCCTGATATTTTGAAACAAGCACACCACGACGAATAGGCCATCTCGATTGCGGTGTCGTATTCCATCCACTGTCCCGACAACCTGTTGTTTTGTTCGTAGCCCACCGCGCGCTGTCGCGTGTTAATTCGAGCAGTTCAGGCGCATGTGGTAGTGATATGTGGCAAGGGTACCTCATAAGACCCTGCCTGCCATGATTCTTCCCGAGCGTTGGATCATGCAGAGATTCTGGTCCAATCGAAGACATCCTGTCAACCCGTTGTTGGCGCAGATCGTGGGGTAGAAAGGGCTAAAACATCGACACCCGACAGATGACTTGCCGCTGACCCTTGGGCAGTGTTGTTTTCGCATCGCGTCGAGATTTGGGGATTTGTTCCACCTGTGTTACTGGTTAGATGGAAGTGACTGCCGGAATTGCCGCAACTGCCAACTTGTTGGATATCATAGCAGGTCCAGACGAGGCCTTCGGGGCTGAATGCGCTAATGGCTTTGGTTTGAGGGCAGTCAGCCGACCCTCAGGCCACCAGGATTCTGGCACCATTATCGTATGATGATCTGGTCACTCTGATGGCACACCTGTACATATATATAGGGGCTTCTCCCCAAGAGATCTTCTTCTCTTTTCCTTTCAATACCAGAACGGTTTGAGATCTCACACAACTACATTCTTGTTTAATAGACCTAGCAGAGTCTCGGTCTTGTCGCGGAGAGCCTGCCTGCTTGGTTCCATTTCAACCATGATGTGGGACAGTCTCTTTCGTTCCCATTTACGTGTAGCTTGGAAGTCGTGCAGTGCAGCAAGTTCAGGATGTCATGAGGTCGGCGGGCTGAAAGACATGGCAGAAGAGCAAGCCTCCTCCAGTGAACCTATTGCAGCAGAATTAGATGGAAGCAAATACCAAACTCCGCCATCGAGAACGTGAACATGAAAGCAATGGTTATGCCTCATAGTGCTGGTCGGTGTAGAATATAACGATGCTAGACTGGTTAATGTATGTTTCCTCGCATCGCCAAGGAGCTTAAGGGTACCTGAGTCACCTCATCGCATGTCTCCCAAACTGTCATCAACTGCGTGTTTGCTGCTTGGTAAGATAATTTCTATCTAATATGGAGACGGAACCAGTCTCGAAGTACCTGTCAATATCCGAAACACACATAATTTATGATCGAGAGAGTTGGGTAGCCTTCCACGAGGCTCAATGGATGTGTAACTCCGCAGATTGATATACGCGTTGACCTTTGCCCCCTGCCTTACTCTGAACCACATGCCACTTCTAGAAATGGTTACCGAATGACCGTGAGATCCTCAGTCCAGTGACCTGGTTAAATATATAGAACTTCATAGTCAGCTGTCCGATTAGTCCTCTGAGAGGACACGAGCCTTGGTCCACGGACTTGCTGACATGCAACATCACCATCCCCGCAAGAGTTTTCTTCGGAGCTGCAACTCCATGATCCTGCATTGATTGATCTAGGAACACTGATCACGTCTCATGACTGCTTCAGTTCCAGGACAATCCTAGCCCAGTGTAGACCCTGTGTTTCGTGGTACAAAACAGAGCACGATCTAGTCGACGCATCTCGAATGTCCAAGACAGGTGCAAGGCGCACCTGATATGATGGATGCTGCAGTAACCCATAATGTATTCATAAATCTCTCGTGAAGGCCTCCTTATAGACTTGAAGCCTCTTCACAAGAGAGACTCTCTTTCGACTGGGGAAGGACTGAAGTTACTGCACATGGGCCATAGCATATCATGCATGAGAAGCTGGTCGACATTGCCAGCTGCCCAAAATTTTTTAGACCCGTCGTAGTCTAAGGCCTTGCTATGTATGGGTCTGATGTTGAGGTTTTGATCTGAAATCTTTCCTGAGGAGCCAATGTCTCTCGAGCAGGCAAGATCTGTTGATTGCTAACGTTACTACCTAAGCAGGGCATCGTCAAACGTATGAAGCGTAATTTCGACAATCGCCCAACCACATATGCTGTGTACGAGGATGTCCCATTCGTCAACCAGTATCCTCGGTTTTCGTTGAAACGCATCAATATTACACAACAGATGCTCTGCTGGGGAGAAGAGAGGTTGGTGTTTCTGAAGTACGACGCATAATTTATGGTTCAGGCAGTGTCTCGTCTAAGTTACTACGAGCTACAACGTTCGAGAAGATGGATAAGCTCATACATGAGCAGTCGTAGGCTCTCATAGTTCCTCTTATAATTCTTATGTATACTGCCTACTCTATGTGCTTCACTTGCCAAGTGTGCACAACAGGACTAAGGACTACGCGGGAGCAGACACTTTGCGCAGACGGCGGCACGCCAGACGCCCCAGACGGATTTGAACTTCATCAGCGACACGTTCGAATACCTCATCTCTCGCAACCAAAGTGCTCTGCCGGGATCTTTTATCTTCGGTGTTCTCGTGACGGCTCCAGTCGCATGCCGATGATCCCAACATGCCCGCCAGTGGACGATGCTCGTGAGACCCACCGCTCTTTGGCTCCTTAAGCTAGCCATAGCGCAGGAAGATATCCTCCAATAGCAATGATTCATCTCCCATCTTATCCCTCTCATGCGAAGGGAGTGGAAGTCCCGATTAGTGTAACGGTTAACATACCTCGTTTTCACCGAGGAGCTCGGGGTTCGATTCCCCGATCGGGAGTGTGCATCTAATAATCATCTGTTCCTGCGTGGATAATGTCATTTTTCTTTTGTGAAAACCTTTTTGCTTATTTACAAATATTGCTTGTGTTTAGTGGTCGGATGAATGATAGGGTTCAAGCATCAAGCGGCGATAGTGCTTGTGTGAGCTGTCAATTCCCACATTCAGCAATACCGCTAATGTTGTACGGGCGGACTGCCAGGAAACCCGGATCCCCATCGCATTCGGGCGCAACGCGGGACCCCGAGTTCGAGGGCCGGGCGAAGCATAAAATAACAATTTATTTTTTTGTGGTGCAGTGCCTGGCAGGACCTTGATAGTTTGCGCTTGGCATTCTTGGCAATCATTATTAGATTGCCTTGGGATGCAAGCCGGGAATTTAACAGCGGCTCCCGGCAAAGGGCCCGCGGGCCATGTGCACACGGGACGGCCGCCGTTGGGAATGGAATGGAGTTCATTGCCATGCATATAATTAAAAAGCCGCCGCGAGGATTGATGTGCTATCTTACCTCCTACTGTATGAGTTCATATGGACGCTAGAAGGATCACACGAAGTTGCGTGGGCTGCATGATCCATCCGCACGCCGCAGAGTTGCAGCAGCCGTTCCAGAACCGTTGGTGGGTTCTTCTTGGTGGTTGTGTACGACGCAGACACGCGTGTCACATGTAAGAAGGCTGCCTCTACAGATGTAGCATGTGGTTGATTAGTGGTTGGGTGGTGCACGAGGGATACCGGCACGTGTTATATCTCATCAGACGTGGCGGCGGGATCTGGCGGCGTGAACAGTGCCACCGCGGAGACCCAATTGTTTAAGGTACCACGGTGTCATGGAAGTGAGATCGATGATCTGGATGATCGTGGAGTTGCAGCACCACAGAGATCTGATCTGACGTGGGGTCGATCAGCATTTCTCGGTCGGGACTCGGACGGACTTTGGAGATACTTGCTGCATATGTAATAAGCTGACGACAGCTTGTTAATGACCTATACTATTCCGATATCTCGATGTTGGAAAAGAAGGTTTTCTCACGGCAGCAGGATAGCCACTATGGCAACGGAGCTGGGACTCGCTCTCTTCTTGTTTGCCGCGCAGGCCTGATGATGCGGTCTGCCTCCTCCTGGAGGAAGATGTGGAGTTTATTCCGTCAGAAGGCATCAACAGGAGACTGTCACTGAAACCAAGCTGGTTCCTGAAATCCGGAGATATCTGCAAACAGGACATTGACGTCAGAGCGCAGCGCAGTGGATGACTGGTCTTTTTAGGTGCTTCGGCTTGCCAGTTTGTGCGCCGCGATGGTGGTACTACGGGTATAAAATGCTGACCGGGCTTTCGAGTTCGTACAGTACATGTACCGCAATGAGTGATGGGCCCGCCAGCTCGGTTGGTTCCTGAGTCATATGTCAGCAACCGAGCATCCCGAAAGGGGGCAGACAAGCCAAAGCCTATTTTGTCAGCTGTGAAACAAGCTTCCTCAAAGGCTAAAGCTGATAAACAGATCACATAAAAGTTGCGGGACCCAGATAACAGCGCACGCAGCTATGGATTTCAGGGTCCGATCTCTGCATGTCGCAAATCCATCCGTGCCAGTGTTCAAGACCGTCTTCGTAATGGCACGGTGCACATATTCGATAAGTTTTGTGCCATCGGCGCACCGTCTCAACGCCAACAGCACCGGCGGTGACGGCTCCGTGGAACCGATTCGACCTTGGACGCCTTCACTCCCGTCCGACCCGCCCGCCGCTTGGCTCATTTCCAATGGCCGAATGGGTACCATCGAAGTGATAACAGCGACGGGAAAGGGCTGTTGGTTCATATGTTTCCGCCCATCTGGTCCAAGAGAGTAGAGAAAGGAGGAACCCCATGCCCTGCATAGGGGAAACTTGAAACGACGAAACATGCGGCCAAGGCACGGAATAACTTCCAATGATATGCAGAGCTGTGTCACGTGTGCGTCGCGGTGGGATTCGAGGACTCCATCGCCATGGTTTGGCTGAAGGACTTCCCATGCTCTCAGCGATTGGGAACTTTGTTGTTTTGGACAACATCAGCATGTCCAGATTATGTGGAGTCGAGTTTCCCGACTGTTTGCAAGCTTCGTCGGCGGGGGGCTCCTGCTCGGGTAGCTGAAACTTTGAGTTTTCAGACGTGCATGTGTCAGTGCGAATAACTACCTTGAGTACATAAACTTAACATGCAGACCTCCCATCTACACGTGAGGCATGGTCGTATGTTGACAAACACACGTGTGACTTGCAACTCATCAGTCTCGTGCCTACCTAGACCAGACGTCGTCCCTGGAAGCGCTGGTGATAATTATAGCACTCAGATCTATCTGACTCAGGACTGTCCCATGTTGCATTGTGATTGGGGTGATCGGGGTGGAGAGGAGTGTTGGTTCAATGTTGTAACTTATTATTTTATCAGGTGGTACATGTACAGTGCATCTACCGTGTGACCCCCACTAACCGAGGTGGACCCCTAGCCGACGGACCCTGGCTGCCTGGCTGCTGCCCTGGAATCCATTGATCTCGATGCCGACGACCGCTGTGGCCTCCCTGCCTCCCTTTCCGCCGGCCTATCAGAGCCTATCGCGACGGAATACTCGTCCCATTCCCACTTCTATCGTAGGCGGTCTGTCTGGGGCTGTGGGCGCGCGTCATCTTGGCATCTTGAAAATACGTGTGCGATTCCACTCCAACTCCATCTGGATCACCTCCTGAAAACTGCAGTCTCCAGCTGCAAATCCACCAAGTTGCCAACGACCCGGTCTGCTGGCCCTCTTCCATTCCTTCTTCCCTCTCACTTCAATGTTCCCACCCACTCATCACCCACTTGACACTCCACCGTCCGCCCTCAATCTGCCAGTTCTGCCTTGTTAATGATTAGGTAATATCCCATTCAAGCCACTCGCTATTCTTCCCCATTGTTTTCCCTTGTTTTCCCCAGTTCGTATCGGACTGGCCCTCCCCTGCTGTCGACCTCTCGACCTCTGCGGACCACGGATTTCAGGATTAATCGTCAAATCGCCAGCTCTAGACCTCTCCGTGTTTCTCTCCCCTTGCACCTCTTAGACTCCAATCTTCAGAGTCTGCTGCCTGCTGCCTGCGTCGTCTCTTCACCTACGAGAGAACACGAATAGTTACAACCCCACTCTCGTTTCTACACGCCCAAACCTCAGTTCTTGCAAACCAACCGACACCTCTATTCTCTGACTTGCGAACCTCTGAAGCGCAGTGTCATCCGATGTTCACAGCTTAGCCGCCCCGCGTTGATCGTTGGCCATAGCTATTTTTCACGTCGTTATCCATCCGATATCAGTACACCCTGATACGCCATTTTAATCACCTGTCACCTGGAGTAAAATCGTCAGAATGTCAGGCACCCAGTTCCAGCAAGAATATGACGAGAAGGGCTCCTCGCCAACACTGACGCACGCCCCGACCGTCTCGGACCATGGCGATGTCGACGAGAGGCCGAACCGTCCAGACAGGCCCGCTCACCTCAACCTTCCCACCGAGACAGAACGATTCTCGACAGACCAGCGATATTTCTCGCCAACCGAGTCTCAGCACCAGAACTCACGCTTGGTCGACGACCTCACCCTGCTCAAGGCCGAGCGCGCTGTCAGCAACCAAGAAGGCGCCGAGCTTCGCAGGTCCCATTCCGGCGTACGCAGCGGAGTCTCCGCAAAGCAGGATGTCTTCAACCAGCCTCAGCAGACCCCCACCATGGCCCTCCCAAGCGAGCCTCCCAACAAACTTAACAAGGTCTTCAAACACATCAAGAAACTGCCTCGGATGATTCGATACTTCCTGTACAGCCTGCCCATCACAGCCATCCTGTTGATACCCATTCTGCTGGGCATATTCGTTGATCGTGACCACCAGGCCGTGATTGGCGGCGCCGGAGGTGTACAGCTGTTGTGGTTTGGTATCTGGCTCGAGGTCGTGTGGCTTTCCCTATGGGCTGCGAGAATCGCCACTTCGATCATGCCGTACATCCTGAGTCTCGGTGCTAAGATCATGGGATCAGGAAACCCCAAGAAGTGGAAGGAAATTGGACGACAGCTCGAGCTGCACATGTCCTTATTTCTCTGGTTGCTGGCCGTTCTCATATCATTCCTTCCCATTATGAACACCCACAAGGTTGCAGCTCGGGTGCCAGACGAGGCCGATACCGCTTACCCTTATATTTCTTGGATCAATATCGTCAACAAAGTCATCATCGCCCTCTTCGTCCTGGCGGTTATGAACTTCGTGGAGAAAGTCGTGATTCAGTGGATTGCTACATCCTTCCACATGCGAACGTACTCGACACGTATCGAGTTGAACAAGCAAAGCATCGCGTAAGTTGGTCTCCTTGAACTGGCATCAGCCAAGCAAACTAACCATTAGCAAAGCTATCTTGTCCACCTCTACGAGCATTCCAAGGACAGACTTGTTTCCGAGGCGGCGGTGATGGGTGGTGAGCCGGGCTCCGGGGCCAAGACGCCCCTGGGCCTTATCACTGACAATGCTCGCGAAATGGCCAACAGGGTGGGTGACGTTGCAAACCGCGTGGCTGGAGATTTCACGGGTCGCGAGGTCAGGCTCAGGAACCACCCGCGGAAGGTGGTTTCGGAACTGCTCCGTAACACCAGCTCCGCCCAGGTCCTAGCTCGTCGCCTGTTCCGTACCTACGCTCAGCCTGGAAGCGATGTTCTTACCCCCCACGACTTGAACCCGGCCTTTCCCACGCCAGACGATGCCGAGGCCGCGTTCCTTGTGTTCGACCGAGATCTCAACGGTGATGTGTCATTGGAGGAACTGGAGGCGTACTGTGACGAAGTCCACCGTGAGAAGAAGGCGATTGCCGCCTCCCTCAAGGACTTGGACTCGGTCATAACCAAACTGGACAGGGTCTTTTTCGTCATCATTTTCATCATTGTCGTGATCATCTTCATCTCCATCATCTCTGCATCCACTGCCGCAGCGCTGGCCTCCGCAGGTACCGCCGTCCTTGGTCTCTCTTGGCTCCTTCAAGCTACAGCCCAGGAATTCCTGCAGTCGATCATCTTCGTTTTCGTCAAGCATCCCTTTGATGTTGGGGACCGAGTTACTGTGTATGGCAATACCGGAACTACCCTTACAGGCGACGATTACTATGTCACGGAGATCTCGCTTCTCTACACCGAGTTCAAGAAGATGCAGGGCCACATTGTGCAGGCACCGAATTCCGTGTTGAACACCCTGTTCATCCTGAACCACCGTCGTAGTGGCCAACTAGCAGATATTTTCGAGCTTACCATAAAATACGGTACACCGCCCAGCGTGATCAAGGAGCTTGAGGCCCGCATGACCGAATTCGTCTTGGAGAACAAGAGAGACTACGGAAGCAAGATCATCACCGAACTCCTTGGTTTCGAAAATGCTTGCAGCATGACGGTCAACTTCATCATCTTCCACAAGACAAGTTTCCAGAATGAACTTCTCCGTCTCACCCGACACAACAAACTCGCCATCGAGATGATGAACCATATGGTCAGTCTTGGCATCGAGCAGCCGCGGCCACAGTACCAGATTTCCGGACGCGACTACCCAATATACCAGGCGAATATCTCGCCTCCTTCGTACGATGACCAGCAGCAGCAACAGCAGCAGCAACATAATGTGGATCCCGCTCTCTTGACGGCGACGCGGCGACGAGCCAACTCGCGTACTGCCGAGCGTCCTGCCGACCAGGACCTGTTCCAGGATGTTTTCGTCAGCCGCAAAATCAGCTCGCACCAGCATCTGCCCATGACCCATCCGCCACGGATCAACGAGGAGCCGACCGTCGCAGAAGCCAGTGGCGCCTTGAACAGCCATAACCACCTCGAGAGGCCTCCGACCAACGATAGCGGCAGGAGGCATATATTCCGCCGTGTTGGCACCATGAGGAGAAGCGCTGATGGTGGCTCCGACCGAGGTGACCCCCGGGACATTGTTTGAACACCAGTAGAGCAGGGGCGAAGCGGACATCCAGCGATCTAAATCAGCATGGACTTTGCACAGCGTACTGCAATAATGATAATGTCACAAATCATTTCTAAGACAGCGAATAGACTTGTATGGTTGCATACCCGATAGACCGGATCATAGAATTCTCTAGATTGATATAATGGATAGTAATCCATTCTGTTAAGAACAACATCAATACGTTTCTATGCCTTGGGACATGCTGGCTTACACTGAACCCTCATAAGTCTCCGTGCACGACCCTTCCAACAAACCACGGTAAAGTCATCATATCGGTATAAGCATACGGGAATAAGCAGTTAGATCTTTATTAGCCGTCCCTGACGCTTATTCCAGGGTGCTTATTCCAGTATTTCTAACTATCCCACTGCTTTGCTGGAATCTTGCCAACATGGGCGTACGGAGACTTATAAGGGCTAAGTGTACCTTCGGTAGTTCGCCACCATAGGGACTTCTCGCCAGGGTGCAGCGAAGAACTCTCGAGTCTGTCTTAGGTATGGGAACCACTTGCTCCACAGCCTCGAGCTGGACAAAAAGGGCTCAGTCAGCTGGCTTTACTGACTACCCAAGTACTTACGAACCTTAGCCTACTAGTATATAAGTGAGCTCAAAGCAAAGCAGTCTCTGCACTCAAGATCACGACAACAGCTCTGCCCAGGAGCAATGGGAGCATAGAGAGCATTGGCCCATGGGGACCCGGGTAGCTTAGAGCTAAGCCAAGACGGATGTGATGTTCGAGCATAGCCCCTTGAAGGAGATACTGTACACGGAGGGCGGGGAGCCGGGAGGATGAATCGGCATGCGTCGGCGTCAGTGTACTTACTGTACATGCTTCTGTCGGACATGTAGGATGGGGTAGGCGTCGAAGCAATGTATGGGACGGGCTGAGTTATGAGACGAATCATGAGATGGGTCATGAAATACAACCTCCAGCTTGGTGAAATATACCAGTACTGAGGAACTTAGTAATTAAGGGAGGCAGGAATCTATCGTGACGGACTTGGGTGAGCACTTTTACCCTCGAGGTCAAATATATCCGGAAGTAACTCGTCCGCATCAGCTACCACAACATCCAGCAGGTCAGATTCGCAGAATAGCTCGGGGTGAACGCTGGTAATGACTACTAGATGTCTCAAATACAAAGTCAAAATTCATGTTCACTACGGACCATGCTCACGTACGTATTTACGCAAGGTATGCATGCGTATCGCATCTGGGGTATCATCAAGCAGCAGTACGCCGGCACAAGAACGCCAGACCAGACCAATAATCAAGAAAACGCCGACGCCATCATCTTCTCTTGCGAAGGGGACCACATTCATGTCCCGTTCAGTTCAGTTCGTGAGTATTCGCCAATACAGCAACGCGCGCCCCTCGCAATGCTATCCAAAACTCCAAAGTTGACGCCTGGGTATGCAGCATACATTGATAGTAAAAATGATGTGGTTCCTTCTCGTTGGTACATGGAAGGAACATGTAGCAAATCCCATTCGTTCATCGGGGTATTCACAATGCTGGTCGATGGAGTTGCGCCTCTGTTTGTTCTGAATTCAGTTTCATTGCCTTGGTGCGCCTCCTTGGTGCGCCTCCTTGGTGCGCCTCCTTGGTGCGCCTCCTTGGTGCGCCTATGACGTTGTCTTCGTAGCGCCATCCACCTGCTTCATCAATTCGGCAATACTGGCCAAGAAGTCATCATCGCCTGTCTTCGACTCCATATTTGCGTCGCCACTGCGAGCTCGCTTTCTGGTGGTAGGACCCTCGCTTTGAAATACAGCCAGGTCCTCATCCTCGGCCCGGCCGCGTTTCCGTTTCTGAGCAGCACCCTCAAAGATCGAGGGTGATCTGCTGACTCTGCTACGCCGTGCGCCGTCTACGGCCGAGGGAGTAGTGTACGGAATGATATCTGGACTTCCCCTGGGCGACTGACTAGATGTAGCCGACGCTTCAGGAGGTAAACCATAATCTCCTAGTCCTGGGAATCGCTTCCCCTCTTGCAACATGGGCAGCGCAAGTGATTCGTGAAGGTATTCTCCATTGGGCATCTGCACTAGGCCATTGGCCTTCATGCGCCAGTACGGGTCGGTAACCTTGGATCGCGACTTCGCCACGCGACCGTTATTGAACCCTAGACTCGAACGATAACTTGAGCTGAACGTGGAGTCACGTAGACTACCGGTGGAGACCGACATCGAGTCTCTCCCAGTACCATTGGAAATCGCCTTGAGCTTAGCAGTCTTTGAGCCTTCCTTGTAGGTTTTGGGTTCCGGAAATCGCTTGAGGGGAGGCAGCCCACGTTTGCGCCGGCGTTGGTTCTCAGAGTGTAGTCGTATCTTCTCTGATGTAGGCACGTCATTTTCAGAATCGATGTTATCGTCCCGAGCAGCATGACGAGCGGCTGCCCTTTCGTTCCGTACGCCCTTCAAGACGCCAGAGGCAAGTAAAGCCTCCTCGACGCTTCGGTCTCGAGATTCCCCTCCTGATCGAGTTGAACTCCTTAGTCGGGCAGTTTCCTCCACATTCCCTTTGGTTCTCCTTCTCATCAACTCTTTGGCCCCCTCGATCGTCTTTTCCTTCTTGGCCTTAGCAGCTCGCTCGCGTTCTGCTTCGCGTTCTGCTACATTCTCGGGCAACCTCCACTGTCGAGCCTTCTCCTTCTCCATCTGGATGCGTTTGACAACTCGGCGACTGCGACAAGTATCACGCCAGCGGTAAAAGTACGTGACTCCGAGACTGTAAGTCCGGAACCTGCGCGCTTCAGCCCACGATTTGTCGTCTTCCTCTTTTCGACGTCGTTCCTCTTCAGAAACCTGGAAGTCGTCCCAGATTTTCTTGAGTACTTGTTCAACAGCAAACGGTTGGAGCTGTTCCTCCAACAGACCCTTGTCACCACACACGTACCACTTGGTGAAGTTTGCCATACGATCTGGCTTCGGTACTGATGGAGTAGAGACCTTGGGTGCGGAGTTGGTCAGGGGGACGGATGGTGTGGTTGGGGTCGCTTGGGGAGGTCCCCCGAATAAACTGTTGTATGTTTCTGACGCCACTCCTGCGGCGGTAGCTGCAGATGATATGACTGAGCTAGAATTTGGAGGCAACGTGGCGGAAATTTGAGCTGTATCTTATGTCAGCATGTCTTCATGTCTTAATACCTTGCACTCAGGCAACACTTCGGTTTGACCAAGTAAAAGTGACAAATTAAGAGAAGGTAGGAGAGATGTTACGAGAACTTGTCCGAAGGAATGAGATGGTGTCTTACCATAAGATGATACCTGATTCGCGCCGGAGGCATCCGGAGCTTGCAGGGTCGGAAACAAAGACGGGCTGGAGGTACTGGTCATGGCCCTGGGCTGCGTTGTGGTATTCGAAGAGGTTGCTATACTTGGCGATCCAAGCCCAGGTGCTGAACTTGTCTCACAAGCCAGTAGTGTCGTAGATTGGGCACTGTTATTCGATATCTCTTGTTTGGATGGAAATCCTGAGAAAATGCTCGCAGGTGAAGGATTCGTGGGTATCGTTGGATCCTTACTTCTGTCTTTGTCGTTCAAGAAACCAAACAAACTCGTTGTGCTGTTGGCTGTTGTCCCGGGTGCAATAGAGCCAGTTTCGCTGAAAGTAACCTTCTTCTTGGTGCTTGCTACTGAAGTGTGTGCAACTGGGCTCTCTGGAGGTCCTTGGGTATTGTCATGATCCCCTGTGCCCATTTGCGACTTTGTAGGCCATGGCTGAGACAAGCTGGAAATCCCACCCACGGGCTTGCTCGCGATAGTTGTCGCTGGAGTACTGGAGGTGGAAGGGAACAAGCCAGCAGTCGGAGGCCCTGCTGGGTTACTAGCCCGTAAGAAGATCGAAGTGGCAGATTGCTGCGGAGCTGCCGGTACTGCTGACTGCTCGACGGTAGGTTTCCTAAATGGTGACGGCAGAGCATCCGTCGTAACTGGAGGGCTGGAAGGCGGTGCCGCATCAGCATTATCGACCTCGCTTTCGAATGCTTGACCGTTGGTGGTGTCCAAAGATGCATCACCCGAATCGCTAACAAACAAGCTATCTTCGGGGTTGAGGATTGATGATTCAGTCTGCACCTTCTCGTATACGGTTGCATGTATAACGTCGGGGAGTGGGCGGTCAGAGCGTTTACGCTCAACGATGTTCCGAGAGAAGGCGTGTCGCACCCGTGCATCGTTGAATCCTTGACGTGAGTTAACAACGAGGTACTTCTGGCCTCCTTGCTCACTGAACTCGAAACCATGTTGTTGAGCAAAATCAAGGGCCTCATGCTCGGTATCAAATCGGAGTCGCTCCTTGAGGAAGGCTGGCGTAATATCCTTTGGTCCATCCCTCGGTCTCGAGTACGCTTTTCGAATGATCTGCAGCATCGACTTGCGGACACGGTTGAAGTGTATCTCGGCAAAGCAGGCCATTGTGTAGGATATTTGAGGGCTGGCAATGATCGAAAAGAACATCGACGCCATGTTAAGAGCGAGCTCTGTAGGCGCATGGGGATTCAGAGGACCATGCAGCCTCGAAGTGTTCTCGATGGACTCCACTAAGCAGGTGGCAGTTCTGATCCCATCCTGGTTCCAGAGACGAGTTCCCCATCCTCCCACAACTTCCTTCATTGCAGGATTGTGTGCGTTAAAGATCAGATAATACCCGCGAAATTCGGCTTCGTTCTCGCACTCGATTCCTTGCTGTACACAATCGTCGTAGAGTTCCTTCAAGGACATCAAGGTCTTGCCCAGCTGTTCAACCTCCTGTTGCTCAGAGAAGTCTTCCGGAGCAAAGCCTTCCTGCGACATAAGATGGAGTGATATTACGTGAAACCGTGCAATGGTCTCAAGGCAATAGATCAGATCATTCCTCTCGTCTGCCGTCATATTGTACTTCTGGACAGAAAGGTCGATCCGGATTGCTCGTGTCCGGTCCCATAGGAAGTTGTGTCTCAGCTGCAACAGGTCGTCTGAGGGGATAAGGTCATCGATCAGGTAATCCAGGGTTCGCCGTAAGCAAGCGAAAGACCGAACGTCCATGGGCAGTGGCGCGTCCTGGCCAGCAGCGGATCGAGCAAGGCGTTTGACCATAATGGAAGGTTTAGCCACGAGGTCGCCCGCATAGTCTACCTCTTTCTCTGGTTTCCGAATATCGTACTCGGTGATTCGAGTGATCTTCTCCCATTCTGGGCACATATCCTCCGCAATACCCCTGAAATCAAGCGCCTCGTCCAGCGTGCGTCTCTTGTCCGGGTCGTCGATAAGCCCTGCGCGGATCAACGAATTCCTGGCCTTCTCATTGAATGCCTTGTATGACTCTCGGAATGCTTCCATGGCAGGACGTTGTGAGACACTTCCAGGATTCGTGGGCCATGGTGGAGGCTTTATACCCTCCTTGGCGAACTGTTGCTGGATCTGCGCTTCTATAGCAGGGGCGCGCCTACCATGGCTGGACGAGTCTTTCGCATTGCGATTTTCGCCTCGAGACGGGCGGTTCCCAGAACTTGGTCGTGCGGGTACAACCGCTGAGTCCGGCGAGCTCCTAGAAGATTTCGACCTCCCTTGGAAATCCGATTCGCCCTTCCTCTTCCCATTAGTTTGCGCCTTTAGAGCAGCCGGTTTCGTTGCTGAAGCTGTCCCATTTCCCCGCTTAGGCCATGCAGGCTGAACGAAGTCTGCATGCTTTCTTGTTCCATTGGACTGTGATGCATTGCCGAATGTGGATGGGTTTGCCGGGTAGGAACTTGGCTTGGGATATTCCGTATCCGGTGTCGGCTTTCGGCCACCAAATGGGTTGTTCGGCTTCGGGGCAGCGTTCTGCGGTTGACCAAACGATGGCGAAGCGGATCGTTTCTGTGCCGAAGACGTCGCTGCTAAGAATGGATTTGGAGTGGTAGATTTCGATCCGAAGGGGTTGTGAGCAACTGCCTGCACGGTCTGGTTGCCCTGGAATGGGTTGCCCATGGGCTTCGCGAACGGGTTGACGACTTGTGTAGACATTGGCGTGTTGAATGCTAGAATAACAGCAAGAAGCGTCAGTCACCGTCCCTTGTGTTTGAGTGCTCTGTACGACTTGGCCGTCCAAACACTCCTCACTAGCACTTTCGTATTCCAAAAGCGCGGTGAAACGCAGTGACAACCCCAGGATGACCCCGATGGCCACCCCATCCAAGACAAAGTGCCAATGATCCAGGGCACCTGGGTTTGATGCATAGAGCTGGCTTTGCATCCTCTCGCGAAGCCACGCCTGACAAAAATATCCAAATTCCACCTTGCTTCTGTGTTCCTATATCATCATGCCACGGCACGAGACCAAGATGATGGCGCGCATTGTGAGGCTCTGCCTTTCGCTCTTCGTCCGAGCTCGGTATACAAATACTCGCGCGAGAGGGTGGAGTGGTCGGCAGTAGTCGTTGATATCGTAGTGGTTTGCAGGGGAAATAACGTATCGGCGTCGGAAAGGAAAGCCATTCACTTACGGTTGGTGGAAGCGATAGTAGCGGTGGCGGCTCCTCCAGAGCCCCAGCCGCCCTGCCTCTCCGGGTTAGGCATGGCGCTTCGTCTCAGAGGCTGTCATGGGTATATTGCTGGCTGAGGTCGTTGCTACTGGAAGCTTTGTATGCGGAGTGAGAGATTGCGGGATGTGAAAGAGATGGGCTCGAGTTGTATGGAAAATGGATCGAGGCGTCGCGGTCGGTGTGTTGCAATGCTAATCGTAACGGGTGTTGGAAATGGCGATTGCAAAAGGTTGCAAGATCTTGGAAGACAGTAAATCTAGGCGCTTCTGCTGGTCGTGAAAGGACGTGTGGTCGGGGTTCGTTCGTGGTTGAATGAAGGGCATTGTTGAAGGTGAAATGCAGCAATTGACGATGCACGCGGGTGGTCGGTCGCAAGCGGAACATTGAAAGCTAGGTGCTTTCTGCCAGCCCTGACCACTTCACCGCTGTCCAAATTCAGCCAGAGTGGTGGGTTAATTCCGTGTGGCTGGGATCACAGAGGTGGTCAGAGCTCCCTGATATATGTGGGTCTGTGATACTCCGGTCGTTCCCCTTGCAGCGGGGAGTTGGGCGCGCTACTCGCTCCCCACGAAGTTCCAAGGTTGCTCGGCACTGCACTGAATCGCAATAGCAATCGGATGAGGTCATCACAAATTACCTAAAGGGTGTGCTGGCAGCACTGCTCTTCTGTATCTTTCGTATCATTATCATTATCATTATCATTATTATTGGTAGCCAGATACAGACAGGCCTTTCCTTTGCGGCCAAGGACCAGACATTTGGAATTTTTGGGTTGCATCACCTCAGCTACTCCTGCGGCACTTGACACTTGCGACACGCTCAGATCCCAGTCACCGCAGTTTGGAGAGTTTGGAGAGTTTGGAGAGCACAACTGGCAGAGGCCACTCCCGCCTCTAGCGAAACTCTCAACCGAATCAGCCTCGACTAAATTTATCGCCGTTGAACGCAGAACGTCTTTCAATTTCTCAATCTTCCGTGCATTCTCATTCTCCGCTGCCTCTCCCAATCGATGGGTGGATGGCTTGCAACCACTGCAGGCCATATTGCCCATGAGTTGCTGATCATTGACAATCGTGCGACGCGACTATCATCAGACCGGACCTCCGACATCTCAGCCCTGCGCACCCGCACCCGACCAGACCGCAGTGCCCAAGCAACCACAGTCTCGATCCAAACCGATTTGTCCCCCAAATCCCCACCACCGCTCCGGACCTCCTCTATATAGTCCAACCCTTCCCGCTGTCTCGAGATGGCTTTCTTCGAAGACCCGCGCATGCGGCAGCGGTGGAACCAGATCTCACAGACAACTGAGACAGTCACCGAGAACGCCGCTGCAGGTATATGGACCTTTGGCCATACATACATCAACCCATGCTTCTCTTCCGTCGCATCGGCATTTGGTAGTTGCACCCACGTTTGCCTGGGCGATCGAGAAGAACGCGTGCGACGAGCGAGGGACCGCCAACAGGCACGAGGCCGCGCCGAATACAGCTTTGACTTCTACGATGACTGGGATGAGGACCTGGGTGGGCCGGATGGCGGATTCGTTGGTGGTTGGCGCAGCGAGGACTGGGACCGCTTGCTGGCAGGCACAGGCAAGAAGAAGGGAGCATCTGAAGAAGTTCACGAGCAGTCCCGGAGCAGAAATCGCGGTATGAGCTACGGCACAAGGGGTTCACGGAGGAAAGCTAGTGGTCTTGAGGATCCGACTATCATACCGAGTACTGCGCCCCTCGGGTTCCTGGGTCGTCTACCCTTCAAGATTGGAGGTACCCTGAGATACAAACCTAGTGCGGCGAATCTCCAGGAACACCCGGGCTCGTCGAAGCATGCCATAGAAGGCGAACGCGTGCCACTACTTGGTGCGGATCACGACGACGAAATACACCCCGACGAACTACTGTCGCACAGTAGGAAACGAAGTGGAACGGCGGACAGTGGAGATACCAGCGACTCGTTCAGGTCGAGAGGAGATCTCTTCCCTAGTGACGAAGAGGGAGAGGAGGACGCGATAGCGTTGGATGACGAATTCACGATTGGACTCGAACCCATGGATGATCGGTCCAGCAGCAGAACGAAGAGTAGCAAGGGAAAGCGAACAGCCGATTACAGGTTACCACGAAGCGTGTCGAGGACCACGATAAACTCGGCCAGATTATCTCTACGGACGAGCATACACTCAACATCCAACCCGACTAGTCCAGCCGCGCGGACGATTGAAGATCTGCATCAGGAGGAGGCATGGCTAGAACGAGAAGAGGATGAGGTCATTGAGAAGAAGAGACAGGCGGCCGCGGACCTGGCCCTCCGCCGGGGTCTCAGCCGTGAGAATCTCCAGATTGAGTCCGTACCCGAGGTGAAGTCGGAGATGGTTCAAGTGGACGAGGTGGCAATTCCCGAGCAAGCGACACTAGACGAGGTTACCGATGATGAGGATGATGGAGAGGACCGAGAGGACAGGCAGGACCCAGAAGCCGAGGCGGGAGCAGGATCTGCACAAAGTGAGCCTCGCCCATCGGCGTCCTCGACATCCGAGCACCCACGGAAAGGAGAGGACGAGTTCGTACCTGCGCGGTTACCATACTTCCGGTGACATCGTATGTGACAAGGACCATAATGAAGCAGCCTCAATGAGGCATTCCCCAATGTCCACGACAATGTGACTCGTGGCTACCCGTCTGGAATCTGGAATAAGCAATGAGATGACGAATGGAACGAAATGAGCAACTCCAAACTCATCAATAATACACGAAGATGCACTGTGGTTTACACCATGGTTCAAGAGCGTCGGTGAGACACGGGCTATGAAGGAGCTCATCAAGTTGGCTATCTACTGGGGTAGAGTTGTAGGGCTTCGATGCTGAGCGTGAGCTGACAGACAGGGTGCACCAACATGTGTTCTGGAACCGGGACATCAGCCACGGACTTGTATTATAGCAACATATGCCGCATCTATATGCATTGATTACAATCAATACTCCCTTGAATCCACAATGAAATTCCTCATTTTGTGTTAGGTCACCTCACCTTCTGCATTGTGGAAACCAGCTCTGTGGTCTGTAATCAGCAGCTTGGTGCCCACTGCCACGTTGAACCCCGGGGAGTACCGGTCCTACCCCCGGGTTCAGAACAGCGAGCATGCAGAAGTATTGCTAGGTCTGGTATAAGCACACTTGTCGAAAGCAATTATGTGACCAAACAAACTGCGTATTCCAGGGTGCTTGGTTCAGCAGATCAACAGTTTCTCTACAAATTAATAATATGCGTAAACTGAAACTGTGAGCACATATGACTGCTATCACCGCAATCCAGATACAGCGATGATACTCTCCAAGAATATCTCAAAAGTTGCCTCGGTATCTCCCTCCGCAGTCGATCTCTACCCCGGAAACCCCACCTGAGCTCCCCTGTCTACCCAAGGGTCTCCTCAACGTCACATCACTGATCGGGTCATAAGATATCAAGACATGGAGTTCAGTCACCGCCCTCACTTCTTTACAGTTCAACTTGCATCCATTACCTCACAACTTACCGACATTCCGGACATCCTCAACACTCCTTGATTCTTGCGAATCGTTGAACTCGCGGACTCGGCCTGTTGCGAGTTACGAGTTGCGAGTGCCGACATCGACGGCGACGCGTATCACTTACGTTGAGGGCGTGCGCCGAGTTATCGCATCATCCGCCACGATATATAGTCGAACTCAAAACACGCACCCGCCACCACCTCACATCTTCGCCATTCCGTCCTCCGACGTCCGACACGCCAACGCCGTCCACCCCATCACACCAACCTACTTATCAAACACAGCCACCACAATGGCGTCCCAGGGCCCCATAACCACGCCCCTAACGACCCTCCTAGGGATCCAACACCCGATCCTCCTAGCCGGCATGGCGCGCACCTCGGGCGGCCTCCTCGCAGCCGCCGTCTCCAACGCCGGCGGGCTAGGCGTGATCGGCGGCTTCATGTACACGCCCCCGCAACTACGCTCCATAATCGCCGAGATGAAGTCCGCCTTCGTCTCGCCCGACCTGCCGTTCGGAATCGATCTCGCTCTCCCCCAAGTCGGCGGCTCCGCGCGCGCCACCAACCACGACTACACGCACGGCAAGCTCGACGAGCTGATCGACATTACGATTGAAAGCGGCGCGCGGCTTTTCGTTAGTGCTGTTGGCGTGCCGCCCGTGCATGTGATTGAGCGCCTGCACAAGGCGGGGATTTTGGTGATGAATATGGTGGGGCACCCGAAGCACGCGGCCAAGGCGCTCGACGCGGGGGTGGATATGGTGTGTGCGCAGGGCGGCGAGGGCGGCGGACACACGGGGGATATAGCGAATTCGGTCCTGATCCCGGCCGTCGTGGACGTGGCGCGGAAATACTCGCCGCCAGCCCTGAAAGGCGTGAGCGGCACGGCGCTCGTGGTGGCGGCGGGCGGGATCTCGAATGGTAGAGGGTTGGCAAGCAGTCTGATGCAGGGCGCGACGGGCGTCTGGGTCGGCACGCGGTTCGTGGCGAGCGACGAGGCGAATTGTTCTGAAGAACACAAGCGCGGCGTCGTCGAGTGCGGGTTCGACGGCACGGAGCGCACGCTCGTGCTCAGCGGGAGGCCGCTGCGCATGCGCACGAATGAGTATATCGCCCGGTGGCACGCGCAGCCGGCGAAGGTGAAGGAGCTGTGCGATAAGGGCACCGTGCCGATTGAGTGGGATTTCGAGCAGGGGAACGAGGTCGATCCGCCGCACCTGATGGGCCAGGTTGCTGGGGCTATTGACAAGATACAGCCGGCGGGCGAGATTGTAAGGGAGATGGTCGGGGAGGCGGTGGAGATGTTGAGGGTTGGGGGCAGCTATCTGGGCGGCGGTGGGGAGGCGCGGAGTAAGCTATGAGGTGGTGAGTACCGTACGGTTGCTGGCTGTGAGGTCGGGTATGATGGGATGTGAGAGTGAGAGTGAGAAAGAGAGAGAGCGTAGAGGCGTCTTCCTGATTGTGTGGGTGAGTATGGTGACGTAAGTGTGCGTATGTGTCTCAGTATAGGAAACACACCAGTCTACGCAGAGCAAGAGCGAGCGATATGATACAACATGATGAATTGCAATATACGCTCCATGACGAACTACTATATTTCCTGTCTTACTGCTTTCTACGTCACCCGATTCACCGTACACCGCACCGCATCACACAAACCCGTACACAAAGTTTCAAGTCGACGTTGAAGCTCCAGTTCATGCGCCTGGCGTGTCTTGTCTCGCATCTGTGCGAACGTCCGGACTGTCTCAGGAGGCGCCGCGAGGTACGCCGCAAGGCGGGACGATACCTATGATAAGAGGAGGTATGATGACATAGGGCATGGCAGGGCAGGGTATGGGCGCGATATATGATGGAATAAGCGGTCGTACTCATGATGTCGGATGTTGAATGTGCGATATGGGAGTTCGAGAAAAAGGGGTCCAAGACGTAGGTACCCTGACCACAAGCAGCCCGAGGAGAGAGGGGCGAAACAACACCATCATTATCACCATTATCAGGTCTCAAGCCCATGCCCTGAACATGCCACACATATATCTCAGCCTCTAGCTATATATGTAGCTACCTTATGCCAAACGCCAACTTCCCGGTCCCGCCCCTGACGTACAACCCATCTGGAACCCACGAAGCCCCGATCCCCCGTTGCCCCTCCTCGGATTTGGCACATTGCTAGACAGACCGTGACACCTGCGGGGTCGCGTGGAAAGGGGCTGCGCGAACCCGTCTCAGACGTATTCTGAGTTTCACTACCTCTAGTGTCTTTGATGTAGTCGCGGTGGTGATGGTGTCGGCAGGTCGGGCTGCATGTCGGATGCGAGCTGCTTGCGCTCCGTCTTATAAATGTACCTACCTCAGACCATCGAGCAATGGCGGCGGGGGCGCGAAAAGGGGGGATAAAGACCTGGGAATAGGAAACGGAAGAAGAGTCACCACCTGCACCAGCACTTTAGACTTTCCGTAGCATATCTGGCATATGTGAGCTAGTAGGGACATGGTGATTGAGTAAGTACAAACATCATTCATGGCTGCATGCCTCCATACATCCCGCCACTCCTACGGATGGTTGCGTACCACAATTTTGAGTTCACAAACGTACGTAGGGTAGGTAGGCTGAAGTACGTACAGTAGGGCGGGCGGGATGGTCTTTGAGCGCGAGACAGCGAGACCATTCAAGCACATTTGAGTTTCCCAGACATACGTAGTGTAGGTCGGCTATGTAGGTCAGTCAACTACAGTAGGGCGGACGGGATCATGTCTAAACGCGAGACAGCGAGGACGATTGAGTTTGAGACGGGTGGCGGCACGCCTGTCCAGGCCATCGATTACACGTGTGTGTCATGTAGGTGTGCGCGAGGGTCGCATCGTCCCATGGCGTCAGGGGCTTCATGTTGTGCACTTCTGGATCTTGGCTCTTGCAGGTGGTTTTGGAGGGGTGAATATGGCTTCAATTGGTTGGTTATTTCTACATAGCATAGCATGGCAAACCCCGCTCCTCCTCATCATCATCCTCAAACATGGCTGCTGCTGGTGTGTATCATGTAAATCATAGTAAAGTGCAAATGCGTCGATCAGCGCGTCTACCTGAACACGGCCGTCGACACAGCCGGCTCCTTCTCCCACTGCGTAGGAAGCACCATCATGAGGGTCTCGAGCTCCTCGCGCGCCGCTTGCATGCGTTTCTTCATCGGGTCGAGGATGCACGACTGCGAGAAAGTCGCCTGCGCGACGTCCATGTGCAGTATCTGCTCCTCCAGCTTCGTCTCGACTTCCAGCGGCGCATCCTCGACGAGCTCGGGCAGCGGGCCGAGCTTCTTGACTTTCTCGGTGCCGTGGACGAAGATCATCTTCTGCAGCGAGTTCAGGTCGACCTTCTTCCATCGCAGGACCCGCCAGGCGCCTTCGGGCACGAGGGCGAGTCGTTCGACCTGGTATAGGTCTTGGGTAGATGCCCATAGTGACGAGCACTCGGGCTTGAGCTCGGCGTTGCCGAAGAAGATGGCGTCGCGGGTGAAGTCCACGTATATGCGCGGTTGTGTTGATCCAACACCGAGGGAGAGTTTGTAGTGCTTGAGAGCTTCGTGTCGAGCCTCGGCATTGACATGTAATAGGGTAGGGATTTGTGTCGAGGACTGCCATGTCTCCTCTCCTTTTTTGTTGGAGGGTGCTTGCAGTAACGCCTCGTCTATTGACTTGGGTGTCTGCTGTTGTGATTGTGTAGAGTAGGGAGAACTGACGACAACTGTGCGTGCGTCTGGCATAGCATATTGCCATATCTTGATGCGTAGCTCAGGGGGAAGGTCGTTGAACTTGGTGAATGGGGTGGGCCCTTGGGCCTTAGTCAATAGTGATAGTGTTTGCTCCATTGTGTGGTCGATAATGTTGAGCAGGTTGTGATATTGGAATTGCTGCCAGCGGTAGAGTCTTATAAGTAGGAGTATGGAGTTAATTAGGGGCAGAACGGCAATGGGTGCGTCGTAATAGTGGTTGGCGGCTTGTTGGGCTGTGCTTCTTGGCATGATCTCGGTCACTCGGTGGTGTGGCCTTTGGGCGAGGCCGACGGGCGAGTCATGTCAGACGCGTGAGATTTGGCGACGGTTCCCCGCAAAGGAAGTAGTGTGACAACCACGCAATCCGTACGATTCAGTGTGATGATCACTTTGCAGGATGGGTGGCACAACGATGTGACTGGTGAGAGTGGTAGATATATTCCTGCGGGATGCCTTCTTGTGTCCACGCTCGGCTCCGTCAGACTGAGGACCGCCAGGATTTATGTCTATAACTATATGCTGTACGCAGATGAGCAATGCGGGGTCTCACCTCAGCACCCTTGTTCTTCTGGTCGTTGTATAGCAGCCTGCATGATTTCATACCTTCAGGGATGACCGATGGGGAGTCCAGACTGGAGGTGACGGGACCTCGGGAGGGAGTGGGCGCTATACTTTTCCGCGGCTACCACAACTACTGTCAGGTGGCCACTACATGTCGGTCAACTTTGGAACCCGACGCGAGGCAAGGCGACGCGGGCACCGACTTTCCCGTCTCCGTGACCGCTTGATCACAGCGCAATGCGGCTCGATGGGCATGCGTACGTGGTCGAGAGCGCTTGCAAATACGTAGCTTGGTTTCCTCGTTCCTGACACCGCCTATAGTCCAGAGGCCAGGGGCGTTTATCAGACGAAGACGTACTGCTGTCATCGGAGTCACAGGATGGTAACTCGGCAGCTGCTCGGGTCCGAGGTTGGCGAATGCTGACCGGCATCTGCCGTTGTTCATTCTTCCTGAGAGGTGTTGCTGTCCCTGCAGTAATAGCCGCCATGAACCTACCCCAGACTATGCCATCGTGGTAGGCCGCATTAGCAGAAGGGTAATCGAGAGTGGACGTGAAGCCACAGGGGCTTACGTGCGACTTGTGGAAGCGATTAAGTTACGCACCCATCACTCATCCCAGCTTGTCGGCTTCGCCGTTAGCCAAGGCCCGACGGAATGTGGCGTAGATGGGTGCTTGAGTAAGACCGTCTTGGTATCCCAGCCTGGCTTATGTGGTTGGAACTTAAAAAATGATGTGGTGTGGTGTACTCGTACGCCGACTGCCGCTACCCATGACGAAGCTCCTTTTATCTTCTGCTCGAAGTTTTCTTTCCTGCGTTGAAGCGAGACAGCCTCGGCCTTCGGATGTACTGGGCCTCCGTGCCGACCTATGCTGGAGTTAAGAGGGGGAAGAGGCGACAACCTCACAGGTGTTCCCGTCACTTACGCGGTGGGTTGACGACCACCGTCGTCACGACCACGTAACACATATACGACTCGAAGCGGTTGGGCAGGACACACGCCCAGTGGCCAGTACCCCACCGCCTCAGCCGCCAACTGCGGAATAAGGCAGAAGACGGATTTCCTATTCGGGCCCTTCAATGTCAACCAGTCAAGTCGGTCTGTCAGTCTGTCAGGATTCAGGGGCAACCCTCCAAGGTCTCGAAACGCCGCTGAACTCTCTTAAGAGTCATCCCAACAGAACAATTGTTTCCATCGCATGTTCCAGGTCCCGAATGCCCGACTGCCCGACTGCCCGACCTTCGTTCGGCATCGTAACACAAACCAAACCAATTCCTGAGGTCATTCCAAAACTTTCAATGATCCAAAGTTTCTTCGATCCCAACCAGCACCGTCCGAATTCGTCACCATGTTCGGATCACCTGATGGTCAATTGACGCTGACCTTTACATCACGCATCGTAAGCCTCATCAGCAAAAACCCGGATGGTAATTTGTTTAGGTTGAGATTAACCGTAGCCCGTGTCTTGCCGTTAACCTCGTGACACTTATTACCACACCGCACAGGGTCACACGATGATGGGATATGTACCATTGAAATAGCTCTACTTTTTTTGACTTCCCATACCCTCAGATAGCACGGTAAAGAATATCGTCATTGTTATCATTATTGTCATCATCAATTTCATCCTTTCAACATCATCTCTGACCAAGGTTCCGAACAACTCAACGGATATCCACGATTAACGTAGATTGATGTCAATATCCACGTTAACTCAATCCACGGAAACCCTTGCAGCCTGGCAACTAACTCAACGACGAAGCCTTTGTGGGTTGATATGGATTGATATACGTTGAGATCGAGATTTTAGTTTCTGACTATAAAAATTATTTTATATGGTAGGTTATACCGGGGTATCCCAAAGTACCTGGATTTTCCTATCGAAATTATAAAGGTCCGGCCGGAAATACGGTATTTTCCGGGCACTTGGTTATAGCCTTATTAACTTACGAAAATATCAATCTCCGGAGATAAAACCTCTCGTTGATACACGCATATTAATTGAGCGACAATAAGGTCGTGGATAGTGTCAACTCAACTCAACGAGACCCCTTCGTGGACATGGGTTGAGTTGGTTGGGACCTTGTCTCTGACAGCCTTGCGGCCCTTGCCGTATCTGCGATCAATGGTCTTTACGGTTCGATGCCGAACCACCGCAAGCGCGGTTCGAGTACCCACGATACAATTTCTGTGACAAGCAAACAAAGTTTCCTCCCTATCCCTCGACTGTTGATGAGCTTTATCGAGCTTTGAAGTTGTTTACATTAAACTGCCAATGATTCCAGCTGAAGTTTGTGGTACTGGTCGCGTCCTGGATGAAGGCTCCTCACTGCAGTCTAAATGGCCGTGGTGCGTGTCTTGTTGGACGTGTATCATCAGCCTCAAGAGTCTAACCTAGGCTGTGCTGTGCGTTGTCATCAACTCAACTCTATCCATGTCCCATGATGGCTGTTGAGTCTTGCCAAGGCTGGGGTGCATCACAACTCAAAATCCAACGTGATCAGTCTAGACTCTACGCTGACGGTGCAGGGACAGCATCACGTACCTACCTATGACAGGGGATCCAAGCCCCTTTGCCCCCTTCTACTACTAGAAGCATTTCCTCGAACAGGGTCCACTGCCTCGCTGTCCCGATCGCCGCCCACCTCGGGACCCCACACACGAGCCCCGAACTTGTTTCTGTCCCGAGATGCAGTCGGCCAATCAGCCTCTGCCAGCCTTCCAGACTTGGTTGTCTTTGGTTCCAGGACACCGGATTTTCCAGCTTGGCGTACAATCTCCCGATATGAGTCTCCAGTATCCCAGCTGTACGATAGTTCGATTGGTGCGCCTATCGGGTTTAATATGTATCTGCGAGATCTGGTCCTATAGATCTCGTGTTGTGCTTAGCCAGACTAGTAGCTTGAACGGACGACCTAGACATTTACACCAATGGTCTCGAAAGTTCTTGAATGTGACCCTCAACAGCGGCCCAACTAGGCGCCATGCATGATGCATCGTATTGCACCGATCGTCTTTAGTATCCCGACACGCTGACGAGGGTCAACAACGACTGGGGCAAGAGGTACCTGCTACCTATAGTCCTCGATAGTCGGCATGACTAATAATATCTTACCTAGCATTTTAGAGTTATTTTTTCCATTATTTAATTAACTTTCAACTTGTCAGATTCAAGGGATCTCCAGGGGTGTATGCCCTGTGGAGTGCTGGCTAGTTAGGTGGCTAGTCAAGGAGGCTGCCATGACTAGCACCATGAATCGTACATTGACTCGGGAAAAGGTGGGCCGGAAGATCGTGTCCGGCATCTCCGGAGCTGTACAAATAGGTGTAGATACCACCCAATTGGGATAGCTGAGAAATGATAACAACGATTGCAGCTACCGCTCAAGACCACAGGCTTGTCAACCCTTTGAAATCTGACACAACTTTTAAATCAATGTCTTTTTGTTACATAAAAGCTGAAACTTAAATTAATAATTTAAAAGTTTTTATTTTAAAAGTTAAAAAACTCGGTTCATGTGATGGATCAACCATCCATCAGGTGATTAGTGGGGTGGAGACGTTGCCCCGCCGCATAGATAGATATATAATTGTGGGTCGGGATTTGGGATCTATCATCCCACCAAATTTAGCTGGTGCTGCAGATCTCTCTTCCCTTCATCACTAAAGTATTTTTGTTCAACATAGACCATTGCTGGGCATCTTCGTCCAAACCTTCTGCTTGCCCCATGACAGTTCATATTTAAGGTAAATAAACTTAGTGTTGGATCCATGTGATTCTACAGTCAAACCATCCATAAAGAACCCACATGTATAATTAGATAAGAGATTAGATACCAGATTGTGAGGTCACTTAGCCAGATCTGCAGGTCCAGCTAGACTTCCCAGTCCAACCATCAGCAACATCATGACCTTGACCCCATACTCGAGTAGTATGACTGATCGTTCAAGCCTGTTCCCACATTACGTTTAAATAATTTATTTATATCTTTTTTTAACTTTTGTGGTATATTTAAGGATTAAGAAAAAATTATCGGTCAGGAAAATGATTTTAAAAAGCTATTTTTTATGAAAGGCGTTAACAATTCTCGATATATATTAAATAATTTCGATATATTATTAAAAGTTTTAAAGTGTTTAATTATTAATGATTAAAAAGAAAATTAAGTATGTAACTTTGTCGTTATTCTAAGAACCTTATACGTTTTACCTGCTGCTTTATATAATAGCAACGGCAAGCCTTAGTTTGGATTACGCGATAATAAGCTTAATATTGCTTTTATTAATTTATTAATCGGTTTGTCAAAATTACTTTATTAAAGTTAACTTTTAAACATTCCTAATGTTTTATATGTTAGTTAAGATAAATTTTAAAAACGTATTATTTCAAAAGCGCTTTTAAAAATCTTAAAACTATTATATTTTTAAAATTATTACTTTTAAAGTGTTATTATCTTTAAGAATCTAAGTTTTATATGCTAATTAGCCTTCATTTAAACTTAATAATAAGCTACGTTGTAATTTATTTATACTT